ATTTTTTTGAAGATAAATCGCATCATGGATAGATCTGGGGTGGAGAGGATGGTCGCCCATTCCGTTTTTCCAAGTAGGAAGGAAAGTATAAGCGGATCCCCTGTTCGCCCGAAAAATAGTAAAAAGAAAAAGAAATCAAAAAAAGACGGAAGGAACGGATGAAAGGAGAAGGAGGGACGCTTAGAGTTTGTAATTATTCATAATGAAATTAATTCAAACTGCATATTAGTTGCTTTGAAATTTTGAAAATTTTCTTGGGTAGCCCCTCGGACCCCCCTTACGCACCCCTGTTCAAAATGCCTGCGGGCTGATGATTGGAATTGACAGACAAACCGATAGAAAAAGGAGACACAGAGAGTAAGGAGCGATCCTAGTGGTTGAAACAGGTGGCTCTTATAGACTAAGGGAGAAAACGATGGACTAACTGTCAGGTCTCTCGTGGGTTACCCTTAGTTAGTCTATTTCCTACCTCCCTCGTCCATTGCTACCTCCCTCGTCCATTGCTACCTCCCTCGTCCATTGCTACCTTCCTCGTCCATTGCAACCACCCGCTTCCACCGATAGGATCCTTCCATATCCTTTTTGTCTTCTTTGTCTACAGCTTTGTCTATCAATTTCAATAACCGACCCACTGGATCCGCCCATGAAGGAAATGACAGCATGATAGGAAGGAAAGTCTGGCAATTGATGTGGATTGTTCAAGGTGGCTAGACCTGCAGATGGACGAAGATTGGCGTTCTTGTCAAATTGACAACTGCGAATGACACGAGTGTATCCCACAGACCACAGCTCGGTGACTTTCTCACCTTTCTGATTTGGGACAGGGAAGAAACGGCCTGGGTGGCAGGGGCGGGAGAGGGCGCCCTTTATGACGGGATCAACGTGAACGGGAACGGACGGGCGCGGCGCGCGGGCGATCTCTGCTCGCGGCCCGGGCAACATAAACAGATCCACGGGCTTTGTGCGGCCGGGGAGAGTGCACAATGGAGACAAGTGGCGAACGGCGACAAAAAGGGGCCTCACACCTTCCTGACTTTGAAGTCGGAGCCGCGCCGTTGTGTGGCCTTTGTCACCGCGCGGCCTCCTGCGCTCATTACACTCACACAGGGACCGCCCGGGCCCCGAACACCCATTTACAATGCAAATCGCTCGTTTACAAAAACATCTCTTTTCCTCCTATTCATGAATGGGCACCTAAGTGCCCTGCTCCGAACGACGCGACGCGACAACCCCCTCCATCCATTGGCGCAGCTCGCTTGTCCACCAATCGAGAGAGCCTTCCTCTCCTTCATCACCTCCATTGTTTCCCGTCTCCCACCAAGAATGCGCTCGGGTCCTTGCTTTTAAAGTTCAACATTTCCCGTACTCCACATCTTTCTTTCCGCTTTCCAAGATGCATTTCTAGGTTCTTTACGTTTATGTTTCATACACTAAAAAAAAATTCTCGGCGTTTTTACCAAGGTCCATTGGTACCTTTACCATCTCACTTTTTTAACCAATTATCGGTAATTTTACCAAGACAGACTGGTAAGCTTACCTAAAAACCGGTATTTTTACTGTTTTTTTCAGGTAAGAATACCGCTTTTATTGGTAATCAATTTCCGGTAACTTTGCCATTTTATCTCGGTAAATCTATCACAGTCGATAACAAATATTGGCGTTTTTACCAAGGTCCAGTAATATTACCGAGAAAGTTCAATAATTTTATCGAGATTTCTCGGTAAAATTACTAATTCCATAAATGGTAATTATGTATTTTGGTATGTGGCATTTTTTATGATCGTTTACAAATGTATCACCGAGTTGGAAAGTTCGTATTTTCGGTACGACCAAGACAAAAATGCCGTTTTATGGACAAAAATGTAGAGACTTGCCGACCCTTACCACCGAGTTGCATATGGTACACACGGTTCAAATGTCACGACTGTCAAATTTTAAAATGTCTCGAAACAATCAATTTTTGAGAAGAGGTTTTCTTTCACTATGAGCGCTTCATCTAGCTAAAACGAAACTACAGAGAAAATGTGACTGGAACCCTCTTGCGTAACATACCTAAAGCTCGTTTTAGTTAGACGATCAGTTCGGTGTAAAAGCATCCTGCTATGATAAAAAACACAACAATTATGACTGAAATACGCCTTCAAGCCTATGTTTAGGCAACCTTTTAGTACGTTACAAAATTCGTCTCGCGTAAAATGGTTATTTTCGTAGAGAGAAAAAAAGCCAATATTTTTTATCGACTGTGGTAGATTTACCGAGATAAAATGGCAAAGTTACCGGAAATTGATTACCAGTAAAAGTGGTATTCTTACCTGAGAAAAAACAGTAAAAATACCGGTTTTTAGGTAAGCTTACCAGTCTGTTTTGGTAAAATTACCAATAATTGGTAAAAAAGTGAGATGGTAAAGGTAGCAATAGACCTTGGCAAAAACGCTGTGAGTTTTTTTTTCAGTAAATAATAGCCAGTTTCGCTGATATAACAAATCTTAAGGGATATGAAAGTCTTCTAAAGTGAGAGAACTTCCTATCGGAATTTGGATGATCGCTGCACCTTGCTCCTAAAATATTTTGAGATTCGCCCGTAGGGTTTCGACAAATGATTCATGGATGAAGATTATCGATCGTATTTCTGTCGACTGTCTGAGACGGTTGTTATGCATTCAGCCTGTCTCTAGATCGGTCCCTAAGGAGCACTCCTGGTTAGGATTGATGTCCTATTTTTCATTCATGCAAAATAAGATGAATTAAGACGTCCAGCCCTAGCGCCCCAAACATTGACCGACTTCAGACGCTCGGCGGAAAACTGTTCATCAAGGCTTTGTATCAATCTCATTCAGTAATATTTTGCAGGATGAATGATGAATAATGTGTGAGGATCTGAGATCTGATTAGGTTACCTAGAGTAAGCTGTTTTGGCTATCTCAAGTTTAATATTTCCGTCAGAGGTGAAGGAGAGATTAATATTTTCAGACCACTACCGCAGCTTGCATTTTCAAATGATATCTTTGGAATGCTCTTGAAATATTTTGAAAATGCAAGCATATTTGATTTTGACTCAACCAAATGGAGTTAGTTCAATGATTCAAATGAATTTGACAGAAATCCTGTAAAAAAGATAATATTTTCTCTTATTCTTTACTCTCCAGTTATCACTCCAATACCTAGAGAGAAAAGGAAAAGAGAGGGAAAAGTTATCGAAAAGCTCTATCACTATAAGCGGGACGGATCTGAAGTTTTTGAAGATTTATGATTCGCTTTTAAAAAATTCAATGTAATATACTTAATAACATGAAAAGATTTTGCAGGTTTTCCCTGTGGAAATTTTATCCTTTCAGTATATGACTTTGAGACTATGTCCAAATGATTCAGGAGGAATATGATATATTTATTCTATAAATTGTATAGGGATTATCAATGAATAACTTAACCTAGACCAAGACTGGAATAGCACGAATAATTCTGATAATAAGTAACTTAATTTATATTGGTTTTTTCAACTGTAATTGTTATTTTTGTTGCTTCCGAAAGATATTAAAGGTGTATCACAAGTATTTAAGAAAAATGTTTTGCTGACGCTTTTTTCTAATTTGTTCAAATTTAGGGTTCACGTGGAAATTGAGATACGCCCTTACGTCAGAGGGGCAACATTTTATGAGGATCTTTTCGACCAAACAGCATATACCCATGTTAACGTCGATAAGATGATACAGCTCTGTTTTTTTCTCTACAGGCGTCCAACAGGATTTTTTTGTGTATCTTTGTATTTGTGTACTTGTGTAATTTAAATTTATGAAAATTACGAAGAAAATTTGGGATGAATTGCGGAACAGAGGTTTTATTTCGCCGCAAGTTAAACTGCTGTTTATAAAGTGCGCATCTTAAAAATATTGACACGACGACATTAGTATAGTACGTGTTTGGTCGGAACGATCCTAATAAATCCTTCGCAACAATCGCCTTCACTTATTCGTTGAGCGCCAGCTACACGCGGCACTTCTAACTAACTTCAATTGCATAGTCTAATCTTGAAGGAGCTTCCCTCTGCACAAAAATTCTGACGATCACAGGTTGATAATTTATTCTCATTTTAAAGTACTTTTCTAAGAGCTGAGTTACACATTGTTATACCCAAATTAATGAACTCTGCATCATTAAATAGAATTGAACGCTACCATGTAATCCTTGCTCTATGCGGATTGAAAGTTTTCAATGGGTTTTTAAATGGTTATATAGGTATTATTAGGTTATTTATTCATGACAGATTGATAGACGTGGTGAAGTGATTCTTCACCATTGTTCACATGTTTTGTATCATATTATTGAATAAATATTCTTTGTATTTATTTTTGTTTCCCTTTTTCACCAAACAATGGGAACCTAATTACACTTATGCCTTTTATATTTTATTGGTTCACATGATCAGGTTTTATGAAACCTCCATTAATGACGTAAACAAAAATTGGACCAATCATCATTTATCGCAATTCAATGTGCCTGTTTGTGCTTCATTTCAAATGCAGGTCTTCAAGAAAGTTGATAGACGCCTCCGCAGCATCCAACATTAAGAGAGTACGAGGTTATTCCGCTTTGAGATTTTTACCGACCTTCCTTTTTTATGTTTGACATGAGTGTGCTCACCTCTGCGTATCATAAAGCGGCAAATTTTATTTTCACCTTCGAAATCTTCACCTGAATCTTGTCTTCAAAAACAACGGAACGTGCCAAATGAAGCGTTATAGGATCCTACGTGTCACATTCACCTATTTCGTCTTTAGCGTAATGCAAATAAAAGTACAATACGCTAGCTGTACCGCGCAATCTAGAAGCATCGCATGTAAATTGGACGCAGACACGCGGTCCATATTAAAATTGCTTAACCAGTTCATTAGCTCTATTCCGGGTTCCTTGCTTCCGACAGCTCTTTGCTCATGAAAATAAGTTTATTTCATTTCTTACTACTATACTTATCATGAGGAAGGACTTAATAAAATCCCCAATACAATTTGGTAAATATTATTATATTTTTACAGTATTTTTGTGTATGGTTTGTGAAAATGAAGTTTACAAAGGCATTGGATAGCTAGCAAAAATACTTATTGGAAACGGCTTTGGGTGGAAATTATTTCAGTTGCAGTTTCTTGATGGCAACTTTACTGGGTTGAAACTTATTGTGAGCCTCACGAACAGCAGCAGCGAAGCATCCATTGAAAATCTGAACACAGGGGCGAAGTGTAGGGATTTGGACATTGGAGATCATTAACGCACGAGATGCTCCAGCTGTATGGATCTGTAAAGAGAAAGAAGAATTAAACTTATTTGCCAGTCTCTCCTCAGAGGAAACGCGGATGACATGACTGATACAATCATCAAAAGATCCCCTTTTTTTCTCATATCACAGTCCTTGACTTCTTAAGAGGTAAACTAAACCAAGTTCACGGCTGAGGTGGAAAATTTCCAAAAAATTATAAATGGCACCTCAAAATTTACTACTAGGAAGATAAAAAAATTTAAAATGGAGAATCACTAACTCTCTATTTTTTTTAGAATAATTTTTGCGGACCATTTCCTCGTCCATTTTGAGGGGGGTCTCTGCTCTCTGGGCCAATTACCCCTGAGCCCGAGGTCCGTAAAAGAATTATGCTGCCTAGAATTCATACAATTGTTTTATTGATCAATATATGCCAAAATATCTCAAGATTTTGCCGAAAAAAGAGGAAGGAAAAAAGGAGATGCTTGCTAAGGAAATAAAGGCATGAAATATGGTACTTTTTGTCAATATGTCAACAATACAGCTTCAACTACGCTCTCCTACGAGACGAAAGTGTTGCAAGTATTTGCCTTTCATAAGCATAGATGTTCAATACCCGTCACATGACACATTGAAAAACCTCTTTTTACTTTCATGCTTTAATGTTTTGAAAAAGTATGTCTTTAAATCAATGGAGCACATGAAACGTAAATAGTAATATAATGAAGTATAGTGTACGTACTTAACCAATTAGAGCAGCCACAGCAGGTTCCGTGAATTATGGCTGAGTCATCTTCGCATCGCCAGGGAGGACAAGGAGTGTTACAACTCTGATATCGATTCCCGTAGCCCAAGAAACCTGAAACAGCTGAAATGAGATCTAAAATGACAAAAATAGCTACAATGTAGCCGAAAATATCAATTTGAGGAAAATTGATCCTACATAATAATGGTGCAACCGTGAAGAATCCGAGCAAGTATTATTAAATGTACAGTAATGTATCAGATTTCTAGGCTCCCTAGTAACACTTAGCCATGAAGCACCAGGAAGAAAGTTTTAATATTAAATGGCGTGGCATGCAACTGGTGTCATAGAAAAACTTCATTAAGTTTGGGAGAAATGGGGAACAGGATACTCAATTGTGGGATATTAGGAAACAAGGAGTATAATCTAGAAAGTTTGGGAAAGAGAAAAAAATATGAATTTTCAATTTTAAAATCTTAAAAAATGTCCGACTGAATATACATTTTAATGATATTAAGGTAGAAAGGTTGAATCGAAATATGAAAAAATGAAATTAAGGAATAAATGAATGGGTAATTCGAAATAAATTGAACATCAAAGTGCGACATGTGACGCAGCTTTAGAAATAGCGCCTGGATGCAACTATTCCTGCTCCACGGATATCCACGTTGTATGTAAAAAAATGAAGGCGCTCCAGTTTGCTTTATTTTTCCTCCTATAGAGGTGTGCGCATTGTGCCGCTCCAAATCATTAAAAAAAATAGATTGAAAACAAGGGAACAGCGGACGTTTAATGCCTTTCACAAAACGAGGTGCATCAAGTCACCCACCATGATAGTACATACCATGATTTTCTCCACCTTGGATTAATGAAGTAGTGACAATTATATTATCTGTCGCTGTTCCACTTAAAATGCGGATGAAACCAAAGTGGGGAAAACTACGGCATTTATGCCAGGCCCGCCACAAGGGGGGGATTACTGGGTCCTTGGTACCGGGGCCCGGGCCCTGGAGGGGCCCGTGACGCAGGTGACAAACCACTACGAATTCATGTGTAACCCTTGTCTCGTAGGGAAAAGTGAAAAAATTACCCTAAAAATTCCGCAAAAGGTTAATAAAGTTTCAAAAACACGCTAGGGCACTATAAAATTTTTCTTACTTTTTTAGAGATTTTCAAGATTTTGAGTATATGTAGAATGATATTTTTAGTAACTGTGTTTCATTTTCTTCCGTTGTCGGATGCTAAGAGAGCTAAGAGGCTCCTTTCTGGGCATCCTCGACTTCAATGGCTTAACTTCCTTGCCATAGACGTACGAAAGGGGAGTCCAGGGGGGCCCGGCTCCCCATAGAATTGAAAATTATCATCTGCCCCCTCAAAAAAAAATTTATAGATGTTTTGAATGCAACAATTCGCAATTCAATGCAAATTATTTATATGCATTTATATGAAATGAACGAAAAAATTATGAATTTAATAATTGTAACTTCCGCCGCTGCGACGCCGACCGCACTGTGTTTGGCGCAATGCGTGAAGTGTTCCTACAATCTTGTATGCGCTATACGTTTCACGCCGACCGTCCGCTGCTACACGAACTGTGTTCGACGCAATGCGTGAAGTATTCATGCAGTCTTGTAGGCGCTATGCAATTCATGCCGCCCGCTGCTGACCGCAGCGACCGCACTGTCTTTGACGCAATGCGTGAAGTATTCCGGCAGTCTTGTAGGGGCTAATATGTGTTACATGCCGACCGCCGCCGCGCCACGCCGTGCCGCGCCGAGGGTTTCATTTCTAATTCTCTCATCATTGCTCTCTGCGGCACTTCCAGGCCAAATTCTGTGTTCGGTTTCTCTCTTAGTCTTAACTCGACTAATTAAATGTGCTGCCTATTGTACATATATCACAGAAAGACGACGAATTAGTGATGTACTCCCAGGAAATGAGAGATTTTGTCACCTTTTTTCGTTTGTAATTTTTTTACTGAATCCGATTTTTCTTTACACCTACATTTAAAAAAATTGCAAACTTTGCCGCCCCCTAAATTTGCCAACACTGTTGCATGCATTGCAACATGGGATCACCCACGGAAAAAAATAACCTTACACCGGTAAGCAGGATGGATCCGAATACAAAGGAAAGTTTAAAAAAAGAAAAGAAAGAAAAAAGAAGAATGCAGTGCAATCGAAGCTGCAGTGTCTACATGTGCTATTGAAAACTCCTCTTGTACGTAGATAGATCCTTGCCACTTACACTTAATGATGTAGTGTTCCTCATTCCATAAGTCCGGTCACAATTATCCTAACTTTAACATCTACTCATCACAGAAGATCATACTAGAAGTAACAAAAGAACAGAGTTTAACAGATAAGCACCAAACCATATCAAACTTAAAGGAGAAAAGGAAGTTTGAAGTTTTGTCACTTCCCTACGACTCATTGTTAAGGAAAAAGGTTAATGACTTTTTTTCACGTCTTCACAATATCTTTCAGATTTTGAAGGGAGAAAATTCACGACTAGTTAAATTTGAAATTACTGCTAACTCATATTGTTCTCTACAATGTGACTTGGTGCATCTCTGTTAAACTTGGTCCAAAACGGACTCACCCTCTAAAATTCTTGTTCCAATCGGGGCAAAGGCTTCCGGTTCCGGATCAGGATCAGCGAATGCGAGAACCGAATAAGTCAAAATAACTGCACTGATGACTGAACAATACTGAAGGCTCAACAGGGTCATGGTCACCGACCTACGGAGCGGACAGGGGCATGAAAAATCGGAGACCCGAAAGCGCGAGGAAAATCGAGGCGTATCAAAAAATGAAAACCGGGAACTTCGCCAAAAAGTTGCTCGAGAGTTGCGATCTAGTGGCGGGAAACGAGATCGGCCGCGAGACTACCCATTAGTGAGCCTGATTATCTCAATCGAGCTGTAATTAATGCGTCTGGAGAGAAGCCCCGCCACGCTTGTGTGGGTGTAGATGTGTGTGACATCTTCGCGATCTACGCTGCCGGGCTAAGGAAAAACGCCGTATAAGTCTTTAGGCGTTGCCAAATTTCCACCGGCAAATCACTAATTTTAAGGCAATTTTTGAACTTTTTTCTGCCGATTTCTCAGATAATTTTGTTTGTAATTTGACCTAAAGTGATTGAAAATTTTGAGGAAAAATATTTATACGTGTCCTCTAAAATTAACATTTTATCGAAGGAAATTTGGCAACTCTCGAATGTTCATGCGGCGTTCCTCTTTAGCACGGCAGTACGCGTCTAGTCAGGAATCTGTTCGCTCACTCACTTTCTGCCGGCGAAATCTGCGAATTTTCAGGTGAGAGCGGAGAAGGGAGGTGACGTCAGGTCATATATCTGCAGGATCACCATGCTCGGAAGAATCTGTCGCCAGAGTGTGTCTTAAATTTTCAATTTAGTGTAGGAAACGAGGAAATAGGTCAATGTAGCTCTTGCTCGCATCAGAGATTTGTGATTTCAGTATTCCTACGTAATATCAGAGATGAGAAGTGAAATTTCAAAAAGCTCGAGTAAATTTCACAATATAAAATTTGTTAATTTTATTCGGAATTATTAATTGCAGCTTTTGGGCGTTTCAGATGATCTTCTTGTTTATGCGGCATTTAACCATTCATATTATCTCTGAATTATTGATTACTGAAGAGTCGAGATTAAGGACAGTCGAAAAAAGTATATGTTCTGGAGTATCCGGTGCAGAAAGGCACAAGAGACAGATCGGGGATAGTACTAAAAGCGCGGGATTAGCCCTCGTGGGCTGCTTAAAGTGGTAAAAAAAAAAAAAAAAAAAAAAAAAAAAAAAAAAAAAAACTAACTAGTTAAAATAGCTCTTGTCCCTGGATGAACTCACTCTATTTAGGTTAACCCACAAGGGGTCCGATCCTCAAAGGACGCGAAGCGCTCTCGGGGGTGTCGGACCACGTAACGGACAGGGGGCGTGCCCCCCTACTTAGGTTTTGACTTTAAATACTTAAATCATGTAGGCTAACATGGAAAAGTGAGAGCTGCTCACAACCAATTGCAAAATCGCCAGTAGAGATCAAAACCATGTAGAATGAATTTGACAAAAATGTTGGGCTTCATGGGCGAGTTTTTGACAGAAGTAGAGCAGATGACACGAAAGCTCATAACCCAGACCGTGAAGTTGAAAGTGATACTGAAGATGGGAGGATAGTGACACCCCACCGCGCGATCGGCGGTAAATCGCATATGATCGGTGAGTAGACAAATTCTGAATAATGGCATTGTAAGTCGATCGTAGTGAAACCACTGTTGAGAAATGAGTCAAGGTCATCAGCAACCTCCGTATCTCATCATTTTTGTCGTTCAGCTGCAAGACCGACCTTAAACAAAATAACTCACTTTTTCCGGATGTTTGAACCCTTTTGTCCCCATGTAACGCACACGAGCTTTTTGATCAGATTTTTTTCTCTCACGTTTAACTGCATACGAAAACATCTCACTTATTTTCCTCGCACTGAAATAAAAGTTACCCGTCATGTAGACATACCACCCGTTCTGGGTTCAGAGGCTGAAAGTTCCGGGTGGTAGAGCCGGAAGTTCGATGGCTCCGGGTGCTATGCCCGGAACTTTTGGTTTCTGAGCTCGGCACGCGGACGGTATGTCTATATACCCCGTAAGTACGGCTTCCACGGCCGGAGTTTTTTTTTTCAATGCAGTATACGTTATTTGGGTGAAATAGAGATTTTGGTTACCTATCGTAATTTTGGCGATATTTGTTTGATTGGTACTTGAAAATTTCCACTGAATTGAATTCACGATACAGACATGGATTATACATAAAAAAAAGTCAAGACCTACTTTTTTCAAGTGTCTCTTCACGAAAGTAGATGTGTCACAGACTGTGAACAATCTCGGGCAGTAAACGATCGGCCACCGAAACACTACAAAAATCAAGCGCAAAAAATGTCCCATGGCTAAACTGACCTATATTGGTTATGGTTTTTTCCCTGGAAGGAAGTTTAAATCTACTGGTTCTTAGGGAAACTATAGATACTAATTCCATGCGCACTACAATGTTGAAATTAGATTTTTTAAACGCGTCAAACGTGATGTGCGTAAAATTAAGATGAGAAACATATGTTTCAAAGCTGTGCTTCTCGTTGTCCGTCGGTATCAAGTGATGAATTGAAAAATATGGGAAAAAATTAATGAACAGTGGTTTTATCATACCCCCTTAAAAATCAAAACTACCTGTTCATCATGAGGGCACAACGATGTGATCGAGGGAAAAAGGGTGATGATTCCAAAATTCTGGGCATAATTTTTGAGGCGAAAAAATATATATTGTTGATACAGATTTAGGTTTGCTGAAATATGATCCTTTATGAGGAGTTTGATCGACGTTTTATTTTCGGTTTACGTGTAAAGTGTTGAATTTTTGTCCCTACGTACAATGAATATTCATTCATTACCCCAGGAGTATTATCTGCTCATTCAGATGTGTGCACACGTTATTCAAGTTACAATTGGACCATCAATTTTTAAGACTCGCTGAAGACCACTTCAAATTGGCCACAGTTTAAAAAGATTATATGAGCAGATATTTCTTTACTTATCACATAGGGCATAAAAAAAATTATTTGCAGTTGCTCAAGAGACACTTCACAGATACTGTGTATTTCATTAGACGTAGTTTTTATTTTTAAAAAGGTTTTAATTAAACGTGAAAGTTTTAAAAGATGAAAACCCTGACGGAGAAATTTCCCATACCTGAGGATTCACACACGGTTAACCCAAAATTTGAATGCTTTCGTCGGATACTACCTCAGGTGCGATTATATTAGGCCTCTTCACACATATTTCTTATTTTAATTCCTATACTGATCGATCTTAATGTGATTTTCAAATGAATGTATGCATTCTAAAAGGAATGGTGTACAGATGAGTAAAATCGGAAGTACAGACCTAAGTACCTACGAACCAGGCTCTTCTTATGCATATAGCTCCAATTAAATATAATTCAGTTGTAAGTAAGACCAAAATGGGAAATAGTTCTATATAGTTTATTTAAATTTGAGCTTTATCAGGTTTCGATACATTTCCAATTTCGTTTTTCTTTATTTTGTCAAAAAGTAAAATTTATCTGCTTATGACCAAAGATTGGAGACAAACGATTGATGAGCAATAAAACGCTGCTCGTGTGCGCTTGCATTTAAGCATGGAAAAGGAAATATCTTTGTAGGAGGTAGAGTAGGTACTTCTGATAATGTACGGCAGTCAGCAGTCAGTATCACTGACTGGTCATCATCCAATGTCAGCGAACAACTGAATTTATCAAAAGCTTCGTTTAAAACAAAGTAAGCTAAAAGGGAAAGAAATAAAATTAAAATTAAGAATAATTAACGAAACCCTGAAGATTTGTAATATTTACAAGCAAATCAATCAATAATTGAGGAACGACCTGACAATACCAGGTAATTTTTTACTTCAACAATGCTCCTGTAAATGTTATCCTGATGATACTGATGCTTATTATTATTCAATGGAATTACCGCAAACATTTTTGAACGAGTACAAAGTTTGAAAAAAAAGAAAGATATATATAAATGTATGCGTAGATACAAGACTTAAATTTTTGCTTTCCCTGTAATGAAATAAATCGAGGCATCAAGAGGATCGTAGCATCACAAACCAAGACACAGGCCTGTGTTTCTCTATATATTCACAGTTGTTTTGCTACTCTATAGGACTCCGTAACTATCAAGTAAAAGCATTTTCTAAGATACATGCAACTACGACCCACTGCATTGATTATAAAAACAGGTCATCGCAGCTGCTGCTCCCATTCTGATGTATTTAACGGTAGGAATTATAGGCGCCTTTCCTACTATTCTCATCCCAGCTTTGACTGCTAAAAACACCGAAAGCGTACTTCACTTAACGATCGACCAGGCTTCGTGGTTTGGTACGTATTTAATCGATGTATTTCCTTTACATACTCTTTCAAATTCTAATGAATTCTTGATCATTCACGGTTGACAAATCGTGTCTATGTGCATTAATCTGTATAGTCACGGACACAGGGTACTGAACTCTCCGTCGTAACGTCGCACATCATATCAGATGCAAATCTCGCTCATAGAGCATTTGAGATGCAACTAAGTATGTGGAATAAATTGTAGGTTCCAGTGTTTTTGCGTACCCAAAAATGATATCAGTTTCCCCTATGTTTTCGAAAATACTCAAAGCATGCACGTTTTGATGCACGAATTTCTAATCTTTAAAAGAAAGTTTTGCTTTATTGTTCTGTAGGTATAATGTGATGTTTTATTGTTTTCAAAATTTATTTTAAAACCTAAAGCGGAGTTATATTTGATTGGTATTCCTCGAGACATTTATTTTCATCGCCTAAAATACAGTTACACGTATTTATTTGTGTCTTCCTCTCCAGAACATCCGTTCTCTGAGCAAACAGCCCATGAAAAACCCGGAAAAATTAATTCTTGCAGATCCGAGATTTTGAAAGGATACCGTTAATCAGAATGCTTAAATTCGTATATTGCCTAGGTAAACCATTCTATTCTAATTCTATTCAAATTACGTTCGCATGTAAGGAGTAAGAGCATAGATATGAAGTTAAGAGGCTCCCTCACAATTCCTCCTAGCCCAGCGATTTTATTTAGTTTAAGATTTCCGTTGTACCATCGCATGATATTTTTGAAAAATAACTGAGTGACGTATGAGGTATCAAAGTTCTATCTGAGAGTATTTTTTGTAAAAATGACCAGAGATTACTTCTGAGACGTTTATTTTTTTTTAGGATTGTCCACCCCTCTACATACCCTCGGAGGTAATCTCTCCCTCATTGAAAATTCCTAGTTTCACTATCATGAAAGCGAAAGCTCGTCATAAGTCTATTTCAAAAAGTCTATTAGATATTTTATACAATTCAGACAGTTTTCAACGATTTTAAGTTTCGGTTCTGCTTCCTCTTTAACAGGCAGTGCAAATTACATTTTTCGATCAGTCGGGTGTCTAGTGGCAGGAATTGGCCCTCGAACTTGGGGATGGCGGAAATTGATAATGCTCGCTAGTCTTCTGCAGGCGGGATGTTGGTTGTTAATCTATCTTGCTCCGTCAACTCACACGCTATTTATTTCTCAATCGTTATTGGGCATCGGTACGTAAAATCTAATAATCATGTATAATTATTACATGGAAACTGTTTTTTTTTTCAGTGTTATCACTACAGTAAAAATACAGACTTACATAATTCAAAATTTATTTTATTTTATTATTATTATTTTTTTTTTCAGTTTCAGGACTAATAGAATCTTTGTCATCTCAATACATGGCGGAAATCTGTGAGCCCTCCGTTAGAGGAACTCTTCTGGCTTTAATCGCTTTAGCGGTCACTATGGGATACTTCATCGTGTTTTCTCTCGACTATGTGACAGAGTGGCAAAACATTGCAGCCATAAATGTATCATTACCTCTTCTATGTATTGTCTTAGTAACACAGGTAACTATGCCATACAGGTAAAATAAAAGATGTTCATATAAGTATGCTCATTTGGTTTACTTAGACACTTTATTAAGGAGTGCAAGGAGATGTTGTCATGAACACAGCCCTTTGCAAAGTGCACATTGAGCAGAAAACCTTGGAGCGTCGGGAGAATTTTGCCTCGAGGAGCTTGACGACTTATTGTTAGAGACAACTTTTGGTGTCCTCACACTTGCTCGCGGAAATATTTGTCGGCGGGGATATGGATGTTCTCCCACTACATTGATTAAAAGTATTTGTATTCTTGTGTTACTTTTGGTTAATATAGGAAGTGAAACACAAACCAACCAATTTTGTGTTGATATTCGCACAGTTTGCGGTGAATTTAGCGCAGGAAACAATGAGAAAATGTATCCCTCCGATTGCGACGTTGGTATTCACCACTCGTTTCTCAATAAATTCCCTCAAGAAGTCAAAAAGACTTTTTTAACTCTTTTTTACGTATTTGAGCTGTTATTGATACGAGAATTCACAAATTAGCATACCTTAAATGACTACTAGAAGTGAGTTATTACTCCAAAAATCAGGGCTCTAGCCAATCTTTATCATGCTTAAACAGTGCGATGGAATCGGCGAAAACAGCTTGAATGACGTGATTTTTTGACACAAATTGCAAAAGCGGCACCGCAAAATTTTTTTTTTCGAGGAACGCTTTGGCACACTTTAGTGTGATGCCTAGACGCAACTTTTTCCCGTCTATACATTTTTGAAATTCGAAAGTAGATGTTTTTTGACTAGCCCTGGTGAAGACCCACCTAAAATGGCTGAGACACATTGATATATTCGCAAAATTTTAAGAAGCGCGTGCCGTGTTGCGCCTCTGTCATTTTCTTCATCACTTAGTTTCTTTGTTTTTCTGTTTAATCACAGATTCCGGATAGTCCCATATGGTTATTGTCCCAAGGCCGCCCAACACATGCTCTTAAATCTCTTCAGTGGCTCCGAGGTTGGACATCCGCCGAACTGGTCCAGGAGGAATTTGAAAAAATGGAGGCTCACTATAAAAAAAGTACTGAGCAATCTCTTCGGAGTAAGATGGCAGTCGAATACGAGTACGAGCTGTGTCCAACCACTGACAAGATGAGGTTGGGCACGAGCGAAAAACAATGGAGTCGGAAAGCAATCTTCTCATCAGCAGCAAATTTGTACAGGGATGTGTTTCGAGAGGAGATGCTCAGACCGTTTCTAAAATGCCTCAGTCTCTTTGCCATCGTGGCCTTCAGTGGTCTGCCTTGTCTCACGACGTACATGAAGAAAATATTTCAAGACCTCGATTTGTCTATTAATAGCAATCAAAGCATTGTTAGTATTCGTCCTTTTTGTAAAATAATTACGCGTCGTTTGATATCAATATTGGCTCAATCGGAAAAAGAGCAGGATTGCTGCCTTTGTAAAGTTCAAAAATGCGGTCAATCATTTTTCGGGAAATGGAGGGATGAGCAAGAAAAACGAAGGGCTATGCGTGAAAAAATGCTTCTGCGTCGTTTGAGACCAATTGAATCCCTCAGTTCGAAAACGACCCATCTTGGAAAAATGAAATTCTTTAGGAGACTATAACAACTGAGCAACAGCCAAAGAAGGAGTTTTACAACGTAAAAAATGAACATAGTAAAAAACCAAGTCGGGTCGTTTCCGAATTAAGAGATTCAATTTATGAGCTCAATCGGACATCGGACAACGTCGTCAGGGCCGGATTTACCTACTTGCCGCCCATGGGCCGTCTGTATTTTGCCGTCCCCTTCTCATTCGCTTTGAAACATCGATACAAACCATCAAGTGAACGTGGCGGAGGAAGAGGGGTACGTAAAACGCGTTTACTCGTGTTGGGCACATTTTTTGTGAAAGCCCTGGCAACACTTGCAAAAGTTCAGGGAACTTTGCGGGGGAATTAAGTTCCGTAAACCTATCTCGGTATGGACGAGGACTTTCATTTATAAGAAAAGAACGAAAAATTTTTGAAAGAATAAACAGGAATGTGGTTTTAATGCGTTTAATTTCTGCCACCGCGTCAACCGCTCAGTGTTTGGCGCAATGCGTGAAGTGTCCCTACAGCATTGTAGGCGCTATGCGTTTCACGCCAACCGCTGCTGAACGCATAACGTTTGACGCAATGCGTGAAGTATTCGTGGAGTCTTGTCGGCGCTAATATGTGTTTCATTTTGACCGGCGCACCGAGTATTTCTCCTTTCCATCTCAATTTTTGTCATCATTGCTCTCTGCGCCGCGCTGCTCCAGGCCAAATTGCGTGTTCGGTTTCTCTCTCAACTAGACTAATGTAAGGCGCTGTCTCTTGTATCATCAAAAGAAGAACCAATTAGAAATTACTATACTTTAACTCTCAGCAAATGAGAGATTTTTTCGCCTTTTCTCGTTTGTAATTTTTTTCTCAATCAGATTTTTTTCTTGATACCTACTTTTGAAAAAATTACAACATTTGCCGCTCCCTAAATTTGCTGCCATGGGCGGCTGACCATGTGGCCACCCCCTAAATCCGACCATGATGTTGCCATGGTTTTCGCAAAGTCGCCTTTGCATAGAAAAGAAAAATCACGAACATGTTTAAGAATTGCCGTCGAGTACCTAGTTTTTTATTTAAAAAAATATATGTGATATGTCAGGAAGTCTGCAACGACGCAAACCGAGATACGTGATCTACTGTCGATACACCTCTCTCAGCTTTCATACACTGAAAAAAACACTCCGGCCGTGGAAGCCGTAATTACGGGCTATAGAGAGATACCGTCCGTGTTCCGGGCTCAGAGGCCGAAAGTTCCGGGCGTAGCACCCGGAGCACTTCGACTGCTCCGGGTGCTACGCTCGGAACTTTCGGCCTCTGAGCCCGGAACACGGACGGTATGTCTATATAGCCCGTAAGTACGGCTTCCACGGCCGGAGTGTTTTTTTCAGTGTAAAAAATCTAAAAACGTATCTGTTCCTCTTCTTCTTCTTCTTCTTCTTCTTTTGTTGCAGATGTTGGTAACTTGTGGTGCATTGGTAGGAAACTGTGGTTGTGCGCTTCTTGTACATAGAGTTAACAAGAAGCCTATGCTAGAGTTTTCATTGATTTGTTGCGCAATTTGCCTTGTTCAAACTGCCCTCTTCCTCATGGGATACATGCCAGGACCCAGGGATTCAATAGCTTATCGCTGGAGTTCCGTGGTACTCATATCGGCGTATTACCTCTTCGCCAACTTAGGATTGCTCCCGATATCTAGAGCATACTTTGGAGAAATTCTTCCTCACAGGTGTGTTATTTAGATACGTTTTCAGCGCAATTTATCGGCCGATTGACTGCGCAATTTTCTGTAGAATAAAAACTGTCCTTTTCCTCATGAACTCAACTTCTGATAAATGTACACCTCCTAGCCACGACGCGGCCCAACTACGAGAGAGCGCTTCGCTCGCACCCTCCAAGGCCCGCTAGTTAATCTAAATAGAGCAGGCTTATTGAGAGACTGTCTCATATTGATAACCGCAAAAATAATGAAAATCGACCAGTTAGATCTGTAGAAAGAACAAAACAACAACAAATAACGAAGTGTTTAAATTGAAAAATTCACAATTTCATAACGAGATATAAGAAGACCTGGGTCAAATTCCCAAAATCTGAACAAAGGGGGCTGCTCACCTAGGGACTATCGCCTGTCAATAACTGCAAAAATCATGTAACAGTCGGTCCAGTAGAACGGCAGAGCGGACTGTGGCAAAAATGAAAATTTGGGGGGCCAGAGCAGAGCTTATAGTAATGATGTATGTACACTCTTTATACTATAATACTCTTATACCACCCTATATTATTCTCCACTTGTTACGACTTTAGTCATTTTTCCTAAGATACCCGCGGTCTGCTTGAACATTAAAAGAATGTTTCTCCTCTGTTTTTTTAGGGGCCGCGAGGTTGCAGCTAGTGTGCTTACCAGTATCTTTTCCTGGTTCATGGTTATTTCCGTGAAGACGTTTCCAGCCTTGACGCAAGCATTGAGACTCGAAGGAGCCCTGCTGATCTTTGCTGCAGTCTGCATTGGTGGCGTGTTTTTCTCGATGTCACTGCCCGAAACGGAGGGCAAGCATTTGCAAGATATCGAGGCAGAAGTTACACAGAGGGTATCGATTAATGGAAGCAAACCTGAAACTACCAAAGCCTACTCATGCTGAGAGGAAAAGAAACTGATCTGAATTGATCAATCTTTCGCAAAGCTTCTTAACTTGCACACACTTTGAACACACAATTTTATGAATACTTTGAATTCATTTTGTATAAAATTAGTCGAGTTAAGACTAAGAAAGAAACCGAACACGGAATTTGGCCTGGAAGTGCCGCAGAGAGCAATGATGAGAGAACTTGAAATGAAAAGGAGAAACCCTCGGCGTGGCGCGGCGGCGGTCGGCATGTAACACATATAAGCGCCTACAAGACTGCCGGAATACTTCACGCATTGCGCCAAAGACAGTGCGGTCAGGAGCGGTCGGTGTGAAACGCATAGCGCATACAAGACTATAGGAATACTCCACGCATTGCGCCAAACACAGTGCGGTCAGCGCGGCGCGGCGGCGGAAGTTAAAATTATTAAACCACATCCATGTTTGTTCTTTTATATTATTTTCGTTCATTTCATATAAATGGAAGGCCTTGTCCACACAGAGATAGGTTACGGAACTTAACTTTTGCGCCAAGTTCCGTGAAATTTTGCTAGTAATGTCGATAGGGCTTTCGCAAAAAAATGTGTCCAACACGAGCAAAGGCGTCTTATGCACCCCTCGCCCTCCGGCACTTGATGGTTTTTATTGATGTTTCAAAACGAATGAGGAGGGAGCGGCAAAATACAAGCGGCCTATGGGCGGCAAATAAGTAAATCCGGCCCCGTCTGTGAAATGATAACCACTTCTCGTTGTATTGAATCTCGTAGGATATAGTTTGAGATACGAGAAAATAAACCATACATTCGCAATTATTTAATTTTACTACTCTTCATTATTTGAGTATCCCTCAAATCTAAAGATATAATAGCGGACGGAAGGCAGCCATGCTGCATGAGGAGGATTTTCGTGAGAAACATCCCCCCCCCAACCCCCCCAACCCCAGTTGTTGATTCCTAATGAATTCAAGAATACAGAAATAAACACAGATCCGTCAATTTTTGCAAAAACTATGTACCTATCGTTGATATTCAATCCGAACACGTGTGTGAAAAGACATCAGCAAAACCACGTGTACGGATTCAGCAATTCCGTAAATTGTACTGGAGGTCAGGACAAGCCAAACTATGTGAAGAATTTATTCGATTTTTCGGTCATACGAGTATTTTCATGTCTACACGCAGGTCGCAGGTCCCACGCTAGGTAATCACTGTAGTCAAAAAGCGTGCAGCTTTGAGAAGTTTTCATTACATATTTTCTTATCTGCAATATAGATAACCGACGCTGGAAAATAAAATTAAAAATGCTATTTAATATCGACGATGTGACGTACTTAATTCTGCTAATTTTTATGAGAGAATTTTTAGATATTCCAGAAAGTCAAATAACGTCAAATAGGTAAAGTTAAATATAGCAAACAATTTGAATGATACCTGCAGGAGTTTTCAGAGTATTTTTTCGTCCAGATTCACTCAAAACATCGTTTCCTGTTCTGTAAGTCTATAAACTTGAAGTCTGGACTTTACAGTGACAGTTGACTCCGAAATACCGGCGTCAAAACCTCAAGATATCCATGGTATAAGAAGGGCCAGTGACCTAGCCCCGAGGTGTTTGCAGTGTGGGCAGTTCTGAACTACCTGTGACAAAAATCGTGCGCAGAGCGGTCACAGGAGAGTTACACCTTCTTGAAGAAGAGACCTAATGCGCAAAGCGGCAATGGATATACAAATTCGAATGATTGCCTCACGCTATCATGAGGCGTCCGTAATTTTTTGTAAAAAAAAAAAAAAAAAAAAAAAAAAAAAAAAAAAAAAAAAAAAAAAAATGCAGGCGTATTTTACAATATTATATCTTTCATTATTCGTGTGCTTTAACAAACGAAGAACTATTTTATTTTTATATAGCTACTGCAAGTCAAAGGTATGAGATTATCCGTTTTTTTTTTGTAGGAATACTATTGCAATCTATCATGAGTTACACATTTCTTCCCATTTTTTTATGTTAAAAATTAAATTTCACTTATAAAATAACGCACGTATAGCATTTCGGGATAGCGGGTAAAGAGAAATTAAAATACGTTCCTTATGTCCGCTTTGCGCACATCTGCTGGCAGATCTTGTTCACTTCGCGCACGTATTTTTTTTAAAAGTCTCTTTCTGAAAGCTCTAAAAAATTGATCTCTTTCAGATGCATTGTAAGACTATTTTCATGCAAAAGGTTGCGTGCTAAGTCACTACACCTACTAGCAAGTCTCGAAGAACATCTCAAATGTTTTCCATGTTCCTATCGCTTTATTCTCGCTCCAAAGGAATTTTCGACTGGACAGATTTTTTTTCTTGCGAGGGGGGGGGGGTTTGGGGGCAAATGATACTATTCCAAATAAAAGTGAAGGATATCCAGACTCACTTAAATGCTCTACTCCCACATTAACGACTAAATATCGATCTGGCAACCGAAAATACAGGTATACCTAAAAAAGCAAATTAAGACTTCCCGTCGTCGGTTATTTACCTTCCACCGGGTGTGTACACTCAGGACAGCCGGCAGTATATCTCCGTGTTATCTCCTTCGCAGTTCATGACGAAAGGGACCAGTCAAGTGCAGCGTTCTCGCTGTCACTCAGTACCATCGTCACCCAGTTTAACTGTATGCTCATATTAGACTATTTTACAAATTAATTACGCTTATTTCACTCGACTTTGCTTAAAAAGAACCTGGTTTAAAGCAATAAAGTGTAATGTTACCGTATACGGTCGTGTGATGATTTTCGTGTGATGTGCTGCGGACTCATATTGCGACAAAGTCGTATAGTGTAAATCAATTACGGTACTTCGTTGAAAACGAATGCCTTTCATTCATACGCTGTGATATATTTTGAAAGTGCCTGAATATTCTTTTAATTAAAGCCAGGTAGCTAAACAATTCCATAAAATTTGCTAACAATCTGGTATTTATTCAGAAAATTTGAACTTACATTTTGATAAAAGTGTTTTGACTCTCTACATTCTTTGAACGGTCGACATTTCTAACCTAAAAATATTTGTCATTAGGAAAATGCAGTCGAAACTGTAAACAGACATGCACTACCCATCAAGTGTTCCCGTAAATCTTAGACTATTAGTGTACCCGAAAAATAGCAAAACGGCTACACCGTATCGGAAAATAAGATTTTTCGACCGGAAATCCACGGATCCTTTTCCAGCGTTAAGCGTGTTGCCTACCGACATGGTGTCTTCCGAAAAGAGGTTAAATTCGTGACGATTATGAAACTCTCGTTTGATGTAAAATATCTTCACCTTAGAGAACCGTCCGGGTCCTGGGGATGAATCGGAACACTTTATATAGCCGCTACTTGCTTCTCGTAGTTTTCTCGCTGGTAGGTTTCCTTGTGTACTTGGACGCCATCTCCTACATTAATCAATTACTACGCCCTTATTATGGGCCCCGTTTGTTTTGCTACACTCTGCCGCAAGTCGACTCGAACACTCTGGAGATCTCCGAGTACAAGGTGCAGCCGAACAGTATTTTTTTCATCGAAACTTCATGCAGACACGGATCACGGATGGGTCTGACACCCAGGCAGGCTTGTGCCTATGAGTCCGCGGCTAAAGCGCACCCATATTCAGAAATACTGGTCCTTATCCCGTCACAGATTTCGTGGAATGAGGTCCCACGTTGGGTCGCGGAACTCACCAAGAACCGGAACCTGCGATTGTTGCGCGTCAATGTTTCCAAGTACCTCGAGAAGACTCCTCTCCAAAACTTTGACTTCCTCTCGAAACTGGACGAAAGCTACTATCCCGAGGCTCATGCTGCCGATGTCATACGTCTAGTCACGCTGTGGAAATATGGCGGAACATATCTGGATTCGGATTTTATCATATTCAAGTTAGTTCCAGGGTTAAATGGATTTAATTTTGCAGCATAGAGCTTTACTTGGTACTATTGCAGCGCTGTTAGGATTGAGCTACTTTTTGGTCCTTGCAAGTTTGCAAATAAAACCTGAAAATTTGAATCATTTCTATCAAAGCACGCAGAGCAAGGTCACAATTTTAATTTGCATTAATTTTAGCCACCAACGCGCCAACGATTATCTTTAAGTGTCACGTAGGACTTGAAGTAAATAATTGTAAGTAAATCTTTATTTGACGGGACTGCTAAATTGTGAGAGAGTAAATCAGAACTAAAATTTGAAGGGGTCGAAAAGATTGTTGTACATGAAAAACGAGTTTTACAAAAGATTGTCACACTTAAAATGTCACAGGTGGTGAGACAACAAGCCTATGCGTGATTGCCTAGCCATAATCAGTGAACCCATCAGTTGCAAGTCTATTCATTACTTTTATGGGTGATGGCTGGATGGTAGACTCGAAAACGAGACTGCATTTGAGAAAAGGGACGAAATTCAGTCACCACTAATGACCACATGGAAAATACATAAGAGATTAAGAAAATAAATGAAAAGAGTGTTACGGTGCTGAAGGCACACGTGAAAATTTGGAATGTATAAATATTAATGATTAAAGGTGATCGGGGAGCACAAAATCAATTTAGAAATCATTAAACTGGGGGAGAGGAGTTTCAGTATGCATACAAAGATAAAAAAATATCCCATATTAATTAATAATTTCAATTGTAATTTTCTGTGAATTTTTTCCTTTCAATCAAGAATGCCCTTATATCTAGATTTCTTCGAAAAAAAAATGAATAAAATATGTTCGGAAATTTCTGAAAGCTACTCAAGAGATACACACGTCTCAACTTTATCGATTATTGTAATTGAATCGATCAATTCATCAATTTAATACAGATTTTTTCTTTGTGAATATACAAGGAGGGAGAATGGGATAGGTTAGTTTTTGGTAGAATTTACAGCTGAGGAAATTCCTTACTGAGAGTACATACCCTGAACTTCATTTAACATGCTTGGTATGGCCACCAATCATTCAAGTGAGAATGACAACAGCAACAGCTGAGCACACACACCATTTCCCGACGCAGTCGTTCGAGTAGATATGGTCGCCCAATCTTTTTACGTAGAACACTCATCATCTTCGCCTTAAGCTTTTAAGCTCAGAGATAACTGTTGCGGGCTCCTTTAACACAAACATCTTTTGGTTATGTTGAAAAACTGACGATCCTAGGGTATGGCGATCGGCTTTACATATGAAAATAATCAAGCATCTGCAATATGATGGACTGTGAAACATTTTTCTCAATTCGAACAAAATTTCAGAAAACTGGACGGGTCAAACCAGTAATTTTTCTTTTGAAGTTTGAAACTCGAGGGGGGGGGAAATCTGAAATAGTGAAGTCCAGTTGTTGCAAATTTTGAGAATAATCCACTTCAAACGCTCATAACATCATTATTAAAGCAATCCATGACTTGCTTTGACTCAATGTCCTAAGAGTATACATATCAGAAAGTGTTCAACATCCAAAACTGAAAATCGATAATTATGACCCTAAACCGGGGTTTTGCTCTTCTGAACAGTTTGAGTTTACACTTTAAGGCACATTTTGTTGTGTCACATTTTATTCTGAATCGCACACCTATTAATGAGATAATATTTATCTTTATTCTTGGTATTTTTGTTTTTTGTCTTTTACTTGGCTCGGTAGCTCAATAAATGATTCTACTTTATTAGCCTGCAATAGATGCACTTTATCGTTCTTTAATACATATTTTTTTATTGCAGACCGGTAAATGATGTTCAGAATTTTGTAGCTGCCCAAGCTGTGCTGGCTAATGATTCGATCGCAAATGGTATTCTGAACTTCAATGATCACGGAAAACCTATCCTCGAGGCATTACTAAAAGATCTGCAACCTAATTTTCCGGGGGAAAATTGGGGTGGAAACGGGCCTATTCTCATGACCAAAGTCATCAGTAAAATATGCAACGAATCCGATGTGAGTATTTTGCTATTGTTTTTTTAACTTATAACTTAAAGATAAAATTATATCTCAAGAATTTTTTTTTTCAGCAAAGAGTTAGATGGAACGACTCCTCTTCTGAAATTTTCGCATGTGCCGTTATATTGTTTTGAGGCAGGTTTAAAAAACACATATTTTTTATGCAGATTATGAATAAGTTAAGAGTGCATTTTCTTTCAGACTTTTCCAATGCGTTCATTGTGATTTATGAGCCCTTTTTGTACGAGAAATACTTTTTTTTTTCTGCTCTAGCTGAAGTTTGCGACAGGTCCATTGCATAATTGAGGCGTACTTTATCTGAGGCATCTGTTTTGACATTTTCAGACTAGGAACATGACTCGAGAGAAGTGCGGGGGGCTCACTGTGTACCCGCCCCCTCCGAACTCTCCGTTCCTGACCGTGTTCTGGCGGGACTGGGAGCAACTCTTCAACGTGGACGCAGAGCATGTTCCAGAGCTGATGGCGAGAATCGGCAAGGGACTCGCTTTGCACGGCTACAATCACATGAGCTCAGATACACCCGCTAGTCAAAACTCGCCCTACAGCATTTTTGCCTCCAAATACTGCCCAGACGTTTATTCAACCGTCGGAGGTCATTTTTGATCCACCATGACAAAATTAGTAGTATTAGGTACTCATACCCTAAGTATTACATCTCATGTTTATTATTATCGTTTTTTATTTTGAAAACATACAGATCAGCTTGAAATAAAAGAATAAAAACAAAATGGGATCCGGCAAACTGCGAGTTATCATGTCCTTCGCAAAGAAATTGTTTTCTAAAAAAACACATAAAACATGACGCCATTCACCGTGTTGGCGTATATCACAGGCTAAAGTGCGACACTAAGTATCTCCATTGTGGCGTTTCAAAATCTCCACTTCCATTCTATTTCTCGGAAGAGGAACAAGTCGCCTTTATAGCTTGAACTTTATGCAGGATATTTTACAACAGAGAAGAAAAATCAATAAAGTTTTCAAGAAATTCGGTGGAAAATTGTTTCAAGGAAAAAATAAAGTATGACTGGAAGTCTACAACGTCGCAAACGGAGATACGTGGTCTTGCACTTTAGCCATCGATATTATACAGGGTTATCCAAAAGTCACTGACCACCCCTGTAACTTTTTTCCAAATTGAGATAGAAGTTTGAAACTTCGGCAATGTTCCAAGGGGACCCCCACGGGGACCAAAAAGTTGCTACTTCAGACCGAGGAACATTGCCGAAGTTTCAAACTTCTATATCAATTTGGATAAAAGTTACAGGGGTGGTCAGTGACTTTTGGATTACCCTGTATAGTCCTCTCTGGGGTAACTTGAAACAAAGGAGAGTCCTTGGATTTCCGTTTTGAGCAGAGATGCGATCGACCTATAAAAAATGGGTTATCCGTGAGATGCATTCTGGGATTGCTCTATAAGAGTCCGTTGGGGCTAAATAATCACGTTCATACAGATGCAATGGGTGTGCGATTTAAAGCGCATACCTATAAATATGTGCATAAAAAAAATCACCAAACTCACTCGCGAAGTGAATTTCCCGAAACCTTCATCAATTCAATCTCGCTAGTACTTTTAAAATCCTGAATGGGCCACCAAAATGCTGATGGCAAACAGGTTTTTCTCTTAACTATGTAAGATTCCACGTGAACACCCATTTTCTTTTTCTGAATCTGAATGTTCTTGTAATAATTAATTTTTTCCCCCACTGATATTTTGGGACCGGAGATATTGAGTTCAACACCTCTCTTACATGGTTTTCTTTTCAATACGCGAGTTAAATTTTTTATTCTTCTCCTTTTATATAATATCAGTGCAATTTAGTATGGTGATTAATGAATGTTAAATAACTATTTTCAGTATGAGTTCCGCTCACAATCTATATTATTCCGTGTTTATGAACGGGAATCAGCGCACGCTATGCAACCTTAATCCTTTATCAAGTAGATGCAACTATTCGTACTCCTTGGATGCTCAGGTTGCATAACCGCAAAAACGAGGGCGCTTTGGTCACTCTCGTTATCGTGGTCGCAAGTCGCAGCGATGCGCTTGAGGTCCGTCTGATACGTTCCCTATTCGTTCCAGTGCCTTTCAGTGTGGCCGCGTCTCTAACGATTGAATGACATTGGACTGCATTTTGCGATAAGGAACTACTTTAAACATGAGTTTTTAGATGCGGAATCTATAGCAAAAATGAGATGAGAAAAGCGAAAAGAATTTGATTTAAATAATTTAAATTATAATAATGTATGTGTCGCCCTTTTATTCACACGAACAATACGAAATGACTTTTCCGCTCTATAGAACTTTTCTTCTGTCGCAAGATAGTCCTAGAGATTCGGAACCGTAAGCAAAAATGTTTTACATTTTCTAATAACGCACAAAACCACTTAACTTCCTTTTACAATTATCGTCAAGTGAAAACGTCTGACACCATGATGTCATATTCATGAATTCTGACTAACCTAATGATGTGAAAACACTGCAATGATACTACATCAGTACAATATTACAACTTCGGTCTTTCCTTATCATAGGTAGATTTTCTCGAGGGTCTTTTAGTTTGGAAATACAAACCATGACGGATGTATGATGCATGCTAAAAGCGTGGTTTTTAACATTGCCTCTTCAAAGTGTCTGCTTAGTATTGCAGGATAAGGGCGGCTTAGAATAGTCGACTCGGTTTGAGAGTTCTTTGCGCGTTGATAAAAAAAAAAAAGCGTGGCAATTTTTTCCGATTAAGTCATTTTAATGATTTGGTGACTTTTTATAACAAATGAGTAAGTTTGTGTATGGGTGAAAGTTGTATTATTTATCTACTTCTAAAAAATATTTACAATGGATCAAAATAAACTATCACAGGATACAAGCAAAATTACTCCGAAAGTTACTGCATGTCGACGGATCCTATCTCAGGTGATTTCATTCTTTTTTTTAATCCCTTGCCCATTCGATATTCATGAACTCCTCATACAATTAAATCGAATGGTAATTGAATTTAGAAGAAAATCAGCATGAACAATTCTCAAATTACTCTAATTTTGCGACGAAGAGCTAAGGAAGTTGCACTTGCAATACATAACAACACGTTGCGAAGTTATTTTTGATATTCTTTAAAACTACACAAGAGTCTTGTTAAAACAAGTTTATATATGGATTTTTGTGCCTGGCAACATAGTTTAATACAATTATAAATTTATGTAGAAAAGAAAGAAAGAAAAAAGATTACAGATTTGAAGAATTCTAAAATGTGCCCTGGAAAAAAGTTTTTGTCGAGCTTAAGGCTGATGTATTTCTCTTTTTATACCTGTTTAAGTTGCCTACATAAGTTTAAAAATATGGTAGAGTGAAAGAACTGCACAACTGGAAATTATTGCCGCTGAGTGTATATTTATTTCACCTGATCTTAGTGAGTAAGATCATTTCTCTCAATTTTCATTGGACGCTCAGAGTGAAAAATATAATATTTTTAGAGTTACACAACAAATTTGAACTATGATGTCACAGCTGAGTGCTCGATTACTTCCAGGTCACTGCAACTAGCGTTGTAATTCTGCTTTATTTGAGCCTTGGTATGGTTATTGGATTTCCTGCCATACTCATACCTGCTGTAACTAACGACGACAATGCGGACAACTTACATCTTACTATGGCCCAAGCATCTTGGTGTGGTGGGTATTTTTTCTCATTAAATAGATATTAGAGCTTATCCCATGTGTAAAGTTACATGTGTAAAGTTCAAATAAGTTTTGAGTCTAGGAAAGCCCGAGCATAGATTACATTTGAACGGGTCATTTGAAGATGGGTGTAACTACCAAATTCTCAGGAATCGATTTTTCGACGGAATACTAAATATTCTTTGAGCATTGGAGCATTTTTCTACCGAGCGATTTTACCAACATGGCTTTCTAACGTCTTCTTTTTAACACTTGAAAATCCGCCTCAGTTGAAAAAGAGCGTAATTTTCGAGCTGTCTCTCTTAACGCAGGCTGCTTCCAAATGGTAAAAACCATGAATGTATGACATACATACTATGATTTTTAATACAATCATCAAACTCACATGCTATTCAACTGTCATAATACCTACTGTTAAAAATGGCAGGACTGAGCTATTTCACGGAAGATGGGCGTTTAACTGTATGATTTTTAACCCACTTTTCCGACCCTGCTCTTGTTACCGTGGTCTTATCACAGATGGTATGTAGAACATTTGTTAATTTTTTTGAACAGGAATGTACAAAAGTGTTGAAAAAGTTTCTTTATTTTTCCTCGAATTTTTGAGCTACTTCTCCTAATGGAGGGTGTTTCCTCATAAGGACGGAACTCATAAGTTTTGAATATATCACCGAACACGCATGCTACAATATACATTATATGTAACTTCTACGTTCATATTTCTTTTGTAGCTAGCCTCAGCTTCATCTTTCAGCCAGTGGGTGGGATAATGACAGGTTTATGTCTACAATCTTTGGGTTGCAAAACCGTGATGATACTTTTAAACATCCCGCACATCATATGTTGGTTAATGACGTATTATGCCTCTTCGATTTATACGCTTTGCTTCGCTCAAGCATTTTTCGGATGTGGTAAGTCCATAGTGAACACCATGGGTTCAGTTTTATATATGACTTCAAGTTATCATGATATTCTTGTTACGGTCCTTTATTAGCATAACTAGCATGGTACTTACCTTTTTTTACTTTCCTTATTCTCGTGAAATGTTCGTGTTGGAGACATAGGCGGATCCCAGAGGAGGGGGCGTACGCCCCCTCCCCCGTTTGCCTGAATAGGGAGTTAGAAAAAGGAAAGACAGAAAAAAGGGAAGAAATCGAAGAGAGAAGAAGGAAGGTCGCTCATATTAGATACCTCTAAATGAAAAAATTGACTCAAACTGCATAGTACATGCTTTAAAATTTTAAAAATTTTCCGGGGAAGCCTCTCGGGCCCTCCTTACGCCCACGCCCTGCTCCAGATGTCTAATCCGCCTATGTTTTCGGGGTAAATTAATTTTTAAGAAATACAGAGTACCTACGTAAAACGAGATTACGATGGCATAAGTCCGCAATCACATATCTCGTTTGCGGTGTCGCTTAAAGTCTCCGCCTTTATGTTGTCTCTTAAAGCAGGGCCGGATTTACCTACTTGCCGCCCATGGGCCGCCTGTATTTTGCCGCCCCCTTCTCGTTCGTTTTGAAACATCAATAAAACCATCAAGTAAACGTGCCGGAGGTAGCGGGGTGCATACAACGCGTTTACTCGTGTTAGACACATGTTTTGCGAAAACCCTGTCAACACTACCTGCAAAAGTTCACGGAACTTTGCGCGAAAGTTAAGTCCCGTAAATCTATCTCTTTGTGGACAACGCCTCCCATTTAAGCATTGAAGGAAAAAATTAAGAAAGAACAAACATAAATGCGGTTTAATAATTTTAACTTCCGCCGCCGCTCCGCGCTGACCGCACTGTATTTGGCGCAATTCGGGAAGTATTCCTACAGTCTAGTAGGCGCTCTGCACTTCACGCCGACCGCTGCTGAAGCTGACCGCACTGTGTCTGACGCAATGCGTGAAGTATTCATGCATTCGTGTAGGCGCTATCCGTTTCACGCTGTCCGCAATGACCGCACTGTGTTTGATGCAATGCGTGAAGTATTCGTGCAGTCCTGTAGGCGCGAATACGTGTTACATGCCGACCGCCGCGCAGAGGGCTTCTCCTTTTCACCTCGTCATCATTCCTCTCTGCGCCGAGCTCCAGGCCAAATTGCGTGTTTAGTCCCTCTCTTAACTCGACTATAATTAAAGAAGCCGTCTCTTGTATCACCGAAAAACGACAAAATTAGAAATTACTATACTGGAAAGAGAGATTTTATCCCCCTTTCTCATTGATAATTTTTTTTTCTGAATCCCATTTTTTTTATACCTACATTTAAACAAATTGCAAAATTTGCCGCCCCCTTTTGCCGCCACGGGCCGCGGCCCATGTGGCCACCCCCTTAATCCGGCCCTGTCTTAAAGGAGAGCAAATTGACATCATTCCTTGAAGTTTTTGTCGAATTTTCTTCGCACAGAGAAGAAAAATCACGGCAGTTTTAAAGAACTGCCGTCGAGTAGTTTTCCGTTTAAAAATAAAGCATGACAGGGAGTCTGCGACGTCGCAACCCGAGTATGTGATTGCCGACCTTCACCGTCGATTAGTATCATTCTCATGAAAGTTAAGTAAGTACTCACTCATAGTTCATTGATTTTGGAGCATCATTCACTTGCCTTAATTCATTCGTAGAAATGGTGACATACATGTCTCAATTTGTTACAGTCTTAGGATTGATTGAAGTTCCGGGACTCCGATACGTCAGTGAGATCAGCGAACCGTCCGTCAGGGGCATAATTATATCGTCCACATCTTTTTTTGTCTCTGTTGGATATCTGATCATGATTTTCATCGGAAGTCTCACAGATTGGCGCAATGCGGCTGCCATTAGCGCGTCTCTGCCGCTACTCTGCATTATTCTATTAATCCTGGTAATTAAATGTGATTATTGGTTTTTTTTAGATTCATATATCCTTCGAAAGCTTACTTATTTTACTTAAGAAGTAAGTAAGAATACTTTTTTTACCGATTATATTACCGGGACAAAATGATAGGTTTAACATAAAAACGGTATTTTTTATTGCCATATCCGGTATAACAAAATTACCATTAATAATGATATAATCAAGCCCTGGTAATTTTACCATTTTATCGCAGTAATTCCACTCTTTCACATTAGTAAAGTTATTGGTTCAAATCTCACTTACAAATCACGGTGGTGGCGTCGTGATTAAACATGCGAAGGACGTTACGAATCTAGATTCAGAGAAAAGGCGTACGGCAAATTACACAATAAAAAAATTGAAGGCGTTCCGGTTTAGAATAAACTCAAATGCATCTAACTAAACGACATTGCAGCAGCGCTACGCTCGTATCAGCGCGATCACTTATTGTGTAGTAAATTATATTTTCGTAAAATATCATAATTTTTCAGTTAAAAAATTATTTTAAAAGAAAATAAATGTTCAGTTAGTACTAATTTCCTTGCTTGACATTTAAATGACTCTCTCAATTCAGAATTTTTTCTTGTGAATAGTATTGCTCAAAACCAAAACGCTAAGTTCCAAATAAGTATTTCTTGCTATAAACCGCAAAAAAAGTATTCATTGCTATAAAACTAGCTGATCATATATGGTGAAACTGCAGAATTGCATATCTCGATTTGCGGCGTAGAGGACTACCTGTCATACTTTATTTTCTTTGCGAAAAACTACTGAATTTCATTTTTTTCCCCTAAAAATTCCTGTGGTTTTTCTTCACTTCATGATGAATATTCTACGAAAACTTCAAGCTATGATGTTAGTTCGGTTTCCTTCTAAAAGATAAATTAGTAGCAAAAATTTCAAAACACCGCAACCGATTTTTACGCATTTTTGCAGTTCCACCATCGATTTGTGAGTATGATAAGAAATTAAATAACAGAAATGCTACTGACTACCGACTTGCAAGAAATTGGCTGAAGAGAAAGCATACCCTAAAAACCTCGCTAAATCTTATTAAACTTGGCTACTTTTCTTACATACAATCATTATAAGAAAAATGTTGACGATAAACCTGTAATTTGTCATCCGCTTTTCATGAAGATTTGGCTTAGGGATTGAAATTATCCACTTTTCCTTATACTCTTGTATGTAGATTCCGGAATCACCGATGTGGTTGATGTCAAAGGGTCGATCGGAGGATGCGCTCAGATCACTCCAGTGGCTTCGTGGCTGGACATCTGCTCAGATGGTTCACGAGGAGTTTCAACGAATTCAGTTCTATTCGAAAAACAAGACACAGAAATTTCTCAAGACTGACCATTCTGGTGACTCGAGATCTGGGAGTGGAGGGCTAAGTTATTTCACGACAAGCACATTCCTGAAACCTTTGATCAAGTGCTGTATAATTTTTGCCATTTTTGACTTCGGAGGAATGATATCATTCCGAAGTTACTTGGTCAAAATTCTCCAAGATCTTCATTCACCTGTGAGCTCAAAGTGGAGTTCAGTGAGTATATTTTTAACTTTGAATTCATAAAAATATTATTATGTCAACTGTCCGACAGTATAGTGAATAATTAGAGATTTTGCAAGAAATATGGATGTAAGATTCAGGGTGGAAATTACGCGTTCTGTATATATAATTGAGACTCTTAGGAGACTATTTTGTAGAATGAGATGAACATTACTTCCAAAATGTGTTAATTCCACCTTCCATTTAAACTTCTTCATTTATATTATTCTTCCAAGGGGCGTCACGCGAGTCTTCCCCATTGAACCCCGAAAAAATTTTATATTTTCGTTGAACATAATTTCATGAAGTCTGTATTCTTTTACATTGCAGTTATGGGTGGCTCTCTTTGGAATACTGGGTAATGTTGGATGCATGCTCTTCATAAAGAAAGTGAAGAAAAAGCCAATGCTCAGAATTTCATTGCTGTGCTGCATTCTGTGTCTCATTTTTCTGACCATGTTCCTGTTCGGATACATGCAAGTCATAGCTGACTCAGCATTTCATCATTGGTGTCCTCTAATAATGATTGTGGCACTCTTTTTCTTCTACAATTTGGGAATCCATCCTATTGCCTGGGCTTTTTTGGGCGAAATTCTGCCATATAGGTAAATAAAATTGACAAATCATCAATTTTTATACATATTCAGATGATTTTTGTGTCAGAAGCTTGCAATGACCTCATAATTTCAATGGAAGAGACGATAAATCACAATCTGCAGAGGCATTTAACAAGATGCCTGATGCCTGATTCGACTTTTTACCCGCGCGACTTGCACAAAGTACTCAATATTTTTAAAAGCAGAACAATTGAAAACATGCGACTTAGAGATTCTTCTTTGAACCATTTGGTTTTTTGGCTTGATCTCTCTGACAACGAGAAACGAAGAGTATTTCCATCTCAAATTCCTGGAGGATAATACCAAAATAAAGTAATTTCACGAAGAACAAGTGCGGGTAGAGTTGCCAGTGCACAAGCACAAAGGTACTGATCATATGGTCATATAATGACGTCATACACTTAATACGCAGTGCATTCTCACAATGGATCACTAGACAAGGTACGAATTTCAGCATTCTGATACGTGCGTCTTAACCAAAATTTCACGTAGAACACGATGTGCACAACGCTAATTACCAAAATCAACTCCTTACGAAGATATTTAATAATTCTTGATGCGTGAATTCAAACCACCCACTCATGAAAACTCAATGCTCTACGTGATTCACGTCGCGCGCTAAACGTTTATCATGACAGTATCTACGATATAAAAATCTGGCAACCTCAATCTTGACGCTTTGGCTCAGCTATAGCAAATTGCTTATAGTTTGAACAACACATGATGGGAAATGAACATTGCTCGATTGAGAAGGTTGCTGAAAACGTTGTAAGTGGGCGATTTGACTTACGTAGAGCTTTGAGTTTCTTGTGAGCGGGCAGTTCAAAATCCTTGTCACCAATGTGAAATAAAAACGTTAATATCTTCGTTAGGAGTTGATTTTAGACATTTTCGTTGCACGAATCATGTTCTGCGTAAAATTTTGGTTTAGAAACATGTATCAGAATCCTTAAATTCGTACCTCGTCTAGTGGTACATATTTCATTGGTGGTTACCATATTTCTGACAAACAAAACTATGTGCCTTATGACGTGAGCCCTGTTATGTATATATTCTTATGGGTCTCGGGGCTCATGTCTTAATGCACATAGTTCCGTTTGACAGAAATACGCCCAATTGAGGGAAAAAAGCTCGTAAGTGAGTAATTTTAAGTCTGAATACATTGCTTCCAGGGGCCGTGGACCTGCGACCAGCTTCGTCGTGTGCTCCCACAATCTATTCACATTCGTCTCGGTGAAGACTTTCCCAAATTTAACGCAGTGGCTGGGACTTGAAGGCGCTCTCCTGGTGTACGCTGGTGTCTGCTTGTGTGGCATCTTATTCACCTACTTCTTACCAGAGACTGAGGGCAAGCATTTATCAGACATTGAAATCGAGGTCGCGTGTGGCGGAAAAACGAATGAGGATGGTTTAAAAGCAACACCATGTGGAAGCTGACGGGTCTGGTAGAAAATTCAAAATGTTAATTAACACTACTGAGATAGATTTTCAACCAGGTTAAAGAGAGGCAGTCCCGACTGGAACTTTGTCCCATGCATAGAGGGTCCACTTGTGGCCCCTAGGAAGCTTAAAGAATGGCACCTTAAACATGCAAGTTGACGACCTAAGGTGCTACAGTAAATTGGACGTATTTCTATCAAACAGAACTATGTGCATAATGACGTGAACCCTGTTGTGCATATATTTTCATGAGACTCAGGGCTCATGTCGTAATTCACACAGTTTCGTTTGGCAGAAATACGTCCAATTGTCGAAGTAAACCGATGGATTTCCCGTAACGGATCGTTATGCTGAGATTGATCCTGTTTTAGGTGTCGGACTTGTACGCCAAATCGTAACTCTTCTGAGGAAAGGGCGCTCGGAAAGATGAAATCGGCATTTGAATAATGCGCGGCGCATAAAACAGTGGAAATAATATTCGAAGTTGGGTTCGGATCCAACATGCAACTATTTTAACTCCGCGGTGGGTGGGCTGGGTTGCATACGCTAAATTTTGCGGGCGAAATCTGAGATTTGCCCACGGCTTCCGCAATATAGGGCATGGGTTTGTAATTAGGGTTTTCATAGGGCCTCGGCAAACTAAAATTTGAACAGCATCGGTGCGGATAAGTTGCGTTAGTTGCGGGCATTTCGAAATTCATGGCACGAGTATTAGGAGAGCAGAAGAGAGTAGCAGGTAAAATGGTGGCAGGTTGCGGTTCTTGGTGGACGCTGATTGGACCGTGTCGCGGATTCTCTGAACCTCTCGACCTATAGGCATGGATCAAGTGAATAAACATGTATTCTTTAATTATTTATCCATCTATTATTTATCTATTGCCATTGAATATTTATTCTCTTTATCCATGCTGCAAAGGACGTCAATTGCGAGCCAGGTATATTAATTATCGATGGATATATCATCGAATTGGATCCGGATACTGTTGTGGAGCAGCAGGTCGTGTTGCGTCAGTTATCGATCATCGAATTTAGTCGGCACAATGATCCGCCAGTGATTCGCATACCTGTCCTAGTTGAACTGAGGATAGGTGCGACGTATTAGGACAACGGACCAGAAATTTTGTTTGTGGTGTAGCTTCCTACATTCAGTTTTCCTTCATTTGAGAGGGTAGGCAATATGCGCTCTCAAGAGTTTGAATAGTCGTATCAGAATATTTGGTCCTCTTTAAACGTGACACCAGTGATTTTAACACTTCCTACTACAATATGTAAACAGGAGATTGACAGGAGTCCTCAAAACGATATATCGTCTTTAATTTTGGAATGTTCTCAAACAGTCACTTTTTGGAATTTCTGGATGTCCCTTGTGCCCAATATTCGGAATAATTGCCCCTCTAAGGTGTCGCACACTGCCGAGGTGAGGAAGAACGCCACATGACTCTTCAGACGTTGCCAAATACCCTTTATTAAAATAAAAATTTTCGGGAAAATCTATGAATATTTTTCCTCCAATTTTTCAAAGAATTTCGTTCACGATTGGATCGAAATTAACCGAGAATTTCAAGAGAGAATATTCATAACTCTCCTTAAAAATAAAAATTCTTCAGGAAGAAATTTGGCAAGTCTCAAATGTTCACACGACATTTTTCCTTAGCACGGCAGTGTAGATATCGTGATTTTTTGTTCATCTCATGTCCCCTCTAACTCCTTTACAAGCATGGTGTTACATAGACAACAGGGCTTGTTTAGAAATCAAGATACGCCTTTACGCCAGAGGAGCGACGATAAGTGCAGTTCTTTTACCTCAACACAGGTACTTCATTTCTACTGGACACAGCCATGCAAATCACTCGTAGATTGCTCTTCATAACAGCTGATATATTTTCTGCAAGATTGACAAGGTTGCACAAAACAACGATATCGTCGCTTTAAACGACACAACGTCTTAAAGACTGATTGTAAAATTGCATTATTTCTTACTGAATACTTCTGATACATGACAATAAAATAAAAACTGCGCAAATATACCAAGCTTTATTATTTCAATGAGAATTACTTCCCATTTAAGACGACCTACTACCTTCAATGGAACGTATATTTGTCAGACGAACTGCGTGGAATATATTTCTGAAAAAAGGCCTAAGGGAGGGGGAGGGTGTTGGTGGCAATCATGGGGCCCGGACCTTAAAAATGGTACCAGGGACCGAGATGGGATGTGGCGGGCCTGGTCATGAATGACGGAATGTTTGCATTCGTGCTCACCAGTTTGCCTTCAAAAAGCTGGGTAGGCAACGTTAGCGGCTCAGGACCGATAATAGTTGCTTGCAGCGCTTTGATCAATGGGCCAGTTGTACTGGTTAAAGAATCGTGTTTTGATTCTTAATTCTTGTAGATCAGCTAAAAATAATAATGTAAAATGAAAATAAATAATTATAAAAACTGTCGGCAACTCTCAACCTTAACGTTCAATATTAACCGAGATATCGCACGTTTCAAAATTCGATTTATGACGTCATCTACCGCGGGGGTGACACCCTTGGTTTCATCAGCAGGGGGACATTAGCAGGGTTGCCGTGTTTTCAATTTTGGAGTCCCCAAATAAAGTGGCAGCCTTGTCAATGTATTTGCTCCCTATCTTTGCATGGAGATTTGTCTTGATGTAGAGGTGGACTTTCAGGATAGCGTGGGATATCCCCTACATTTTGGCCTCAAATTGCGAGCTTTTTTTGAGCTTAATAGTTGATTTCAGAGAAAACCAGCAGCACCATCGTGTTTCTCGCGAACTTTTACATAAGAATCAGTAGTCAAATCGCAAATTCCTCACACATATAACATCTCCATTCTGTGACCAGCGCAACTGATCCATTCATCAGTTTCAGTTCTAGTCCAGTGGCGATTAATCCACCCATCCACGATGTTCTGCGCTCAATCTCACTAGTTCGCCTTCAATTAGTTGGTAGGCAACGTGAGCGGCTCCGCAGCAGTAATAGTTGCTTGTATTAGTTTGAGTGTTTCATCAGCTGCAGTTGAACGAGTTATTTAAAGAGAAAAATTTATAGATTCGCAACCTCCATTTTTTTATCTTTTGGAGGAGGGGGAAGAAAGAAAGAGAGAAGATTTTGTTTTTGGTTCTCACTCATGCCAGAGCTGAAAATATAAGTAAAGTATCCACCGTTAATAATCGCCACCGATTCTCTATTAATTTTAGGTGTGGACCAACACAGGGGTCATTTTTAAAATATTAGAGCCTCGATTTTTTATTCTGTATCGTGACCGACTAAAACCATCACCATCATTTCCAGTAGACTTAATTCTCAGGATGATATCTGGTGTGAACATTCCTCGATCATTGGACTTGACAGTAAAATTTCGATTTTTGCCACGAAAAACATCTACTGAATTGCTGATAAAAAATTTATATTTAGTGTGAATAATTGTGCATTAAATATATTCTACTGAATCTGAAGACGAGTGAAGAGAGACGCTTTATCACTAAAAGAAAAAAGAAGAGCGCAATCACCATAATGCTCGTGAAAGTTCAGCAGGTTCAGGATTTGGATCTCACGTGTATTTAAGTTGAGAGCCATAAAATTATTCGAAGCTTTACCACTACTAATCCACATTTCTTTTAACAATTCACCAAAATTTCAGATAGGAAAAAATAATTGTAATTTGTTTGATAATGATACGGCGCAGCGCGGCGATAACAAAAGCCGAGTGTGTATCAATTATCAAAAGCGGCACGCTCTCTGAGTTTATTAGTGAGGGCAATTTCACGCAATCGTCTCAAGTTCACGATCGTCTTATTTTCAGATCAGCGCTTCACTGTCGCCGTTTTCAGACATCTTAAAAAAACTACCTTTTTTTTTTTTTTTTTTTTTTTTTTTTTTAATTATAACTGATCATATTATTTGGAATATCTTACACGGTTGTCCCGCCACAGCCACACTCAATTTTTCATGTATTTTCCGAAAGAAATACACTATTGCATTCTCCCATGGTATCAAGACCCGGACTTGAGACCTTGTGAAGAACATTGATCTCAGATCGTAAATCCCAAATATATATTAAACATACATATCGACGGTGTAAGTCGGCAATCACATAACTCGTTTGCAGTGTCTGAAAATCTCCGCCTCTATGTTATTTTTTAAAGGAGAAAAAATTGGCATCATTCCTTAAAGTTTTTGCAGAATTTTCTTCACACAGAGAAGAAAAATCACGGCAGTTTTAAAGCTCTGCCGTTGAGTAGTTTTAAATTTAAAAAATAAAGTATGATCGAAAGTCGGCAACGTCGCAAACCGAGTTATGTGATTGCCGACTTACACCGTCGATATGGGTGTGTTTAAATCTATGCATTTTCGCCTGTTAGGATTTTCTGATTTTTGAAGAGTCGCACCTTTTAAGTTGCCAGATGTTCTAACTAACTTTTGGCATTTTCTAAAACCTCATCAGAGCTACTATATATTTGGCGAGAAAAAAATAAAAAAAAGGCGATGGATTTTGAGGAGTGGAGCTTGACAGTGGGGTGGTCAAATTTTGTCCAATCGATAACTTGAGCTAAAGTTAATCATTAGAGCTGGAATTTGTATGGACGGTATCTCCTCTTTAGGACTGTTTCCGTTTTCCGTATTGAATTTGAGCAAAATTGGCTCAGCCGTTTCAGAATGGCGAGCTTTGAACTTTTCATGGGGGCGAGGGAGAGGGGCGAGTTACGGAAAGAAAATTGGACAAATTGTACTCAACAATTTGACAATCGCTTGATACAGCACTCCGTTGGAACATGAATAAGGAATTGGGCTCAGCCTGGTAAAAAGAATGAATAAATTTACGTTTCCGTTTCATACCGAATGCGTATTTCTTTTTCTTTTTCTTTTTCCTCCACCTTCCTTCCTCTCCGTCCTCCCTCTACAATGAAACACACCTTTATCGTGAGTCGTGGGAATTTGTTTCAAGTCACGTGATGATAAGTAATAGCGCGGATAGGCAATGTTCCTCTCGTGGATTTCGTTCAACCGAACATCAACGGTGCTTTCTTGTTTTACTCGCCGATTGAGGATGGTCATTACCTGTCTCAAGTAGTTCTAGTGTGACTTGCGGCACCTCGTGCGTCAAAAACGCACTGACACACCATCGTAGGTGAGTTCCTAAAACTTTTTCTCTGTAAACTTGGCTGAAATTTTGAATTAATCAGAATCGTTTGACTTCCTCTCGGCATTTTTCCCCCTTGATTGTCCCGTCCGAAGATTTGATTTTACCCTCGGTGGCAGGGTAATCGGCATTATAAAAAAAGGCACTGATGTTGCGTAAATCTGGGGTTCTATATGACAGTTAGCGAGCGAAACGTTGTGATTTATTCGGATAAGACCTGATTTAAAGGCATGGAACTAAGATCTTAATATATTTCAACGAGAGATCCAGAAAACCCTGAACTATATTTAAGACACTGCTACTTCTTGTCATTCTTTATTTTATTAGATTGACTAATAATCAACGCCATTTCTTGAAAACTTGCCATCTCCCTTCTTTTAAATATTTGCACGCTTCTTAAGTTTCTTAAGATCTTCTTAAGCTACGCTTCTAATTCTAGCAAATCCTATGAAGTTTTTACGTACAAATTACTTTAACGTAGCACTAAGTCTTGCAACTTATTTCCTCTTTTCAGTGACTTAAAGCAAACCTGAGTGAAAATGACTAATAAATCAGGGCAACAAAACGGACACGCCAATGCGGAGTATCACACCGTCAGCTGGGCGCGCGAAACTCTATCTCAGGTGATCATTAAAATTGACAGAATATTGTATTAATCACGGATTCGCTGGTGTCTAAACCAAAATCTGTTACCTCAATAATTTAAGAAAAAGTCTTCCCTTCGGTATGAGAGTGTTTTTGAACTTCCTAGGGAGCTGAATGTTTGAATAAAGTTCACAATAATTGGACTTCATTTTGCGATTAGGAACTACAATTTCCGGCTTATCCGAAAAAACACGAATGCATGTAAGGAAACTAATGATACATACGTTGTTTCTGCACCGAACTATTAACTGCAGTTTCGAATCGCAAAATGAGGATCCGATTAATGGTCCTTAACATTTTTTTCATGATGTGGTGGAAAAGTTTCTTAAATTTGAGAAGGGGCCCATTGATTATGTTTAACTTTTGGAAACGATGCAAAATTGGATCTATTAGCTTGGTCTGTTGTCTTAAATAGATTGTAAATAGGAGTCAGTTTCTGCGACCTCTCAACGTCAATGCAAAATGCACAAGGATAAATTTTTGTACATTCTCGAACAACGAAGCTTTCATCTGTAAGACAACTTTCGAATGAGCGAAAAGAAATTAGCGGCGAAGTCGGAGAACCTTATTTAAATCAAAAGGAAATATTTCCAATGGGCCTGTTGCAAACTTTTGCTAGAGCAAAACTAAGAGTTGTTTCCTACAGATAATGCCTCAAAAATCACGATGAGCGCATCGGCAAAGTCTGAAATGCACTCATAACTTCACAATCTGCGTAAGAAATTTGCGGTTTTTTGAGCTTCCCGCTTCGAAAACGATACTACGGTACAGGTGAACATTTTGTTAGAGGAGTCGTTCCATTGGCGACAATACTCATCATGGCCGACGCCAGTCCGCCAAAACACGTGTGATGGGACGAGATAACACTTGAACAGGATTAAACCATATAACAATCGGCGTGTTTACGTTCATATTTTCCTCGCCCGCCTTAATTGACCTTGAACTCTCCTCGAATTACGCGAGGAACTGCGCGAGCGTCGGCCATGATGAATATTGCCGACGATGGAGCGACTCCTCTAACAAAATGTTCACCTGTGCAGTAGTATCGTTTTTGAAGCGGGAAGCTCAAAATAACGCAAATTTCTTACGCAGATTGTGAAGTTATGAGTGCATTTCAGACTTTGCCGATGCGCTCATCGTGATTTTTGAGGCATTATCTATAGGAAACAACTCTTCATTCTGCTCTAGCAAAAGTTTGCAACAGGCCCATTATAACATGAGCCGTGCCATACACATAATCTTATGGATCTCAAGGCTTGGATAAGAATGGATATTGCTCCTTTTGATTTAAACAAGTTCAGTTCACGCAAATCAACATTAACCCGTGATAATGTTGCATTGATTCAATCCAACTTTACCGATAAAATGATTCACCATTCTCACGCAGACAAGGCCAAGGGCAATGTTGCTCATTTCTCTACTTTATCTCCGAGAGTCTTACTTAAACTTGAAAATAATTATTTCACTGAAAAAATGAAAGTAGAATTCATCATTCGATTCATATTTTAAGGCAAAATGTAATTTTAACGGCCCGACGTTTTTATAGAGGCGACCTTTATTTGTGTCTCTATCTGCTGTAGTGCTGAACAAAATTTCATAGATTTAAACAAGAAAATCAGCCGAAGGGTCTGAGAAAAGACAAATCCAAATTTCAATGACTCTTTAACGCTGAAAAATTAATGCCAATTGAAGTATTTTTATGTACTCTAAACTGGGTTTTTTTCCAGTGGTGGCTCATGGGTTGGACTTTAAGAGGAGGGCGAAATTTGGACAAACGAGATGGGGGTTCTCAGCGATTCCTATTCAGGCGAGGAGGGTCCCAAAGTCCTCTCTTGGAAAATTTCTGAAAATTAGGAATCCCTAGAATTCAATTTTTGGTTGTTTTGAGGGTAGAATATAGCTAATGAAAAAAAAAAAAAAATCCACGAAAAATTTGGGAGGTGACTTCTCCTCCGCCCCGGACATGAGTCGCTAGTGATTTATTCGCTTTTTTTAATGAAACGATTCTTCCGATACTCTACTTTCGATGAATGGTATAGATATAATTGCTTCCACTAGAGCTGATCCCTGTAATCAGTTGTAATTTAGACTGTAAATAAATATCGATTTTTTTTTCAAATCCGATTTTGCGATTTTCAGATTTTGGCAACGAGTGCAAAAAGTTTCCTCCTGTTGTGTGTGGGGATGCTCATTGGTTTTCCGACGGTGCTCATTCCTGTTTTGATGAGGAACAAGGATGGGGACTTGCATTTCAGCGGGGAAGAAGCATCTTGGTATGGTACGGTAAGCAAGTGGCTCTCCCACTCTTTATAACTTCCGGGATTTCTCCCTAGTCTCTCCTTTAAATTTAAAACTTCCATTCGTCTCTAAGATCAGTTTGTAGCCGAAGTTTTTTTCCCTAGTGCGAAACCAACTAAAAATACGAGCGCTACACAGTGGATCGAGTCAATTGGAAATGTCGGACAAAATGTGGAAACTCTATAAAAGCTTATATAATTCCGGGTTCCCCAAAATTTGAGGTTTTAATAGTGGTTTCATTGGTTTTTTCGTGAACTTTACTTCGGAGCACCACTTAAAATTTGAAATTTGACGAAATAAACATTAATATGTGCAGTTTTTAGCCTGAAATATCATGTTCAACATTTCCCGTCGAATCGATTCACTGTGCACCGATATAGAGAGAAAGGAACGTCATTTACCGCTCGCATTTAAAATTTATCCTTTGGTGGAGCAATTTTTGTGCGGTCGGAGTATTTTACGAGACTTTTCTGTTAGTTCTTGGCTATCTGCAATCTATTATTTACAATAGCTATCTCCCCACAATCCCTCACCATGATTTGACCTGGACCTCTTGAATGCAAGTGAGAGCTCTCCAATTATTCATGTAGAGCAAACTTGTTGATGACGAATTGGAACATACGCGTGACTGTTGGATGTAAAGCTTAAAGATGTAGTGTGGATGTGTGTGTAGTGTGGATGAGTGTGGGTGAGTTTGTGGATGTAAAGTTTAAGGATCGAAAAAAACTGATAAAACCTCAGGTATTTGACAGCTTATAGTAGATTCAAGGTGAAGGGAATATAAAATCAGTACCTCTACAATTTACACGCATCAAACGGTTGTTTGCGGCAAGATAAGCGAAAGAGAGTAATTACATCAATAGATGCACGCTTTTTATTATCAAGTTCAGACGATTGCACAACGCTCTTTGTCAATGGAAAGGATGAGCGCGTGGTATATATAGTTAAAATTTTCCCGCGCACAAAAATCCCAAGATAGACTCAAGGTGAAGAGCATATGATTTGCCTTTTGTTATCAGAAAGGATGTATATGGTATCTAAAAAATGAATATCTATATATTGTGGTATACGATTATAACAATTATAACATGCAAAGCAAAGCAAAGGTCGGCATATTCTTCATGAGGGGAATAGCTACCACTTAGATTGTCCCTTTAATAAGTGTGCTCATAAGGAAAAAAAGAAGCACCCTATATTTTCTTGAAGTGGAGATATGAAATAGAATAAGGGCAACATAATAAGTTCCTATAAAAATTGCTGGTGATTTGAAGAGGTTTTATTATTGACATAATTTTATCTCGACAATTGTTCATGTACCTACTAATAGTATACAACAAAAAGGATTTATCATAGTACGGAAGTTGTTTGTTTGAATTGTGATGCTCATGCTTGATTTATGGTGTTGAATTGTGAAGTTATAATGGCACTAAGTGAAGGTTGATAGTATTTGCAGCATTATGTAGACGTTTAGATATTCTAGAAGGTAAATATGTTCGTACACACCTCTTCTTCACCATTTTCAGCCTTAGTGTGCTCATAAGATGCTCGAGGGTCTTACCGCAGGTCGTTGATACCTATTTGGTTAGCGGTCATTATTTAGCACTGGAACATAGAAATAAATAAAAAAACATAAAAAACAAACAACTTAAAGAATGTAGGTAACTGTCATGAGCGTATATTTTTCATGCTCTTTGGCAGTGCTATAAATTATTTTAGTAGATGTTGACGAATATCAATGGGACCGAGTTTAACAGAAAGAAACCAAGCCACATCAGCTATTGCAAAGTTTAACTGGGCAATTAAATGTTTTACGAGAGAACGTTTGTTCGTATTTCTTTGAAAATATTACGGAATTTGTTTCGTACCATGGAAAATTTTCACTGAAATTTGCACAAAAATCCGCACAACCGTTTTCATGTAAAAAATTAAATTGCCCAATTAAATTTGGCAATAGCTGATGTGGCTTGGTTCCTTTCTGATTAACGCGGTCCAATGCTAATGGGTACGTTTTGGTCTGTATGTAGTTCTTAATTTGAATTGTTCATGCATATAATGAGGCTAGCGCGGTTATTGGTTTCAGTTTGCGCGGCTCTTGTAAGTGCGTAACTCATAGTTCAGCCAAGCGGTGACTAATGGGGAATACCGTCATATGGCTCAAAATGGAAAATTCCTAAATTAATAAAGAGTTCATTTTTCCTTAAAAAATCGAGTAGAGATTCGCAACGCAACATTTCAAGATAAACATTTTTAGAGTTCAATCATAGATATCCTTTTCACGTGAATTTGTACTCTGCCGATTTTATCTTCTAGCACTATTTTAACACGAATTTCTTTTTTATCTAGGGAGCTTGACCTATATTTTCCAGCCGGCGGGTAGCCTCCTGTCGGGAGCAATGCTTCAGTCTTTCGGTTGCAAAAAACTCATGATGCTCATCAATATACCCCAATTCGGCTGCTGGTTGATGCTTTACTATGCCTCCTCCAATATCAGCCTTTATATTTCTAGTGCAATGGTTGGGTTTGGTAAGTTCTTTCCCTTAAATTGATAATATTCTAGAGTTCTGCTGCACGAAGCACTTTAATTAACGTACTCGATTGGTATAGCATAAAATACTGCTTGCAGTCTCATCCAGCCCCTAAACCCTATACCCTATGAGTTATTTGAATGTCTTCAATATAATGTACCTAAAATAATTTAGTCCACGGAAAAAAGTGCTAGCAGGTAGCCCTTAAAACAGTGATACCACCTCAATTTGTTGAATGATATGGACATCTCCGATTAATTTTGGTAGTACCTCAACTCAAGTCGAGGGTACTCGCAACATTTGGGTTAGAAACCTAATTCATAGGTGTACTATACCAAAATTAATTGGGGCACTACCACAGTTGATTGGAAATGCCCAGATCGTCCAACAGTTGGGACTTAACCCCTAACTCTTTTTTTTCATGTCTATTCTTCCTAAGTGGTCCCAGTTAAAAAATATTGGTACTTAATCTGGGTTCTAAATATAATGATGCGATGGAAGTTTCGATGGACTGCGGAAAAGATTGTTAATCCTCACGAGTCATGATCATAAAATCGTGACCTGCAATCTTACGATATTGGTGCGCCTTCAGTTGCAGCTCACTCGAAAGCGTACAATGTTCTAGATTTTAACTGCAGTCGAACCCAGTAGATAGCCCTCGCATTCGAGTGTCGTGCAAACACGACAGCTTAGACAGTGAATGGTCCTTACGATGCACTAATTGGATGCATTTCTGCCAAACAGAACTATGTGCATTAAGCCATGAGCCCCGAGACCCATAAGAATACATACGTAGCAGGGCTCATGTCTTAATACACATAATTCCGTTTGGCAGAAATACGTCCAATTGAAACGTGAGCCATCAAAATCCGAGTTTAAGAGAAACGCAGGAAGCAGAATTTAGGAGGAGAGGATTGGGAGTAGTTTAGTATTTAAGAAGGCGAAATTTTTACCTGACACAAATTCGGAGTCAAGATAAATTATTTTGAGCGTGAAAATATTCCTTAAAGGTTGTCCGTAACATTTAGTCTTCCGCAAGAAAACAATTTCGAACGTATTTTTCTCAATTCAAACTTGCTACAGAACGGTGTCGTCTGTTAAAGTCGGTCCAGATGACCCTCTTAATGGCAAAGTAAAAATAATGACCTCGGCCATTTCTTCAAAGATTTCATCGTGCTTTTTTTTTATTTTTTTTTATTTTTTTTTTTACAGTGATAGGATTGATGGAAGCACCGACGATTCGATACATCGGTGAAATCAGCCACCCTTCGCTGAGAGGTGTTTTGACGACATACTCATCCATGTACACCACGATTGGGTTTCTTGTTGTCTACTTTCTAGGCAGCCTGACAGACTGGCGTCATGTAGCCCTCTACAGTTCTCTAGCTCCCATTATATGCGTCTTAGCGTTGTCACAGGTATACGCGAAATAAATATATAATATGATCTATGTGGAAAACCTTCTCTAATAGAAGATAATCAGAACATCCCGAATATAGGAGGATAAAAGCATTATAATAAGAATATCATCAAACTTACAAAGCCAAGTAGCACAGCGCAACGAAAATATTAAAAAAAAAAATCGAATCATTGCAATAAAATTGGAATTCGTTCACCGTGAAACTGTGATATAAATACATCATTTATTCAATAAAAGCTGATTCTAAACATTCTTCGAAGTGAGTTCCATGTGTCAGAAAGGTGGACAATATGTAGTGCAATGAAAAATTGAAACTTATTTGAATTTGATTGCAATAAATTTCAATAAGCCGTCTGCCTTCAAACAGTACCCAGGCAACACGCCCAACACTCCGATGTAGTAGAAATAATTTTACCATGTAATTGTAATTTATTACAATCTATGCTACTCGGACTACTGACGTATCGGTTTGCCGGAAGTCCGCGCAGAGTATAGGCAAAAAGGAATTGATTCCCCAGAATCGTATTCCCTTTTCCCGCATGCTTTATCACACTATTCCTATGTCATATGTTCCTACTGTACAATAAACGTTTGACATACTGAAGATTTAAATAGCTGTGTAATCGATTTATTAAGTGTATCACGCGGAGAATAAAAATTTTGGTTGTACGAACCGAAGAAAGCTTCCTGTCACGAGATGCCAAACTTGAAACATTGCTAACTTCGAACATAAGTGACGCAATATACAAGGAAAAACAACCTAACGCTGAGCCATAACACTTAATGTAAAATAGCGGCAAACCCCCCCCCCCCCCCCCCNTCCCCCGATAGGGCTGGACCTGAAGCTGTAAGGCTTATAGTACTACTGCCTGTAGGTGTGACGCTATTTTATCTGAAGTGTCAGGGCTTAGCGCCAAAAGTTGTTTTTTTTTTTTTTTTCATGTAAGCCAATGAGTTTTTTAGTCATATCTTGAAACGGAAAAAAGTAATTACAGTCCCTCTTCTTAAACTATTGACGTAGGTAAAGTGGAACAACAAATTTGACGACACAATCAATGTTCCAGTCTTGTAATGCTACTTTTTACTCTTAACTTCGGCTTACAGGTGCCAGAGACTCCGATGTGGTTGATGTCCAAAGGACGCTCCGAGGAAGCTCTCCACTCTCTTCAATGGTTGCGCGGCTGGACTACGGCCGAGATGGTCAAGGACGAGTTTGTCAAACTGGAATTCTACTCCAGTAAAAAGCCACGCGAGACTCTTCACAGCTACGAAAAAGAAGTCGACACAAGGGATGAAAAGTGCCCGTCCAACACTAATGGCAGTCTTGAAAATGGCTGTGCCAACGGTGCCGCCCGAAACGTCAACTGCAAATCTTCAAGTTATCTTAACGTTCGAGGGAAAAGAGGGCTGGCCGAGAAATGGAACGATTTAACACGGAAAGAGATGGTGATACCTTTGTGCAAGTGCATAGTCCTCCATTGCATCTCCCTCTTCAGCGGGTTGCTGCCTCTCCGCCCTTTTCTGGTCAAAATTTTCTCTGAGATGGAACTGCCGATCCAGGCAAACTGGAGCTCGGTATGTAGTGTTACGTAGCTATGTTAACTAAAAAGTCATTTTGGAAAATCTAAGAAAGAAGCGACGACTTTATTATCATTTCATTAAAGTCGTATCATATTCTCAGGGGCGGTCTGGTCAGGGGTGCTAGGCTGCTTCAGCACCCTAAAAATTCTGAGGGGTGGCTCAGGGGACCCCGTTAGGACTCCATATAGGGGCCCTTAAAACTTGAAAAACCCACTTAAACGGGTATAGTTACGGTAGACTTACGGGTATGGTTAGGAAGGGCCCCGAAAACGTGTCAGCACTCCAAGAATTGTTGAGCCAGACCGACAATTGCTCCGCGTAAAAACGCAGAGCTAGTTAAGCTGATCAGATTCTTAGCTTCATCATTACTTGATAAGTACCACTCCAAAAATGTTTATAAAATCTCGGAATGAGTTCTGAGAAAAGAAAAGAAAAACCCTGGAGAATATCTTAAAAACCTGAAAAAAATGAAGAAGAAAAACTCCATTGAGGCATTACCCCTTTTCAGACATATGAGAGCAAGTATATTCCTAAGATTCTTTGTGGGAAGAGAAAGTGAATTCGAAATATATTAACGTTGCATTTCCTGCCGATGGATTTTGCAGGTGTTGGTATCACTGCTAGGCATACTTGGCAATATTGGATGTATGCTTTTGATAAACCGAGTCGGTAAGAAGCGCTTGGCTATTACGTCTTTCGGCGCAGTTTCACTATGCTTCGTATTTTTGGCACTTCACCTACGCGGTTACTCACCAAATCTTGGTGGTAACTTCGACGATCATTGGTGGCCCCTTTCTCTATTCTTGAGCCTCTTCTTCTTTTACAATCTAGCATTGCAACCAATACCCTGGATTTATCTTAGCGAATTGCTACCATACAAGTAAGTATATTCACTTTACAAAAAACTCTAATGAATTTGTTTTAAATGAAGGGTATCGATAAGGGCCGTTTTTCGACCGTCCTGACTGAATTTTCTCAACTTCACGATTTTTTTGCTTACTGGAGGTCTCCAAAAAGGCATTATGATTTAGTCATTTTTGGTCTCACTTCAGGTCTAACACTGACATAAACGTAGGTCTGAATGTCGATTTTGGCGAAAAATGAGGGTCAATGCAAAAAACACCAACATTTTTCGCCTAATTTTGCCCTCAGACCCATGTGAAGGTTAGTAAATTAACTCGAAAGGAGATCAAAATTGACCAAATCATAATACACTCCGTAGAAAATGTACTCACAGTGAGCAGAAAATCGTAGAGTTGAGGAAATTCAGCTAGAGTGGGCCCAAAAACGGTCATCAACGATACTCCTCCTTTTCCAGATCAAAAACTCAAAAGTTTCAACTGTTATATACGTGCCAATAATTTATCATCGTTTCGAGCTGCTGCTATGCCTTAAATGGATCATTTTACGCTATTACTGCTTTAAATTATACTATTTCAATTGATTTTAATCTCAATTAGTAAACAACCAATAAAACTAAACTCTTTTCAACCTTTTGCAGAGGGTACGCATGTATAATCGAGGCGCTGGATGCAGAAAGGGCATTTCTCAGTTGCGGTGTCTCAAAATCTCCGCTTATGTTTGATCCGTCATGATAAAAGCAAATGTTTGTAATTTTGTCACTTTTACTGAGTGTTCTTATAATTTTACCATGCTGAAAACGTCAAATTTTAGAAAATTCACACAAGAGTTCATCTTTAAAGTATGAATTAGCACTGAAGATTCTGAAACACTGCAACCGAGAATTGCCTTTTCTTCACCCAATTCTTCAACCCCTGTTTGTCCAAACCTGTGGACGGCATTTAACTACACTCAAATGTGTGTATTTTTGAAATTAAGTTATTATTACATGATTTCTCGCATTTTTCATCTTATAGGGGGCGAGGAGTTGCGACGGGAATTGTGGCAAGCCTGTTTTACATGGGAATATTCTTCGGCGTGAAATCCTATCCAACGTTGCTAGAAAACATCGGCTTGGACGGAATTTTCTACGTGTACGCTGCAGTAAGTATCGGTGGCATTTTCTACACGTGGCTTGTACTTCCTAGCACGGAGGGGAAGTTTCTCTGCGAAATAGAGACCGAAACGACGCAAGTCACTCACAACGGCAAAAAGGTGGACATCTGATCTGTTTACGATACGACTTTATACTGCAGAATGCCTCTGAAAATGCCTACCCCATATGGAGCTGTCGTTCAATAGGCGGGCGGGGGTGGAGCTTTTTTCGCCCTAACCTCAATAGTATGGGTTCTCGCTGAAGTTTTTACAATAAGTAATTGACGTTGAAATTATTATCTTAAACTCACTCAAGAATGATTAATTTTTATATCTGGACACAGATTTTCGAGCAGTTTCCCTAAGTTTGGTAAAAGTCCGAAAACTGATCGACGATCTTCATTTCGATCTAACTTTATCTCTGAAGGTATGAAACTCATCGTTTGTGTAGCATCGGATCAGCCTATCTACAGTTTCCATACCTTTGGCGTGCGCGCAACAACTACCACGTGTTGAGAGACTGTGAAGGTATATTACCAATTAATGTTAACGTCTTCAGAACGCCTACAAAAGCCTTGTATGCAACTTTAGTTACAATATTGAAGTATCTCCGACCCTACTCTTAGATGACGCAACGTGTGCGCTGCTGAATGTTCCAGTAGGTTCCAATACATTCATATGCAGATTATTGGCGTCCAATGTAAATAAACGTATACTTAATTAAAACTTTTGCAAGAGCAAAAAAGTTTTGTTTCTTCTGTACAGCTGCCAGTAAGCGTATTGCAAACTTTTGCAAGACCAAAAAAGTGACTGGTGCCTTTCGTAAAAATGCTCAAAAAATACTAGAAGCGCATGTATTTTACGTTATAAAATGTATTCCTCAGGTACCTCATAGTATGCGCAGAAAATATGCATATTTTTCAGCCCCTCTGGGGTTGAAAGATTTTACAGCTAAAATCTCAAGATTTCAGTGCGTTATTAGAACAAATAAGGGATGCATGGCACACACACACAATCTTCCTCGTCCCTAAAGTGCGTTAAGCACGAAGCCGCGAATCGTCCTATTCCCTCGTTTAACTCTCTCCTACTTTTCTCCTTTAAAAATGTAATTAAATTCAATCAAATTAAAATTCACAGTGGAATACTCCCGACGAGTTAACATTCTCTTGTAATAGAGATTTATCTTGATTTCTCTTTTATTTGCAGTATTAATTTTTATAGCATCCGTTGAATGGGGACGCTACTAATTGCCACTCCTAACCAATCCTTTTAATAATTTTCACTGTGTATATCTGTGTGTGTAGCGAAATGTATGATGTGTGTGTATATATATCAAACGTACTTTTTATAAGAACTGTTTAGCAAATTAAGTTGTACTTCAGAAATGCTTTATAAAAAGGGTACATACTAGAAGTCAAATCGACGCAATTTGACGCTTCGTGTTAATTTTTTGGCCTAAATTGAGAACAAATTCAATGGTATCTCGCCTCTTTGTCCCTACACAGATCCTTACCACCTACTGATCCTCAAAAAATATTGTTACTCGCACCAAGTTTTGAATAATAATAATTTGCTCTTTGTTTCCAAATGACATCCATTTCCATGATTAGGTCTTAAAGAATCGTGAGGCTTTTCCGTGATTGAAAACATTGTATTTGATCTGTTTTGTAAATAAAAGAAGACTTTCGTACAATTCACCGAGTTTCATTGCGCGCTGTGTAACTTATTCCCATCTAAAGATCATATTCTACAACTCATCATTTTATCCTCTCATCAATTTCTCCCATGCAAGTCTCCGGCCCTTAAGTTGGAAATCGTAGAAAAGACCAAACATCCTCGGAACCTCTTGTTTTTTGAACTAATTTATAAAACATCTCTACTAAAAATACCGAAGGTAGAACAACTTTCTCAAAAAGAACAATTTTACGTACAACCAGATTATCCGCGTAGCAGCGTGTTGCGTGCGCTTGAAAAATATTGTCTTCACAAATCCAATCATGAATTATCACGATTCTCCTTTTATATCGTAACCAGTCGTTATACCTGAGGTATGTTTATCTTATTGTTAGATACTTCCGCATGGTAACCGCACGTGGAAAAAATAACCTGAGAGCTGAAAAATCCAATCCCTGGTAAAAATTGGCAGTAGAATATGTGTTCCAAAATACCATAGACCTAAAGCCGGCTGTGAGATTTCTTTTAGCCTTTTATAGCCGATGGCGACTAAGCAACAGCCAGACGATAAAGTTTATGCTAAACGTTACTAAATACGGATAATAGGACTTGGTTAGTTTTTGGACCACCGCTCTCTTTTTGTGCCGTAGTAACTTGATTTATTTTGCGAGGAATGTTCCGTACTTTTGAAGGATGCCTGTCATTCTTAATATGTTGGAGCGCCTTCAATTTCTTATGATACTGTGCAATACCTCTGGTGTGAAATAGTTGCTTCAGACGCCGTGGCACGCTGCGGCGCGGTGGGCGGGCAAGGAGCGCGAAACGCGCATTGGCGCCTACAAACCTAACAGGGATACTTCACGCATTGCGCAATGCGTGAAGTATCCCTGTTAGGTTTGTAGGCGCCAGTGCGTCACCGCTCCGTTTGTGTTAGGCTCTGATATTTAATCTCGCAGAGTCAGCGTTTTTCAACGCATGACTTTGAAATGTTTGCACACTCTGTATGGATTATTCTCATTTTAATTGATGAAAAAAAATTGTGTTAAAGGAAAATATAAAGTGTGTTTTCTAAACATTAAGGTAGTTCCGTAAAAAACTTAATGATTTCCAAAGCATACGAATTTCTACACAATTTCTTCTAGCCTTTTATAGCCAATGGTGATCAAGTGTATAGCCCGGCGATAGAAACTATAGCCCGACTGTATACTTTTTTATAGCTTCGTGCAGCCTGGCTATATGATTTGCTCCGCTTTCTACAGCCAGCTATATGATTTTCTATAGCCTTCTTTAGTCGGCTATGAGAACTCCTTTTTTTTTTTTTTTTTTTTTTTTTTTTTTTTTTTTTTTTTTTNTTTTTTTTTTGCTACAACGGTTTCGGCAGGCTTCTCAATCAAGCAATGTAGGTACATCCTCAACCCTGAATTGTTCAAACTATAAACAACTTGCTGTAGCTGAGTCAAAGCGTCAAGATTGAGGTTGCCAGATTTTCTCATCGCCGAGACTGTCATAGTAGCATTTAATGCGCGCTTAGACTCACGTAGACCATTGTGTTTTCATAAGCGGGAGGTTTGAATTCACGCGTCAAGAAACATCAAGTATCTTAGTTAGGAGTCAATTTCAGTAATTTTTGTCGCACGAATTGTGTTTTACGTTGAATTTTGGTTAAGAAACATGTATCATTTGGACGTATCTCAATCAAACGGAACTAAGCGCCAATTTGAGTTCCTTTTGAGGAATTTAGAATGCCGGATAGCGCGTTCTGTCAAACGGACCTAAGCGTCATGGAAAATCATTGCGAGTATAGGACGGAATAAGCCGGACGCCCGATTCCGCCGCCAATCCAAACCCCCCCTCTACCTTTCTCACCCTATGGCGCTTAGGTCCATTTGGTAGAAATACGTCCATTTCAGTAATTTTTGTCGCACGAATTGTGTTTTACGTTAAATTTTGGTTAAGAAACATGTATCAGAATGCTTAACCTCGTACCTTGTCCAGTGGTCCATTTGCTGACTTTGAGCGCTTATTTAGTCAAGACTTTGAGAGCGAGCGCCGAGATGGACGATGCGATGCGGCAACTCGCGTGACTTGCGGTCACATGGCCAAACAATGCGGTGACGCAATAAAGTTGAACCTGCGAGCGCGTAGCAGTTCGTATGTACCTACCTTGCGACCGGAGGTTCCTCCCATCCCGATTCACGGTGGCCATGGGCGAATTGGCGGCCCCCACCGTCCGCTTTCTCTGGCGCTCCGAGGCCCAGGCGTCAGTGCCACTTCGACCCTGGCATGGACGACTTCGGGCTCCCGTCGACGTCGTTACAACCTCTCAGCTGACGTTGACCTACGATAATCCTGGTAAGTTCGTTTATCTATCTATATCATTAGCTTGCAAGGAGATCTCGGTTTGAGAATACTTGTTTCAGCCTAGTCTAACACACGTGAACTACATCTGGAGGAAGACGAATTTGAAATAGAACTGCTGTAACGACCTTTTAAAGTTAGCTTAAAATTTAGTGCCTTTGATGCTCCAAATGACCACCATCTTGGGTCTCCGATGGAAAGAAAAAGGCGCAGAAGTCATATTTTTCAGCACGGATCTGTGGTGGCGCATGCAATGGACGAAGGCCTGGCCGCCTTTCAAGTTTTTCGAGAATTTTTTTTATTTAGGGTGAAATTTTACTCTGAAAACGACGAAAAATTTCGTTCCAAGGGTGGGCCAATGTTCAAAATTATGCCGGAGAAAGACCCAGCCCCCCTGGTGAAGGATGGGGGCCCTTATACCCTCCGTCTTGTTTTGGTTTTAAATTTCGTCTCTCCTCAAGAAAAATGAACGTATTTCTGCCAAAAGAAACTAGGTCTCACGCAAACTCTAAGCACATAGCTCTTTTTAGCATAAATACGTCCAAATGTCAGTCCTCGCGCTGCTTTGGCGGTGGATGTGAGAAAAATACTGTCATGTTAATTTTTTTCGTGTTGCGTAGCTATTAGGTTGCCACTAGGTTTATGTTTATATTTTTGGAGAAAATATAGAAAAGTTGAGAGGCTAATAAGGGACAGACAACGTTACGATTATAAAAGTAAAATTTCTTGCAGAAGAAAAAATGGGAATAAACGAAAACGTATTTAACTATACCTACCCCTTCAGATAAATCACAGACCTTGTATTCAGGTAAATGATACTTGAGTTCTAAGATTAACACAAACTTTTTGGCGGTGCGATACTCGGAATTTTGTTCAAAAACGTGAGGTCTGATGGCAAAAAATGGCCTCTTAGCTGTTGTCAGCGAACCTAGCTTTGGCAATTCCAGTATCTGTTTCGTGTCCCTAAGGGAGAGTGTAAAACGAATCTATGTAGAATACACGTGTATTGTCAACACATGTTTTGACACATGTATTGTGTGCACATATTGCAAGTGAGTCAAGTCTCTTTTTGAGGTCAAATGCGCAGCAGGGTTCGGGTCAAAGGAGAAACGAAACGAACGAAAATTAGTAGCAAATTTAGGAATCAAAAATGCACATGTGAGAGAGAAAAAAATAATTATGCATATTTGAGAAGAGTATGTTTTTCGAAAATAGGCTCGAGATTTCTGTGTCCATGAATGATGATGACATCTTTTGTATTTTTACTGGAATAGACGTATATACCCGAAAAAAATACAACGATTTATTGCCAGTCTACATTCGTTGTGAGACCGTCGAGGCATGTGACTGAACTTGCGTCAAATTTTAGTTCAAAAGATTAGGCTCGGAATGGTTCTACAAAGGACAGAAATTCGTTTGAGACCGACATAAAAGTCGTAAAGTATGTACATTTTCGCCCCCCCCCCAAAAAAAAAGCGGCATTCAAGCATTCAGCCGGCATCCAACAAGAAGTGATGTTCATACACTTCAAGTGGCACGTGGGTAAATATTCCACTACCTCTTAAATTGATTGAACGATTGAGAAGAGAAAAGTTTGAAATGTCTTCGTACAAGCATTTCAATATGCTCTGGCCTCACAATTGTTCAGGCGATGTCACCTTCTATGTTCCTAAATATTTCGGAGAAACTGGTAATTGATACAGTTTGCACCTTAGTACCTACTCAAGCCGGCACCGACCGTTCCATGGAAGCACTGACAAACTGAAACAATGTCATGACATTGAAAACGGTTATTTTCGATTTGAGCTATTGTCTTACCTCGAACACCTAGCTCCGCGGCGGCGTCAACCTGAGTAATATCGCCGACGGCATATCCGCACCAATTATCAAAACAATTATTTCGAGCTAGATGCCTTCAGTTTCAATTACCTCCATTGTTGCCTTCACTTCTCACCGACGTATAAATTTCACATAATACATACTTAGCTCCTTGTTATGTCGAACACAAATCTTCAATGAGAATGTTTTCGATTGCAATTTACCTACGTAAAACCTAAGTTAAGATAGTTCCTTCATCGTGGAAAAATGTTAGGCTCTCTTGTATCCATCCTGAATGATGTAGGTACGTAGAATTTAGATCATATTTATCTACCAGCAACAGGCAGGAAGCGGCATTTTAATCGGGCGATAAAATACCTAGTTCGGGGCCCATGAATCAGTGAGAACGAAAACACACCAACTCGAAAAAGTAAAAATAATCAAGACACACACAACACTGCATATAGATGAAGAAGTTAGTTTGAGAAAAAAATTTTTGGTGCTTAATAGCAAGTACTGAAGGAAATTTTAAATATCCAAGTTAGAACAGATACGGTAACTTCAACGACCGTTATGGAAATTATCTGTACTTAGTGAAAATTGAGCATTTTCGAATTACCGAGTTGGTGTGTTTTCGTTCTCATTGATTCAATTAACAATCGCCGGCAATTTACAAGCAGTTCACATGTCGTTTCGATAACTCGCAATAATACGCGTCGACATGATATGATTTTTAAGGATTATGGTCTTCAAAAGCATCAGCTCGCCTTATCTGAGATTGAAGCATCACACGACATTCAAAATTACTTTTCCTGAGACAGTTTTAATACCAAATGTAAATAAAAAACCATCTTAAAGAATTTTGAGTGCTTTTTAGGTCGGAGAGAAAAAAAATTTACGGCAGGTATGAGTCACTCCCTCTAAGCATGGCAAAATTATATCAGAAACTACATTTTGAAAATGAGAAATTCAGACTATGGAACGAGCGGACTTGAGAGGTGTTTCGGTAAGGAAGATCTTAAGCAAGAAGTTATTTAAAGAATTCGAAAAAACGGATGAGCCTCTCGAGAGACTTTAGTGTTTCAGTCAGTCATGTAGCCGCATGCAATATGGCTCGGAATGCTGCGTTTGAAGTATTGCAATTTGCAATCATGAATAATATTTGCCATTTCGGTATTTCTTGGCACAGCGCGCCAGAGCTGCATTCGATTATTACAGATGATAAGGTCGATAACGTTGCGGAGGATTAATATATTAAGCACTTCGCCGGACTGAAGAGCGACCGATAGGCTTTCGCCTGTTGAACAGTGTTCATTCCCAATTCAGTTCCACATAATATGGATCATTCTCTTTCTTTCTTTTTTTTTTCATTTCATTTACTTTCATTTTTCTGCCAGTATTCAGTTTCATGCTTCGATGGTACAAAACCAACGGCGATGGTTAAAAGCAAGTATCCTATAGTGATGATTGAGATTTCAGAGTTTCATTAATCTCTTTTTCCTTTCTTCCCTCCATTTTTCAAGAAAATATCAACAATATTTTTTTCTGGCATGAGATCATAGAATATATTTGGAAAGGCGCGGAAAGATCTTAAGTAGATTCTCGAGGTACTTATGCATGAAAAGGACACGAAATGGATGAATATCGTTTAATGTGATGTAAAATGTGACAAGTTCAAGGGCACGCTTTTTCAATGTAAAATTCTTACTTCAAAGCACGAGCCTTTTGTTATACTTGTGAACTTTGAGTAATAGATAGACCTAGCGGACATAGTGGGTACTGTTCAAATTGTGTACTTGTTTCATGTTCCAGTTGTAGTTGCAAACGCTACACCATTAATCATTATTGACTAAGGATGCCTGCACATAAATTTCTGCGAATATGACAAGGATTGACGGCATTGTTTGTAGATTATACATGAATGAAGATTTCATAGTTGTCGGTTCTGTTTCAAAATTCTCGACATTTTACTATTGGGTATATAATTCCCAAACTTGAGTTTTTTCTTTGTTTAAGAGAAAAATTGCAGTAGCTATTCATTGATACTTCTTTATACTAGCTAAAGTGAACGTATTTGTGCTGAAAGGAACTATGTGCATAAAGTTTACATGCAACATAGTTCCTTTTAGCATATAAATACGTCCAATTAATGCTTGAGGCAAGGGAACACAGTCTATTAAAGGCAAATTTTTGTGACAAGGCTTTATTGAGAACAAAAAAACTGTCAATTTACGGAGTTGGCATTTGCCAATTTTTCTCGCCAAACGTGACTGCAATGATATTGCATGTAAACGATATTTCTTGCAGTAAGGCAGATCACCTGTCTAAAGTGTGAAGTTATCACGCCGGCACTTCTTTCACTTTTTGACATTTTAGCAGGTCGTACGGAGTTGACAGTCTAGAGTTACCAAAGTCAGAATGTCGTATGCAATAATATAAAGTCTTCAGAGAAATTCGTAACGAATAGCTCCTGAGACGTGAGGCGCTTCGGGGGATTTAACCACTAAACGGTCATGTCGTAATGCTAGCGGTAGCGGAGCATTGCAAGTTTGCGCCTAGCGCCATGGCGCCTTAAATTTTGCAGATACAACACGGACATCCATCAAGCACGAATAGTTGTATCTCGGCGCCGTCATCGACGCTCATCCAATCCCTCGCTCTATATCCATTTCCATATTGTGTTGGTTCTGTTTGTATTATTTGTGGTTGTGCTTCAAGGGCTATCTGAGCTACACAGCCGAAAATAGGAGAAACGTAATCGAGCCTCATTTGTTATCTTTTCTCTCGAATACGAGCGACACCTATTTGGCAGCACAAAGCGGAGTATTATGCGAGTTTATGCCTCGCGCCATCGCGCCTTCAATTTTGCAGATGCAACACAGAATTTCAATTTTTCAAAAGTAATACTTATTGTCCTGCGGCACCTAACATTGACACATTTTTAAGCGGGCCGGTTTCTCTCAGTTTTTAGTATTTAAAGATCAGCACATACGACTACGGTTCGTAGTCTACGGGAGGGATTTAAGGTGGGCAAGAGGTCAGACGAAATAATGTTTTGGCTGTCATATATTTTTTCTTTTTCTAATATTTCTGACAGTAAATTATTTTTAAGAAACAAATGTTGACTTACATTCTGCGTTCGTTTGCAGTTTCCGTTAAACATCATCGACTGACTCCACGTTCAAAATGGAATTGCACCTGGATACAAGTCCTGACGGCCGATCTCAGCAATGTCAAAGCAGTTCACTGCGACAAACCTTAGCTCAGGTAAGATAGGAGGCAAGTTTAAAATCCTCATAAATATAGTATGTATATACAGGGTTATCCAAAAGTCACTGACCACCCCTGTAACTTTTTTCCAAATTGAGATAGAAGTTTGAAACTTTGGGAATGTTCCTCGGTCTAAAGTAGCAACTTTTTGGTCCCCCCAAAATTTTGGGGGGCGGCCCCCCTTAAGGGGGGCGGGGGCTAACTTTTTTTTTTCAAATGGCAACCCCCCCTTTGTGATACCTCATTCGAAAGATAATAAAAAAAGAAAATTTTTGGCGCAAACAGCAGGTCAAAATGTTCATTTTTGACAAAATGGCGGCCGGTCAAAGTTCAAAATGGCGGAAATTTGGCATCTCCGTTGTTTATTGACGGATTGGTGTAAAACTCGGAATCCTAGGGTTTTTCGAGATGAGAAAAACGATTCTGGCATTGGTTTTCCAGAAAAGTCAGTCCTTTTTAAAATGGCGGCGGTCAAAATGGCGGCGGTCAAAATGGCGGCCTCGAGCGGGAAGTGGATATTTAGGCTGCATATCGTTGGATTTGCATGTAACTTGGTATCTGGGGGTATTTCGGCACTAGAAGAACGAATCTTCCATTGGATATCTAAAATTTTGACAAATTTCAAAATGGCGGCTGAAAAATGGCGGGAAATCAGTTTTACTGCTCTTCACCGATGGATTTGCATGAAATTCGATATCCTGGCGGTTTTTGGTTGGTTAAAAAGGAATCTTTCATTAGATTCTTGAAATATCAAATAATTTCATGCTAATCCATCGGTAAAGAGCCGTAAAACTGATTTCCCGCCATTTTTCCGCCGCCATTTTGGAATTTGTCAAAATTTTAGATATCCAATGGAAGATTCGTCCTTCTAGTGCCGAAATACCCCCAGATACCAAGTTACATGCAAATCCAACGATATGCAGCCTAAATATCCACTTCCCGCTCGAGGCCGCCATTTTGACCGCCGCCATTTTAAAAAGGACTGACTTTTCTGGAAAACCAATGCCAGAATCGTTTTTCTCATCTCGAAAAACCCTAGGATTCCGAGTTTTACACCAATCCGTCAATAAACAACGGAGATGCCAAATTTCCGCCATTTTGAACTTTGACCGGCCGCCATTTTGTCAAAAATGAACATTTTGACCTGCTGTTTGCGCCAAAAATTTTCTTTTTTTATTATCTTTCGAATGAGGTATCACAAAGGGGGGGTTGCCATTTGAAAAAAAAAAAGTTAGCCCCCGCCCCCCTTAAGGGGGGCCGCCCCCCAAAATTTTGGGGGGACCAAAAAGTTGCTACTTTAGACCGAGGAACATTCCCAAAGTTTCAAACTTCTATCTCAATTTGGAAAAAAGTTACAGGGGTGGTCAGTGACTTTTGGATAACCCTGTATAGCTCTTACTCATAGCACATATCTCAGAATATACTGTGTCTTGGGACACTCTGAGTGATACTTGGATTTTTTTCGATTTCGAGAATATATTACCAGGAATGTATTTTGGTCGGAAAATGGGGCCTATTCTGGTAATTTTTTAAAATTTTGGACCCATTTTGTCACATTTCATGCTATTCCTGCACTTCTTAGAGGTAAAGTAAGTAGATCTTTCCTCAAAATTTCGGAAACGCATATTCACCATGATATTATATAAAATTGGATTGTGACTAAAATCGGCTATACCAAGTTTTGGTATAAAAAAATTGAGAACTAACCCAAAATATCAAAACATGATTCAAACTGATAGATTTAGTTGTGACCAAAAAGTGTTAGTAAGTTATGCCGGTATTCCGGGTTCTGGCTTGAAAATACTAAAATTGGCGGAACGAGTGCCGTGGCCGACTGTGTGACATGTACATAATATGCTTATTCAAGCCTGTGGTTATCTTCACCGACCAAATTATGCTCATTCTTTTCAATCTCGGTTACCATATAAAAGTGAAAAATTCAAATAGTGTCATAGGCATTTAGAAGTATACGTATAAACTAGTCCCGGTGGAAAATTGTGAGTCTATTAGAAGCATTGGCAATTAGCGGAAGTCCATTCATATATATTTGCAAAAAAAGCACTCTTCTTTGTAAGTATTATGCTTATTCAATTTCATCAACAGATAATTCAGGGAAATGTAAATCACTACTGTCGCAAGTTGTTATGAGATGTGTGTAAGTGATGAGTTGGAACTCAAGTGAAATTTTTTACCGCAGGTTTTAGCGGCGACTGGCAAAAGCTTGATCATGTTAAGTATTGGAATGTTGATCGGATTCCCAACCGTTCTCATTCCCGTCCTGACGAGCAAAGATTATAAAGGTGACTTGCACTTCAACAGGGACCAAGCGTCCTGGTACGGTACGGTAAGCCACTCCACCTTTCATTTTAGCTTTTTACCTAATCAATCTTTCATCTCAAAATGTCACCCGTCTACTGACATTGATCATGTATGTACCTCAAAATAGAGTACATAGCGGCTTTGATGCTATGTTTTTAAGTCCAATTTTAATGGAGAAACTACCTTTTGAAGAGCATACGGTGCGTATAGGCTGCACAACAACACGCATCATGTAGTTCCAGGAGGGCGTTCATCATTGAACGTTGAAACTTAGTGCTCGGACACGGATCTTTAATTCAGATCCCTCAATTTCTCGCCTAAAATCAAAACATCAAAGCACAAACTTGTGACACGTACATACAATGACCCATTGTTACGTCAACTTCTCTTGATAAAAGCTGCGATAAAGCACAATTGGTGACACCAGAGAACACTTTGTACTAACCGCCGAAATGCAGGTTAGGTGACTGATGCATGAGCACTGAGGCAGTGAGACATGCTGACTTACGTTAACTGCCTCATCGATACTCGCAGATTTGCTTTTTTACCTCCGAAACGGAGACAAAAACTTTCAGAATTGATGTATCCCTATATTTTTAGGCGGTTCCTGAGCCTCAAAATGTATCCCCAAATGTTTCATACCACTCTATGTTTTACGCGAATAAAGTTCATGAAATTTTCCATCTCTGCTCGGTTCTTGTATCATCTCTTGTTACGGATGTATCCTCTAGTTACAAGATATACTTAAGAGCAAGCGCTTCCAACATAGCGTGTCTGTAGCTAACGCTTTTTCCTTTTGAAACATAAAATCTGATACTTACCGTGGATTTTTTGCTGCAGTCAAAAACTCAGAAAAGTAACTAGGTTGACAAGTCTACCGCAGACAATTTTACGGCGTACAATTTTAAGTGTATGGCCTTTACATTATATTTTATTGGCTTATATACTCTTTTTTTCTCTTGTTCTGGGACAAGAAATTAATTCGCAGTGGGCTGTCGTAGTTCATGATACCTTTGGAAACCCATCCGGAGGAAAATTAGAGGACAAGCAGGTTTTGTAAATTTTTCCAATTTCCATTATTTTTATTTGGAGAAAACGATAGGCACTGTTAGTATGACATTGCACTAATCGGATGTCTCAATTTTTCATCGCCAACATACTTAACACAGCTATATTTTTTTGTACAGCGAAACATAGCTAAAACAAACAGAGCCGTTGAAGAAAAAGGATAAAAAGGTTTTAAAAGCATCCAGTTACATTCCCAAAAGCTCTAACCAATGGTCTCACTATTTATTCTTACTGTAAATTATTGGTTCTGATTTCAGGAGCCCTGACATACATTTTTCAACCGGTGGGCAGTATCGCATCAGGAGCTTTGCTCCAGTCATTCGGATGTAAAAAACTCATGATACTCATCAATGTTCCTCAAATTGGCTGTTGGTTGATGATCTATTTTGCCACCTCCAACTTTGTTTTATACGTTTCCAGTGCCTTAGTAGGATTAGGTAAGTGTCCTGTTGTTCTCAGACTACACATATGAAAGACATTCTTTGTAAAAATGAGACACATTTTGACCTGCTGCACTGACCCTCTTATCTAGCGCAGTAGCGCCGCGCCTCTTGCGTCTCGCCAATGCAGCTAAAAGATAGGAAATTTCCTTCAGAGCCACATGATGCAACTATATCTACACATGAACCAACAGTAAATCCGCCAGCTGTGCAGTCTTAATATTTCATTTTCTGCCGCGTGCGTTAACGGCAGTAGATCAACTTTTATAGTAAGGAGCCATAGGTGAAATAGGCAGCAAAATTGTTCGTTTTTTCGAGTTTTCATGATTCAAATTGTTTTTAGCAGGAGCATGTACCCTCCAAGTCTTTGGGAAAATGTCCCAAATAGTAAACGAAAACTTCGATAACGACGGTGAAACTCCCAAATCACGTATCTCGATTTGCGACGTTGCAGATTCCGTGTCGCACTTTATGTTTTGAAGGAAAAACCACTTAACGCCCATTCTTTTAAACTTCCGTAATTTTTCTTCTCTATGCGAGGAAAATTATGTGAAAATTGAAAGGAATTATGTTGATTTCTTCGTCTTCGAAAAAATAAAATGGGAGCGGAAATTTTTAAACATCGCAAACGAGGTTTGGCAGTTTCACCTTCGATAAGTGTAAAATGATTGCGTTTTCCTTAAGTACGTTTTTCCCTTACAATTGCAAAAAAAGAATCCATAAAAGCAGGTACGGAAAGTGTTGGCTAAAACTGTTGCCAATAAGTATGCTTTTAGTGGAGGACGACCTGTTTTATTAAAGCCAATGCACAATTCTGCCAGTTGCTAGCTTGAGCAGGCATCTTCTGTTTTAACAAAAAATCTTTCCAGCATCAAATATATTTAATCAATTAACAGGGCACGGATAAAATGAAAAATATGACATACAGGGTTATTCAAAAGTTACGCACCACTGGCCATAACTTTAGTTCTAATTATGATATCGATTTGCGGTTTGTGGCGTCCTTCCTCATATCGAGGGGGAAACTTTTTGAGGTACTTTTCAGTTTTTCACCTCCCCAGGGGGAGGGGGGGGGCGGGGGGCAACTCAAAAATTTCAAATGGCAACCCCCATCATGTGATACATCGTTAGAAAGAGCATGAAAAAAGAAAATTTTTGGCGCAAACCGGAAGTCGATCTGACCCCCCTGTCAAAAGTTAGGGGGGTCCAAAGGTTATTTAGGGGGTCCGTACCTTCATTTTTTAGAGTAGCTTCGGCGGCTCTTGGACATACCGTTTCTCTTTTCAAAGAGTCCTCGAATACTCCAAGTCTGATACCGAAGTCTTCATATTGCCCCCGGGCCACCACAGCCCCCCCGTAGGGGGGGATGGGCCTGTTACAATGAAACATTGCATTAAAATGCGAAAAGTCACAGAAGAGCTTCAAACTTAGCATCAAATCCGAGTGGAACTTCTTGCCAATGTTAACGCAAACGCAGCCTGCGACTTTAAAGTGAGTTTTCAAAACTCTTAGCCCCCTGCCCCCCCTCATTTTTGGTTGCAGAGCGGGTAAAAACCGGGAAATTCACTACAAATAATGCCCGAAACTAATGTCCAACTTGAGGAGGACCCTTGAAACGTTGCGATCAGTCGGAGCATTGAAATACAAGGACTGCCACCCCCTTAAAGTACGGAAACATCCAAAACACCCCCGCTGCCCCCCTCATTTTTCGTTGCGGAGCGGGTAAAAACCGGGAAAATCGCCAGAAATGATGCCCGAAACCACTGTAGAACTTGACGAGAACCCTTGAAACGTTGCGCTCAGTCGGAGAACTGCAACACAGGAACTGCCGCCCACTTTAAGGACGGAAACATCCATAAAACCCCCGCTGCCCCCCTCTTTTTTCGTTGCAGAGCTGGTAAGAACCGGGGCATCATTTCTGGCGATTTTCCCGGTTTTTACCCGCTCCGCAACGAAAAATGAGGGGGGCAGCGGGGGTGTTTTGGATGTTTCCGTACTTTAAGGGGGTGGCAGTCCTTGTATTTCAATGCTCCGACTGATCGCAACGTTTCAAGGGTCCTCCTCAAGTTGGACATTAGTTTCGGGCATTATTTGTAGTGAATTTCCCGGTTTTTACCCGCTCTGCAACCAAAAATGAGGGGGGGCAGGGGGCTAAGAGTTTTGAAAACTCACTTTAAAGTCGCAGGCTGCGTTTGCGTTAACATTGGCAAGAAGTTCCACTCGGATTTGATGCTAAGTTTGAAGCTCTTCTGTGACTTTTCGCATTTTAATGCAATGTTTCATTGTAACAGGCCCATCCCCCCCTACGGGGGGGCTGTGGTGGCCCGGGGGCAATATGAAGACTTCGGTATCAGACTTGGAGTATTCGAGGACTCTTTGAAAAGAGAAACGGTATGTCCAAGAGCCGCCGAAGCTACTCTAAAAAATGAAGGTACGGACCCCCTAAATAACCTTTGGACCCCCCTAACTTTTGACAGGGGGGTCAGATCGACTTCCGGTTTGCGCCAAAAATTTTCTTTTTTCATGCTCTTTCTAACGATGTATCACATGATGGGGGTTGCCATTTGAAATTTTTGAGTTGCCCCCCGCCCCCCCTCCCCCTGGGGGGGTGAAGAACTGAAAAGTACCTCAAAAAGTTTCCCCCTCGATATGAGGAAGGACGCCACAAACCGCAAATCGATATCATAATTAGAACTAAAGTTATGGCCAGTGGTGCGTAACTTTTGAATAACCCTGTATTGGAAATTTCCGCGTGACATATTTTATGATATCTCGCAAAATTGTGAAAAATTGAAACATATCTTCAGGGGCTGGGTAATGGGTATGCAGTGCACACACCAAAAAGCAAAAACCAGTGACCGTTCATTTAATTTTGCATTTTATTTCGAAAAATATTTTTCAATATTTTTCATATTTTTCTGAAATTTATGTAATATTTCACATGAAATTCCAAGATTTTATTTTTCATGAAAAATTGCAACCCTGCTTACCCTATAGTTAGTTTGCCGTCCCTGGTAAAAATTGGTGACAGGAGCTGCGTTTCAAAATACCATAGGAGTTTTTATAGCCGACTGAAGAAGACGATAGAAAATCATATAGCTGGCTGTAGAAAGTGGAAAAAATCATACGGCCGGGCTACACGAAGCGATAAAAAATTAAACAGCCGGGCTATAGTTCCTGTCGCCGGGTTTACACTTTATCGCCTGGCTGTTGCTTTTTCGCCATCGGCTATAAAAGGCTATAAGAAATTGTGTAGAAATTCGTGTGCTTTGTAAATCCTCAAGTTTGTACGGAATCACCATAATATTTACAAAACGCACATTACATTTTCCTTTACTACGTATTTGTTTTCATCAATTAAAATGAGAATAATCCATACAGAGTGTGCAAACATTTCAAAGTCATGAGCTGAACAACGCTGACTCCACGAGATTGAATATTAGAGCCTAACACAAAGCGGAGCGGCAGCGCGCGCACTGGCGCCTACAAACCTAACAGGGATACTTCACGCATTGCGCAATGCGTGAAGTATCCCTGTTAGGTTTGTAGGCGCCAATGCGCGTTCCGCGCTGCGCCGCAGCGTACCACGGCGCTTGAAGCAACTATTTCACACCAGAGGTATTGCACAGTATCGTACAAAATTGAATGCGCTCCAACATATTAAAAATGCCAGGCATCCTTCAAAAGTACGGAGCTTTCCTCGCAAAATAAATCAAGATACTACGGCCCAAAAAGAGAGCGGTAGTCCAAAAACTCACTAAGTCCTAGCATCCGGAATTAGTAACGTTTAGCATACACTTTATCGCCAGGCTGTTGCTTAATCGCCATCGGCTATAAAAGGCTATAAGAAATTGTGCAGCCGGCTAGAAGCTATTGAAAATCTTACAGCCGGCTTTAGGTCTATGGTATTTTGGAACACAGATTCTACTGCCAATTTTTACCAGGAGTGGAGAAAATTATTCTTACGCATCTTTAAAATTTGTAGTGATAGGACTGATGGAGGCCCCGACGATTCGATACATCAGCGAGATAAGTCACCCATCTCTGCGAGGGATCCTGACGACCTACTCGGTTCTGTTCACGTCCCTGGGATTTTTGGCCGTTTACTCCCTCGGGAGTTTGACCGATTGGCAGCACGTGGCCCTCATCAGCGCGGCGGTGCCTGTCATATGCATTATCATCTTGTTCCAGGTACGCAACTTACACGATCTTGATAAATCTTAACAATGGGCTCTCGCCCGACGATTTCGAGTATCAACGAAATTCCGAAATTTGCGTAGTTGCGCACATTAGACGGCAACCGTATGGCATGCTGATTCATATGAGAGCGAAATAAAATGTTCTCCAGATGAAAGCTGAAAAGATTGCGGTTAGATGCATGACGACGGTGAAACTCCCAAACAACGCACTAAAAAAAAATCTATCGTCAAAAAAAAATTACTCTTGATTCAACCAGATTTTTCCTCGAATCGAAGATCCTCCTCTTGATTTAAGCGGATGTCCTTTTGATTTAAGCAAAAATCCGATTGAATCAAGAGTATTTTTTCTTGTCAATGTTTTTAAGAGTCTGGACTCTAGATCCAAGCGACTTTTTTTCCTAGTGCGTATCTCGGTTTGCAACGTTGCAGACTTCCTGTCATAATTAATTTTTAAATGGAAAACCAACTCAACATTATTTCTTCCATGATTTTCCTTCGGTCTGCGAAGAAAATTATGTAAAAACATCAAGGAATCGTGTTGATTTGTTCTTATTTAAAAAAATAAAATGGGAACGGAAATTCTGAAATACTGCGAACGAGAGTGCGTGGTCTGGGAGTTTCCCCGTCCATGAGTATAGTAGACAGAACATTGTCGATTTTGCCGCTACGTAAGTCAAGATTTCAGTTTGAATGAAACTGAAATCGTCATCCTGGAGGTAAAAAGCTCATTCTAGCACAGTTTGCCCTCCGAGAGAAATTCTTTCGGGTACAGTTTTCTTTTACAGAGAGAAAAATACTGTCTAGTGCAACGCTAGTTACCACCCATCAGGAAGGTCACAGGAGACAAGCTCCGGTTCTAATTTGACCTATCATCGGCGCAGCGTAGCCTCCCGACTACCTGCTTCCCAGCAAATCGTCCGCTCGATTTACAATTTGTGTTCAAATCGTGTGCAATCAAATTTCATTCGAATGAACTTTTCCTCTTTTAATATAAAGAGAATTTCAGTTTAATACAAAATGTTTGAAGCACGTGGGCAAGATCACCAACACTCTCGAAACTAAATATAGCCTGCAGCGTTAATAACATGATCAATTCCTTTTATTGAGTATTAAATGTATGTTGTGTTTGTCCCTCTCTTTTTGAGGGAAAACGCAGAAAATCGATGAAAATCATGAAAGATTTTCATTCATTCCTTTTTGGCTTCAGGAAAACTTACGTCATCCTTAGCTTGATCCCCCTTCCTCCCCTTCACACACCGTCATCCACTGCTAGCCCCCCCCCCCCACTCGGGATGGATTGCATTTTGCAAAAAGGAACCAAGAGCATTCAAATGTTGCTAGGATGGTGCAACTTACATTATTTGCTATAAATTACAGGAATCATGCAAAAAATAAATTTTACAAAGGTAATTTTTGGTTTGAATTTATAGTTTATCGGGAGTAAAGATAAAACTTTCTTTAAATAATCAGTTTATAATTGCACGGTATAAGGAGTCGCACAATTTTAGCGACTTTGGTATACTCTTGGTTCCTTTTTGCAAAATGCAAACCATATATGGACGACCCCTTAGCACGGCACGTTGAGCGGATGGTTTCAACTTGTGACTTTTTTTGCATTTGTGACCTTAGATTCCTGAGACACCGATGTGGTTGATGTCGAAAGGGCGCGCGGCGGAGGCCCTGGAGGCGCTGCAGTGGCTCCGAGGCTGGACAACCGCGGACATGGTGGAAGACGAGTTCGCCAAACTGGAGTACTACGCCAAGAAGAAGTCCTGCAAAACCCTGCACGGCTACGGGAAAAGCGTCGACACCAAGGACGAAGTCAAGGAGACCCCGGCGGAAAACGGCATCGACGGCGTCTCCGGCGGCGGGAAGGTCAGCGTCAAGCCCTCGGTCAGCTTCCAGGTGGAAGTGGGCTTCGAAAAACGGGGATTCGCCGACAAGTTGGGTGACCTGACGTGCAAAGAAATGACTGTGCCACTGGGAAAGTGTATCGTTCTGATAACGCTATCCTGCTTCAGCGGGCTGCCCCTCATCCGGCCTTACTTGGTCGCCATCTTCGCTCAGCTCAATCTTCCTATTCAACCAAATTGGACCTCAGTGAGTACGTCTACCATCCTCAGAAACATTGGTCGCAATCCTAAGCGGATCCAAAGGGGAGGGGACGTAGGGGATGTCAGGTTCACCCCCGTTCGTCCGAAAAACACCCGGTTATACCGCGGAGGGGTTTTTCACACCCCGTAAACATCCCGGTGGGCAAAGGGGCGAGGAAAAACCCGCCTCCTCCGTTAGAAATGCCTGGATCCGCCAATGCTCTCAATGGGCCAAGTGCATGAGCATACTCGTACTATTGAATTTTCGGTTTTTAGATTACACAGACTGATTTAGTGGCTATAATGTCAATCGATGTGCTCTGATGTAAATGTACATCGCTAATAGATGGTTACAAAATTTGATCAGGCACGTAACCACGTTGACCTACTCACGCCGCACGGTGGAACGAACTGACAGAAGAGGTCGGACGTGAAATTTTTGGCTAGAATTTCAAATTTTTATTTGTATTTTGTCACAAATTCAATTTCCAAGGGTGTTTCTAAGAGGAAATTTCACGGAAATCGAACTAGGTACTCGAAACCATTAAAATTGATTCCCTGACTCGCGCGAAAGACCTATCGTTGTAAACTGTCCGTAATTTCTCACCAAAAATGCAATCAATGTTCTTTCTCGGAATCTTAAAAATCGTTTTGCTGGTTATTCTAACCACGGATTGCAGAGTTCAAAAATACTTACCTACAGTATAATTTTGCTATTAGATATCCTGCCCAAAATTACGCGAAAAAAAAGTGTCACAATCCTAACTATACTCCTGGCAGAATTTGGCGCCAGATATTAGAGTAGTTGCACAAGCTAGAGGTATGGTTAAGTCAGCTGAAAGTGTGATTGGATCAATCATCCCTCTAGCTGGTGCCCTCACAGTCAGCATAGGCGTGGTTGGATTAACTATACAGCTGGCTGGTGCATGTACACTTGGAGCTGGTGCAACTTCTCTTATAGTTGGTGCCAAAATCAGCTAGAAGTATAGTTGAGATTGTGATACTTTTTGTTCCAGTGTACATAGTTATTTTTTCATCTAAATTGTTATTTTTTTGCAGGTTTTGGTGACTTTCCTTGGGATAGCGGGTAACATCGGCTGCATGGCACTTGTAAATCGAGTGGGGAAGAAGCCGTTGGTGATCTGTTCTTCGGCAGCCTCTGCTGTGTGCTTGATTTTGCTCTCGATATTCCTCATGCAGTCGACGCCGGAGGCCATGCAGGACCGCGGCAACCCTAACTGGTGGCCTCTCATACTCTTCTTCGTCCTCTTCTTCTCATTCAACATGGGTCTCCAGCCGTTGCCGTGGGTTTACCTTAGCGAGATACTCCCCTATAAGTAAGTGTACCACTACGATACGACTTATCTTTTACAAGAGGGCAGAAGGAATACCAGCAGGCTGATTATTGAAATTAATAGACAAAGCTATAGACAAAGAATACGGATGGCCGGATGGACCCTTTATGGCCACCCCTTGACGATATTAATTCCATTCATTTCGATAAAACTCGAAAAAGTAAACCAGCAGTACCTTCAGGGCCGGATTCAGGGGGTGGCCACATAGGCCGCGGCCCATGGCGGCAAATTTAGGGGGCGGCAAATTTTGCAATATTTTTTTTAAATGTAGGTATAAAAATAAAATTGAAAAAAAGAAAAAGGCGACAAAATCTTGCATTTCCTGTAAGTATAGTAATTTCTAATTTTGTCGTTTTGCGGTGATACAAAAGATAGCACCTTTAATTAGTCGAGTTATGAGAGAAACCAAACACGGAATTTGGCCAGAACGCTCATTTATGAACATTCTTGGCCGTTTTGGTCTGACATTGGAATCTGCATTTTTCAGTGACATTTTTGTATCAGAAGGTTGGCTGCCCTTTCATTAGTCTAGTTGAGAGAGAAACCAAACACGCAATTTGGCCTGAAGCGGCGCACCGCAGAGAGCAATGATGACGAGAACTTGAGATGAAGAGGAGAGGCCCTCGGCGCGGCGGTCGGCATGTAACACATATTAGCGCCTACAAGACTGCATGAATACTTCACGTATAGCGTCAAACACAGCGCGGTCAGCAGCGGTCGCCGTGTAACGCATAGCACCTACAAGACTGCAGGAATACTTCACGCATTGCGTCCAACGCAGTGCGTTCAGCACGGCGCGGTGGTGGAAGTTAAAATTATTGAATCACATTTATGATTGTTCTTTCATAATTTTTTCGTTCATTTCTCATTGATGGAAAGCACTCTCCACACAGAGACAGGTTTACGGAACATAGCTTTCGCGCCAAGTTCCGTGAATTTTTGCTAGTATTGTTGACAGGGCTTCCGCAAAAAATGTATTCAACACGAGTATACGCGTCTTATGCATCCCTCTCCCTCCGGCACGTTCACTTGACGGTTTTTATTGATGTTTCAAAACGAATGAGATGGGGGTGGCAAAATGCAAGGGGCCCATGGGCGGCAAGTAGGTAAATCCGGCACTGAGTACCTTTGGCTTCATTTTGGAGTTTTAATGGTTCTTTATTTCTGTTCATCGATGATTTTCTTGAGAATTGATGATCTTTAGCTGAAATTCCGCAATTCAAAAATCAAGAATGATAATCGCTTTGATTGATGCATTTACTGATGTGTATCTATTGCTCAGTGTCTTGGTATGCATTGTGTGGGTAAAACCGCATCCAACGCTAATTTCACCTTTTTTTTGCCAAAATTATTGAATTGAATATTTGCAAAATCAATATAATAATTCAATTAAAATTACCTCCAATTTTCCGAAAAGTATAACAAATTTTACAGTTATGCTGCAATTGACTTCTATAATTAAATTTCCTGTTCGGACTTTTCAGGGGTCGAGGGATCGCCACTGGTATCGCAGCGAGTATTTTCTACATCGTGATTTTCTTCGGCGTCAAGATGTTCTCTACGATGGAGCGAGAGTTAGGACTGCAAGGCACGTTCCTGCTCTATGCTGCTGTTTGTATCGCGGGAATTTTCTTCACATATTTTATCCTTCCAGAGACCGAAGGACGGTTCTTGTCGGATATAGAAACTGATGCTGAGCGCGAGATCACAGTACCATCAAATAAAGAAAATACAGTCAATGCATGAGCCAAAAATTTGCATTATTATTTAAGCCTTAACCACCACAACCACCAGCTAACTTTTAACGAAGTAAAATTATAACTTTATTAAATGGTATTGCAACAAATTTCGGAAGCTAGTGCCTTTTAAATTAGAGGATAGGCAGCTTACAGAACATTCTGATGCAATGACAATAATTTTGTCAGGCGATCGCAGTTCAATATGCGCGTAGTCTGTACCACTTGAGGTGCGTACAGCTTGTCTCTCAGTAAAGATTATTTATATTACGTTATTTTTACTCTGATGGATCATACAGGTTGTTTCACTGAATTCAATCTTTAAATTCCATTTATTATTCAAAAAAACGTACTGATCTCCCCGTATCCTCCTCCTCTTCCCTCCCCTCACTTACACACAAACTCACGAGCCTAAACACACAATTAAGAAATTTAAGTCACAGAAATGTCTCACTTTGTTCTTGGTTTTATTTTTATTTTATATGAAAAAATAATCCACACCCGAAACTAACTACCTGCAAAATTTGAGGGATCAATTGTTTTATTTTTTTCGTCTGATGTATAACCTCTTACTTATTTATTTATAATTTTTTTAACGGATCCCTTCATTCGGGACCTCTTGGCAAGTTCCTTTCAAGGCCTCTAGTCGGTCGAATAGGAGCATGTTCCTAGTTCAAAACGGGCAACTTCGCGTATGCCATTATACAGTTTGATGAGGATAGTGAAAAGCCTAGTTCGTAGGTATTTGGAAGAATTTACGCATTCGAAATACTTCAGAATCCTCCGTTAATTTTCAGTGTGATGTTGAGACAATTTTCGGAACCAAAACTTAACTTCATTTTGCAACTATGGGAACTGCTATTTCTGGCTCATCCGTAAAAACGCTTACATGCATTGGGAAATTAATGGTACATACTTTTCGAAAGTGAGCTAGGTATTGTCTTTCCCATTCGCAAAATGTAAACCAACTGTTCCTCGGAAAATCGTCTCAACTTTGACCACGTGGAATGTCAGCTGTTGAAGAGCGACATTGTAGGCAATGTACCTAATCTGTACATGGCCGTCTTCTATACGGCTGTTCAACTTCAACAGGAAAGTAAGAGCCACTGATAAAGTAGAGAGGCGTTCCGACGTCAATCAACTTGAAGCCGGTAATAAAGACAGCCTCGGGTTCGAATCCCACTTTAAACAGCAATTTTCCCGATCGATTAGGTACCGCGATAATCCTATTATCACTTATCTTCGAGCAAAAAGTGTTGTCATGTCACAAATATTGTGTAAAAAAAACTTAATTGATTCATCAACTTCAGAATTCAGCGCAATTAAGTCGTGCTTGAACTTAGTATCAAGGAAATTTTCGTAATTTTTATGGAATACCTACCGCTGTAAGCTGCGGAATTTTTTTTACTAAATTAAGAGAACTATCAAAACGTCCAGTAAACTGTTAGCAATATTTTTGCAATCCCAGCATGGATGTGGTGCCTTTAGAGTATTGAGTATGCTAACCGCACTTCACTTACAAGTCTTGTTTAGGATTCTCTCATTTCCCTGTTGCTCTAATTCTTAAATATCTTGAAATCTTGATTTTAAGGAAATCTGACACCGCTTATTAGGTCACCATCACACTTACATTCTCAAGAACTGAGCTTAAAAGTTAATTTCAAAGTTAGCGATTGTCGTTGTTCTTGACTTGAACATTGTATGCTGATTGTAGACTAATAGGACGCATAACAAGACAAGAATCAACTTTTTTGCAAAATGAGCGGTCTGCTTGTTGGTTGGTTTGCAGACCTCTCCATTAGAAATTCAGAATTAGTATTATTCTGTTTGCACTTTGTTCGATATCGTGTCATACTTTAACAATACTGAAAAGAACCAACTGTGCGTTTTCATCTTTTATTTTAGTCAGCAGAAAGCAGCGATCTCAAAATGAGCACAGATACATTTAAGAATGGGTACATTCAAAGAGGTTTTTCCCCGAAAAAAAGCTCGTAGCTAAACTCTGAGAATACAGGTTAGCTCCTTCTAGAAATGACCAGAGACATTAAGGGGATGTAAGCTACTTATTACGACGGTAATACTTCAGAATAGCATATTTCACTCGCGTTGTTTCAAAATCTCCGTTCTCATTTTTGTAAAATTTTGCTTATAAAAAAAAGAATAAACCCGAGGACGTTTCTTGAAATTCTCATAAATTACCCAATCTTTACGTACATGGAAGGAGAATCAGGGAATTTTTCAGGAAATGACGCTGAGTTAGTATATTTTTCTATTGAAAAAATGAATTATGAATAACAGGGAGTCCGCAACGTCGCAAACCGAGTTACATGTTCCTACAGTTTTAGCACCATAATCATCTATCATCAAATAACATAAAGAAGTTTCGAGGTGAAACCATCGTCTCCTGTCCTTATAGCAAATCCCAGTTATTTCATTGGTAAGTACGGTTGTATGCTCACGATTCATATTGCATTCTCATTATTAACTTACTATCGCCCAACAAATTTGACTCGAGAAACAAAAGAGTCTTTGAAAAAACTCAATTTATCCTCGTTGAAAAAGAAAAAGAAAACTTAAATAATTTTTTCATAAAAATTTGCTGAGTTCAGGTGACTCGCGCCATTTGTTCATGCGATTGAAACCCACTGCTCGCGCTTTGTGTGATGAGCAATGACTACGTCAGCTCATCATGATAACGCTCAGCTGCGCGCTGACGCGTCGCGACGTCACATTGAATTCGGACGCCGCACAGTGGAGTGCATCAATGTGAGAGGCTGGATGTAAAATTTCACTAAACCTTCAAATTTTAGGGTTTAATTTGATACTTTATAATGCCAACGGGTATCTCGGATTGTATAAAAAAATCCAACGGAGCCACTATTGACCTTCCACGTCCAGCATTAACGAAGATATAGATTTAAAAAGATTCATCACTCATATCCGCGAGCTCTCCTATTGACTAACTTCACTGAGCGCCGACACTAAGAAGCATAGTGATGCCCGCATCCCAAGCTTCCAGCTCCGATGCGACGGCCAAAAATTGTCGACCTCCATAAATTCGCATGATGGATAATTAATTGATCGCAAATTTGTCAATTTTCATGGAACAATGACCCATAAACAACGATATTAACCATACATTCAATGAACGAGTAGACATCTTGTAACGTAGCTTTCCCTCATCGCAACGGTACACCGACGACGTTGTGAGCCCGCAACCATGTATACCCTGGTAAAAATTGGCGATAGGAGCTGCGTTTCAAAACACCATTAGAATTATTGAAGCTGGCTGAAGAAGGCAATAGAAAATCATATAGCTGGCTGTAGAAAGCGGAGCATATCATATAGCCGGGCTATACGAAGCGATAAAAAAGTATGCAGCTGGGCTATAGTTCCTATCGCCGGGCTTTACACTTTATCGCCTGGCTGTTGCTTTTTCGCCATCGGCTATAAAAGGCTATAAGAAATTGTGTAGAAATTTGTGTGCTTTGGAAATCATTAAGTTTGATACGGAGCCAACATAATATTCACAAAACACACATTATATTTTCCTTTAATACATATTTTTTTCATCAATTAAAATGAGAATAATCCATACAGGATGTGCAAACATTTCAAAATCATGAGTTGAAAAACGCTGACTCCGCAAGATTATATTGGAGCATAACACAGAGCGGAGTGGCGTGCTGCCAGCGATAAGCGCACCAGCGCCTACAAACCTAACTGGGATACTTCACGCATGGCGCAATGCGTGAAGTATCCCTGTTAGGTTAGTAGGCGCTAAGGCGCTTTTCGCGCCGGCTGGCCGCCCGCCGCGCCGCAGCGTGCCACGGCGCTTGAAGCAACTATTTCACTCCAGAGGTATTGCACAGTATCATACGAAATTGAAGGCGCTCCAACATTATAGGAATGGCAGGCATCCTTCAAAAGTACGGAGCTTTCCGCGCAAAATAAATCAAGATACTATACGGCCCAAAAATAGAGCGGTAGTCCAAAGACTCACTAAGTCCTAGCATCCGTAATTAATAACATGTAGCATACACTTTATCGCCTGGCTGTTGCTTAATCACCATCGGCTATAAAAGGCTATAAGAAATTGTGCAGCCGGCTGTAGAAGCTATTGAAAATCTTACAGCCGGCTTTAGGTCTACGGTATTTTGGAACACAGATTCTACTTCCAATTTTTACCAGGGTATCGTTTGCGGTGTTTGAAAATCTCCGCTCTTTCTTCATTTTTTTAAAAGAGGAGAACAAATTGACATCGTTCCTTGAGGTTTCCCCGAATTTCCTTCTCCCAGGGAAGAAACTATACGGCAGTTTTCAAAATTTGCCTTTGAGTAGTTTTCTGCATTTAAAGAGGAAATTATGACAGGAAGTCTGCAACGTCACAAACCGAGACAGTGCGATACTCCGCACAAAAATAATGGTCGATGAATCGATATTCGACTGCCTTTGCTCAGAGGAACCCCAATTCACGAAGTTTTCGGGAGAACCTCTAAGTTAAAAAGACCAAAACTCAATATTGAGTTTTTCTACACTTTCCATCTTTTCCTGTGGCCGGTCACACAGTAAGAGATATACCTGGTTTAAAATGTTCTTTTATCAAGATTGGTTTTTCCTAATCTTTAACATACCTGCCAAATATGCACTAGACCTGAGGACCCGAGAACCTTAGGACCTGAGGACCTGAAGATCGATAAAACTTTCGCAGCCACGCACATTTGAACCGGGCGGAAATTGCCTGCATGCCCTTAAGCAAAAGGGTACAAATGCCTAACTCCATTGAAGGCATTTTCGAGACAATCGGGACAAACCGATTATCAACCCCATCGATTCTACTGTAAATACGCGCATTTTTTTTGAACTGGGTATTTACATACAATGTCAATGAGCCAGTTGCGCTGGTCACAGAATCGTGTTTTGGTGCTTTATTCTTGTAGATCAACTAATAATGAACAGATATGACCAAACAGCAACTTACGTTGAATATTAATTGAAATATTGCGCCTTGAAAAACTCGATTTATGACGTCATCCACCGCGGTAGTACACACCATGTTATGCACTATACCGCGGTGGCTGACGTCAAAACCCTGACTTTTCGAAGGACGATATTTCGGTTAATATTTAACGTAAAAAGTTGCTGTTTGGACCGATCTTCTTATTTTTAGCTAATTATCAGCAATCAAGCATCAAAACACGATTCTGTGAACAGCGCACCTAATCCATTCGAAACCACCGCAAACTTTTACTGCCCACTTTTTTACAGGCACGCATTTTTCAGAGGATGAATCAATAACTGGATTTGCAAAAAAATATAAAAAATGTGAGTGTAAGCTGCTCTTATACACTATCATGTAGCTGAGTATCTGTTTTCTCTCATTTTTATCCTCGTCCGCCGTAGAGGTTCGACTTGGCTTCATGTCAGTCGATGCGTGTTCTATCGAGCCGAGCACTTGAGAATCGGAGATTAAGCCAAAAAACACTTCTCTCGGGTCCGGTTCCCGGATTCCGACCAACTACCGTCAGTCGTGCCCCGGAGTTCACCCACACCCTCGGCGTGGCCGCTTCTTTCGCCGAGAATTCGGCTCAGAAAAAAAAACAAAAAAACAACTCGCGCCAATTTCCAGATCCTGACCAATCGAATCAATTCGCGCCTGTCAGTTCGTCACTCCTACGATTTTACTCGGCAATTTTCATCTTAATTAAAATTATTCCCAACTTGTGAGAATTCTGCTGAACCATCCAAACTTATGCGTTTGCCTGCACAGTGTGTCCAATCCCTCGCTTTCCCAGTGTCTTTTCCCTTGCTCGAAAATTTTAGGATTCTTGGCGAACTTTCCTGTCTCTTAATTTCTTGCCTATTTTAAGATTAAAAAAACACTCAACTCGTGAAAATTTTTGGCTGTGTCAAAGTGTACCGCTCTATCGCTCCTTAGTGTGGTCGTATCTTTACCCTGGTGGTGCAGCCCCATGCACGGTTTTCCGTCTAAGCGAGTAATCGCAGAATTTACGTGCCTACTCCTGCTTTTCCGCTGATGCTTGGCTCTTCGCTCTTCCCCAATTATCGGCTTCTGGCAGATGCCATTTCCGCTATTGGAATTCCAGCATCTCTGCGGTTAAGCCGCGCACACTCTCGAGAACACGTGGTGGTTTCTTTCTTTTCAGCTCGTCTTTTTTCTCGCTGAAATTTGAGCTCAAATTTTCCGCGCGGTTTCGAGGTCACTCATTTCGGACGGTGGTGTCGAATGGAGCGCTCGGCTCGTGCGGACTACAGTGTGTGTGTGCGTTACAATTTTCGTCGTTTAGAGTGCGGGAAAATAACGAATAAACAGTAAACAATAATTTTTTTTTTTTAAAGAAAAAAAGCGAAACAAAATTTTGTGGAAATAAGTGTAGAAAAAGTGTTTTTACCTTCGGTTTATTTATTTCAAATTGGAACAGATTCGAAGCAAGAATATTTAACTGATGTACGGAAAAAGGCTAAAGCTCCTTCCCATTTCCAAGAAGAGTCTCCGATAAGACGGATAAGGCTCAAGTTTTCACCAAAACAGCTCAACTTACTATCAGAGAGATAGTATTGATTGAGTGTTTAATGAAACTATTCAATTTAAAACATCTTACGCGTGAAAAGTGAATGTGATAAAACTAAGAAAGTTTCACTGTAATTCGAAGAAAAATCTTTAGGTTCTATCCATTGAACCAAAATAATTAAAACTGAGACAGTTTCTTTTTAATTCGAAGAAAAATCCTTAGTTTCTATCCATTAAACCAAAATAATACTGTCAGACAAAAGCTTTTCTTTTGCCGCTGCATGAGTGTAGGTCTAAACGTAAGAAACTACCTTAGGTGGCGCGTAAAACTAGCGTTGCAGGACTCTATTTCGTGGTGAAATTCAACTTGGCAGCGATGATGTTACCCGAAGAACCGTCAGTCGTCGCCACCGTGGCCGATGTGTCGGAGCACCTTCCGCTGAAGGCGATGGTAACCCCAGACGGGATGCTGGAGGCAAAGGTCCTGGCGATGGTGGTGCTCGGGGTCGTGGCGGCAGTGATCGCCTTCTTGCCGCTGCTCTTCGCGGCCTACGTAGACCGGCGCTCGGCCAGCGGGAAGCCCTACGCGAGTCGCTTCTTCAACGGGGAGTTCTCCTTCATGTTCCCCTTCGGCGGAGGGGTGCTCCTCTGCACCATTTTCCTCCACCTCCTCCCCGAAGTCACCGAGAACGTCGAGTCTCTCACGAAACTCGGGATTCTTCCGGAAATACACATCGCACTTCCGGAGCTCCTCACCTGTTGCGGATTCTTCGTCATGCTCTTCGTGGACGGTATAACGCACTCCATCCTACACAGGTGCGTACACAGGACCGGAAAACAGACTCCATTTCCACAACCTCCCAACTTTTGAATTTCATGAGAAAAATTGTATCATAATTTTGTACTAATTTTGTGCAATTTTGTGCTATATTGTGCCGCAAATTAAAAATTTTGTGGTTCAAAATTAAGGAAGGAAATGCTCCTCAAAACTAACAAATTGATACGCATGCTCAGCGCCTACCGAAGGCCACATAAATGACGTCAGCTGTCACTGAAAACTGCAGGACATCGATGATATGTCACGGATAAGACTCAGTACTGGAGAAAGGGCTAAATAACTATGAAATGGGAGAGTTGTTTTTAGGTGGAATGAAGGAACATAGTTTTACAAGAGACAAATGCAGCAACCTGATGGAAAGTAAAAGACCGACTCGTGGGGCGCTAAGGTGGAGCTGTGATCCTGCAGTGAATAGGGCTCTGGAGTCTGGCGATGATGAGAGATTTTGAGATTAGCCTAGTGTTACATCAGCCTTTCCCTCGTGCAAGCGATCAAGCGATAGTATAAAGGAAGATGATGCGTCTGATTGTCAAAAAGTTTCAATTTTCTGAAGTTAGGAATGACCAAGAGAGAGACAAAATCTATGTAAGAGGGAAAGAGACGGACAAAAAACTTTTTCTTTACTGTGAAAGGAACTTGGAGGGTTTTTTTAAATGCAAAATTAGCTACCTAGGAGTGGACGGTTGTCTTGGGCTGCCAGGCAAACCTCTTTTAAGGAGGATATAAGATAGAAAGAAGAAAGGTGGCACATCAAAGAAATTGGCCTTAGGTGCTGGTTTAGGTTTTGATTTTTTGAAAAAATGTATTTGATACAGCATGTCCTCCAAGGAGGGAGCGCCACACTATTATTCCATTCCAGATCTTGCAAATTTCTTGAAAAAAACAGAAGATATTTATGACAGGGTACATTCATCACCCCCATTCTTCAGTTTTTAGTATGGTCTCCAATAGAATGGCACAGTATTTGAAAAATATATAAAACATGTATTTTTGCAAGTCTTTATCTATAATAACACTTCCTACCAAAGAAAACTTTTAAAACCTGTTGAAATTAGAGTTCGTAACCTTGCTACGGCTGTTTGATATATAGTTTAGAAAAAATCTCACGTAATGTCTTGTAATATCGAAATATATTTGAAAAAAACTCAAATACAAGCATACCGTCGCCTTGCTCGCTTTTCACGGATTGTTTCCTTGTTGATCACGCGAGTCGCCTTCAATTTCGCCTCATAGGCAACAAAAGGTATGCTTGCTGCATATTCGGGGATATTGAAGGCGACTCGCACGTAAACTATATCTACCAACAGAATCACACATAGTGTTTTCCACACAGCTTAAAATTCACGCTTCTCTGTAGATTCGTTTCCCATGCGAAAACATACTGAACGGAACTGAAATATTACTGGAAGAGTACTGAAAGCATACTGAAGTATGCGAAATAATGAAGTAGAACCCTATATAGACAATAGCTATCACAGACAGGGAAGGATCTAAACTTTTACAGGGCGAAACTTATTGAACAGGCACTATATTATTTAATGATGTAGAGATCATCCATGAACATTTTATTAATTTCCCATTATGTAGGATTCCTTAATCTTCCCCTTGTCTTCCTTGTCTACTTCTTTGTCTTGTCTATCGATTTCAATAAGCCCCTCGCTGGAGACGGATCCAGCAATTTGGCAACACCGGATTTCCTCCATTTAAACCTATGCTGAATCGATTCTTGTCGGAGCACCTGGCCCCTCCGAGAATTGATACATTTCCATAGGTTTAAATGGAGAGAGGGCAATGTTGCCAATTTGCTGGATCCGCCAATGCACCTGCATAACCATAAACCACCCCCTGCACCTCCATAAACTGCTTGTAACCCTAAGAAACGATTCATTTCTTTGCAGGTACTTCCATCCGAAGCCGTCGCCGTCTCCCCACCTGCGGAAGATCTCCACCGTGCAGGACACGCAACTCCAACTGCCCGCCGCGAACGGTGATGGCGCGGAGGGTCTGCGGAACCGGGGTCTCGAACCCGGGACTGCGGAGCCGAAACCGCACGACCACGACCATCACCACCATGATCACAGTCATTCGGTGACCCATATGGACCACCTGATCATCTCGAAGGTGTCCCTGGTGCGGTGCTTCCTCTTCGTCCTGGCCCTCTCCGTCCACGAGTTCTTCGAGGGGCTCGCCATCGGCCTCGAGTCCCGCGTCAACGCTGTCTACTACCTCCAAGCCGCCGTGGCCAGCCACAAGTTGGTCATCGCCCTCTGCATCGGCGTCGAGATGGTCACCACGAGGATCAAGTTCGCCTCGGCCTGCACGTACATCTTCACCTACGCCGCCGTGTCCCCTGCTGGGATCCTCGTCGGCATGTTCATCCTCAACGACGCCAGCAGCGGGAGCGAGGTGAACCTAATCGCGTCGGCGCTTCTCCAGGGCCTCGCCACCGGGACGCTCCTCTATGTCGTCTTCTTCGAGGTCCTCACCAAGACCATGAGCAAAAGCGAGACCGGGTTGATGAAGATGTTCGCTATACTCGTAGGGTTCCTGGCCATGCTCGGCCTGCAGCTCTTACTCGATGAGGATGAAGATGATTAAAAAGAAGGAGGATTAAAGTTAATGGATTGAGTGCCGGATCAGGTGGAGGGGGGAGACTCCTCTTTGCCCCCCCCCCCCGCTCTTGCATTGATCCGGATCCTGCCAATAGGTGTACTAGTCAAAGTTTTGGGCAAAAATGGTTTCCGGGAAGTTTGTCACGTGCCTTATAAGCTGCCTTTAACAGATTGCACTATTTTTGAAAAATGGCACAGAAACATTGGTTTTCAGTGCTGTTTAGATTTCTTTTCTTTTCTTCGCGCTGGTGCGCTGATGTAATACTCATCTTGTTTTTTTTCCTAACAAGCATTCCTTCATTGTAAATTGTTGCATTTGTAGATCCTCTCCCCAGAAAGCAGAGGGACTATAACTACTTGTGACTACTCATTTTTTGAAAATAAAGCAGATTCTTTCATACTACCAACACAAGGAATTTTCTTTATTTTCCGTTCTACCGCGTTTAATAATTTTCTTTGATGATTTTACCCCCGAATTTTGATTGTAGCCCCCTTCCAATGAAGCAATAAATAAGTACGATCATCGAAATGATTCAGTTGAAACAAGTTACTCTCAACCTGCGCAATCTATATACATTCGCTTATTTTCACATGTAGGTACTCAAATTATTCCTAGACACAATTTGGCATGATCCTGATATAATAAGGGTTTGAATATGTTTAGTATTATACTGTAAACCCTTACTATAGTACACTCTCTATATTTTATGATTTTTAGGATCAACAATTGAATTACCTAACCAAGGAAAAGGTGCAAAAAGGAGCCCTTAAGTTCTAAGATCTAGTGATATGAGGAAAAAAGTTTTATCTGAAGAGCTCAAATGAAAGATAGGCGGATGACTTTGACAATATTATGTCTACCGTTTATTCACAGTTCAGCCGATTAAAGACGCACAGGGTGTATCCGTCGGAGGAAAAAAAATTATTCCAATTAGGCATATATTTACACCGTGTGTGCAGGTATTCAGCAAAAAATACGATACGTGTGGATTTTTTCTGTTCCTCTAATCGTAAAAGTTCCTTAAATTAAATAATGTATACAATACACCTTTGCATAGCTTTTTTATGCCACTAATCGGGCGTACATGTGCGTGTACGCTTTTGCCTACTCTAATAAATGAAGGCGAAGTTTGAGTTTCCTTTCATGCATGTATAAAGTCATAAGAAACAATTAATTCCTACCCGATGTTATGTTGAATCCTCACTCAGTGGCGTGGCGTGCTTTGCGATGTATCGATTGTTCTACCATTTAAACCCGTGGAAAAGGATCGATAAACAGGGTGTTTGCAGCGAACACCTTAATAATCGATTCTTCACCATAGGTTTAAATGGCAGAACAATCGATAAATCGCATTTCACTCCACGCCACTGTCCTCACTTCTCTCCGCCGTCATTACTAACTTCGCAAAAATCCTCTGTTTTAGCTATGTTACCGGAAAGTAATGAAGTTAATTTATGCATAGGGATGGTTTTTCGCATCTCCAAGACGCATACGTCAAATAGGTATGCGTCAAAAGCATCTTCGAATAATGAGTGGAGGTTTCAGGAAGTTGCAACTGTGGAGAAAATGCGTTCAAAACAGTCAGTCAGGTTGCCCTAGTGGTCAGCGTGGTCCCGGATTCGAATCCCGGTGGTGGCGACAAAATAAATGTCAAGGAACTGGAGTTTGGATCTGCAGAAACAAATGCCGCTCGGCCTTACTTCCTAAAAATTTGAAGGTCCTCTGGAGCATGTGTGTAGTATGCACTAACCCTAACCTAACCCGATGCTCATTTAAAGTTGCAGAATACTCAGATGGATTAAAAACTTCATAACTCAAGAAAAAAAAAAGAAAAAAAACCTTGCACCTTGGGGGAGGAAACTTCATATAATGTCTGGACAGATTTCAATAGGTCCCCGCAGTACACATATTTCTTGTGCAATCCTGCTCACGGCTGACCTTTGAATTTCAAGAGGCTTACTGTGTAAGTAATTCCATTGAAAAAACCTACTCATAACAGTAAGTATTTCCTGAAGTGGAGCGTTGGATGAGAGCCTGGCTCGTTCTTTGCACTGATTCCGCGAAGCTTCCGACTCAAGAGGCTAGTACAGATATCAGTAAGGGGCCGTTTGACTATTACGTAAGCCACTTCGGAGGGGGGTCTTACGATGGAGGAAGGGGGAGGGGTCAGGCCCAGGCTTACGTATACGCCTTCCATAATGAGAAAAAAATGCCTACCAATAAGAATGATTTTTCAAGAAATTTTTTAGGTTTTCTGCGTTATTTCACTTCATTTTATTTCTTTTTTGGGAGAAAAAGGTGTCGAATTAGGCTTATACAATTCAAAAGAAGAGCGCGAGACTTTGGTTTACAGCGGGGAGGGAGAAGGGTCAAAAAGTTGGCAAAAATGGCTTACGTAATACTCAAACTGTCTCTAGTCCGTCGCCCACAATCCAAAAATGGTATATTATGCCGCTTTTATGCCATAACCATGCAGATGCGGACTGGCTCCTCGAAGCGGCCCGAGAAATCGCCAACAGACCGGCCCATCGCAGTGCCGCGATGGACTCCCCCCGCCCCAATAATTTTTCGCTATTAGCCATATGCGTACCTAGGTCATGTTGCCAAAATTGCCGAAGGTAGGTTAGATTGCCAGAGTTCATTTTTGTATATGAATGTGATGCCAAGAATATATCTCCCTGGAAATTTTTCCACAATTGTGATAAAAAACAAATGTCTACTTTCTCTCCCTGGAAGTTAGCTCAGTTTGACTTTTACCGCACGATAGAAAGTAACAACATTCCAACTTGAAAAATTTCCACTGGCAAATTATTTTTTCACCGGAAAACATAAAGGATTGCAAAATCTCTATAACCCTGTGATCTTAGGATTGCAAGCTCACGGTGTATGAAATAGTGTCCACCGGGATAGGTTCAACACCAGGAAGATGCGACTTTTCAACGACTTGAGCGCGCACCGTGGTATACGCGCAATGCATGAAGTATCCTGCAGACTTGTAAGGCGCTACCATGCCCTGCGCGCTTCGTGCTTTGTGCGCAACGCATGAAGTATCATACGGTCTTGTAAGGCGCTATTATGCGTTCCGTGCTGCGCGCGTGGCCGGCCGCACTGTGTTTAACATTTAAGTATTCGATCTTGCAGCGTTAGCAGTTTTCGACTTTGTTTTTTCAAAGTTTGTGTACAGTTAGTTGAAATTACTTTCATTTCAAGTGACCGGGGGTGGCTACCGCCACTCTTGATAAAAAATTACATAATTTGGCAAAATTATGAGGGGGGGGGGAGGTCACCCTAGGAAAAGAGCGCTATTTTAAATTTCCCGCTATGGTGTGAATTACTGCGTAGGTCAGAAATTCCCAATCGTGCCGTACGTGTAATCAAATGACGCAATCAGCTGACGGCTGGCTGACGGATAATGTGAGGTTATAAGTTTGTTTTGGACAGCCAAGCAGACAGCGATTGCACGTTTATTGAAGTTGCTTTCCACGTAATTTTCCGTCAAGGCAGGTTTTCTCAGCTTGAGCAAAATTCTCTTCAGTCATGTGTCTTCTTCACTGTAAATTCTGACCGATTCAGATAATTTTTAACGTTACCCAGTTGATCTACAATTATGGGAGGCAAACGGAAACCAGCCCAGAGAACGAAGAATAATGTCAGAGTAAGTTTTAATGTTTAAATTCTTGTTAAATTCCCTGCGAATTACTCAATTTTTAGCCCTCTACAGTATTTTAAACGTTTGAAAAACCTTACTTTGGTCGTAGATCTATTAGGTACTGTCTCACTCTGAAAAGTGATAGCAATGTGTGCAAACGTTACGTCAGGCTTGCTACGCATAGCGATTCCTTCTGTCGCATGACCTCCCCTTGATGTGTTGTTTTTGCTCTTGGATGAGCTGAATTAGTCCTCCATTTTCCCATCTACATTACTTGTTTTTCAATCATCATCTTGTTCTCATCATCGATGAGAACTGAGTTGTGCTCAAGGTCCTATTTGGACCAGAACAACTTGAATGCATGAATGCCTCTGGAATTTGCAGCTGACACCATTGAGTCAAATCTCACAAGACATGCATTTAATCTGTTTGTACTGCTAGCTTTTGGTGCGGTCAATGAACAACCGTCAATCAAGGAATGGGAGATGCTGTTTACGACCCCAGGAAATAATGCAGTGAGGCCCAACAGCAGTTTTCTTAGTAAAAGACAGATTGAACTTTTTTGAATTTTTCTCTTAAAAAACACTAAATTAGAAATGTTTTAGATTCTATTAGGTAAAAGATCGAACTAGAAGCACTTACTCAGCTTTTATTTACCTAGCTTTTTTTACACCTACCTACTGAACATATAGGGGTACTTACTTAGTTAATATGTAAGGAATTTTTGGACATTTCAGGTTTCATTTTTTTTGGGGCAACTCCTGATGTTACTCAATGTGTTCTCTCGCTGTTCAAATTAACTATCAAATTATCTGATCATTGTTTCTCTTTAAATTGATTCCATTTGATAGTGGTAAAGAAATCAGATGCGAAAGAAGCGCACTTAGTTATAATAATCAACCCTAACTCTATTTAGAATTTATGCCAAGTAAGTTTTTGCACTTTCAGAGTGTTTCAGGCAATCTTTAGTCTTCATTTTAGCTGTAAAATATATATATCAATCAAGATAGCGGTTCTGAACTGTCTATCTAAGAAAGTACGTAAACTTACTTGACGCGAACTCTTATCTTGGCACTTGTCACGAAGTATTCCAAAATCAAATATTTCCGGTACTTCTGGACTGCGTGACTCATTTCATTCTTGTATTTTTCATTTTGAAATTAGTTTTTTATGTACTGCTTCATTAAAGTAATGCTTCAAAGGGCTACTCAAGGTACATTTATTTAATGTGAATCCAGTTTTTCTGTGAGCATCGGCAAATCTATTACTGTATGTACCTCATTGCTGTCTATACTATTTAGTGTCACTACTTAACTTCCAAGGACATTATGTGATTCTCTGTCTTCAAATGTCTTGAAAATCAGTGCTTGAAGTACCTTTTTCTTTCCAGCCATCAAGTAGTGGAAGAAGTGCGGAGCTCCTTACCAGCACTCCGTCTGGATTTCTTGAGGCCTCCCAGCTGAGTGATGGCAGTGTCTTACCATTACCGTCACTTCTTTTCCCTGGTCTCCCTGGTGTGAGTCCTTTGACCTCCTCCAGTTTTGAATCTGGTATAAGTCCAGAATGTCAGTTGGTTGTGAAAAAAATGAAGAAAAAAGATTCCGTCACCAGGCACAAGGTTAGTAGTGCACGAATTAAAAATATGTGTGAATGATTTTATATCCTTTCTGGATGTACGAAAGATGGTGCAATTATTTTGAAGAAAGTAGATGACTTCTTCTTGCCTGTCAAATGAATGTGAATTTTCCAGTCACTAGAGCTACCCACATCTTGTGATCGCCAAAACTTATTCTAAACCTCAAGACTTAACTTGCTTACTGATGCATTTTTATGAAAAGAAAATAATCATTTTCAATATTCCATTTTGAATTCTTATCAAATACTGCACTGTTGTGGAAAATTTTCAGAAAGTACTCATCAGTCCTAAAAAAAAAAAAAAAAAAAAAAAAAAAAAAAAAAAAAAAAAAAATTGCAGACATGCGTAAATAGGCAACTTGTTTTTATGAGATCTAGTGCTTGTATATACTTATTTTGCTCTGGTTTCATTTTTTAGGCCTTACAGGAATTTGTACAATTACTTGAGAAGTCAAATACAGATGAAATCAAAATAATTCTCCCTATTTGGTCCCGCTTATACTCCACTTTGGCACTTGATATAGATCATAAAGTGAGAGAAGTTTGCCAAGAAGCCCACAGAATTATGGTAAATAAAGCTGGTCGTAACATTGCTCCATCTCTGAAGCAGCTGATCGGACCATGGTTTTTGTCAGCATTTGACTCCTTCCCGCTCGCTGCTCAGAAAGCCGTACTCAGTTTTGAGGTAAAGTCAACAATCAAATCATGTATGATAATTTTTTTTTGTCAGTTGTAAGTACCTTTGTACTTTCATGTCACATTCAATTTGGCAGCGAAAATTGTCATGGGGTGGGCATCAAAGTTTTGAAAATGAAAACCCTAGTCAACATTAATGGTATTTTGGACGTAAAATCCAAATTTTGGGATCAACCCGTCTTCAGCCCCTGCAGGAATTTTCCTAATCCAAGGCAGCTGAATAATGAACTCTCAAGAGAAATCAAAGAGGCAAGTCCTTGACTCTTCAGTGAGGTGTCTCTTACCACATTTCTTAGATCTTGAAATGCAATGGGATTAATCTCCTTTACTTTTTACTGTTGAAGCCAAAAATTACCTCATATTTTTCGTCACCCTTCATTGCCATTGCCTGGCATCAAAGTGGCCCACTTTGATGCCAAATAGCGTATGCTTTTTCAAAATCCTTTTGACCCCATAATCGGTAAGTGATGGGAAAGAAATTAGGATCGTTTTCGACTTCAGTAGTAAAAAGTAAAAGGGACAAATCTCTTTAAACATCAGTCACTGATATTATTTAATCTTTTTTTAGGAAGCATTTGTACCTAACAAAAGAACAGAAGCTCTGCTCTTTTGCCACTTAGAAATATTGTCATTCATCGAAGAAAATGTCATCATTCACACTCCTACTACTTTGACTAATCCAGGGTAAGTCTCCTGTTTTTAGCTTTTTGCTTTGAGCCTTTAAATCAAAATTTAATTTGAGCCATCCCTTCAACTTTTGTCATTTCCTATTGTTTTTTTAACCTACCTGGACAATAGAAAGACGACTTTTTCACTCTTTTCACTAAGCTTTTATGAAAAATTGATGCAGAAAAAACCAGTATTTACTTTTAAGCTCTGGATCTGATGGATCACATCAATTTCTATGTATCATCAAAGGAAAAAAAATAATCTGGTAGCCTTTTTACTTTTGCAGAAATCTAAATTCAGGGAAATATATGTCAGTAGGTAGGTGTATCTTTCTACATCACCACAAAACTACGCAAGTGAAATTATGTAGTTTAAAATCAATGGTTTTCTCACTAACTCAATCTATGGTCATTCTATATAAAATCAACAACAAAAAATATTGACTCAGCCATCTTTGATTTTGATGAACGGGGGATCAATGTCTGGCAGTGATGGGTTTTTAAGCACACTCAAGCATCCGTCATCGTAGTTGTGGGTGACCGCGCCACTTCAATACCTTGTCTTGTCCCTTAGAGGTGGTAGGTTAGGAAAGGACACGTCTATCCAGTATTAGTCAGTTTTTACTGTGTGACTATGTTGTATTTTAATTGTGAATTGCTTGTTGTATACGCAACTGCCAGCGTTATCCTTTTAGACCCTCTCACAGGCATGCTCCTTCCAGGTACGTAGTCTTCCATGGAAGGTAAAAAGTAAAATTGTGATGAAATCTTCTTTTAAGGTCCGGGTGTCCCATGGATGAAATGGTCATGAAGTATGAGCGTGTGGTGGTTGCCTCTTTGAACGCTTATGGTCAGTTGCTGGAAAAACTACCCGTTGATGCCCTCAAAGAAAACCAAGCCATACATAAAGAAAAATTGGTTTCATCATCAGCTTTCTGGAATTATTCTAAGCACAAAAATCCTCAGGTATCAAATCTTTTTTCTTCACATGGGTTACTTCACACAGTTAATCAAATCTTATTAATTTTTATATGAACTCTGTTATTTTAAGAGCAAAAAAAAAATGACAACTCATACTTTTTTAGCCAAGAAGAAGGTACGAAGCTCATCAACTCTGTCAAAAAATGAAAGTAAAGGCTAAAAAAGCTGCTGGAAACTTGCTGTTCGAAATACTGTGCCTCAGAGGGGTTGAACAATTTATTCATCCAGTAACCAAAACGTTGAAACGTGATGAACATTGTCCATGAGGCAGCAGGGACGAGTGATGTAGTCCGGGCCGGGCACCGTTGGCCAAGCCAAAGCAATGTGTTTCCGTTTCCAATATCAATAAATGATGCTCAGTTGCAGCTAGGCATGGGCAGTGCTGCCCATAAACGTCAAGCATCCTTGATTATGTCTGAAACCTGGTCATTGCCCTAACATACTCTATGTGCAATTGGTTCTATTTCACCCTATACTTTGTCAAATGGGTTATCATGGATTGGAAGAGCCCAAAAATAATTTCCTTACCTTGTTTTCTCCAAAATTCCTAACCTTCAATATTCAAGAATGAACCCTCAAATATTTTTCCGTGGAGAAAGTTGAGCAGGTTCAGATTCTCTTTTTGAACTCAGGATTTTCAAAGAGACGCTTCCTTAACAAAAACCAGAATGAATTAACCATACGTCTCCTTAAAATAATCGTTATTTTATTAAATCATTTCAGCCATTTCAATTTCTTTACCCTTACAAATTCTTAGTTTCTTTCATGTCCTATTTTTCAGATTCGGAAAGCGTGGTATGGCGTTATTATCTCTTTATGCCAGCATGCTGCATACTTGTTATCAGATCATGTGAAACAAGTGTGTGGAATTGTTTTTGCCAATTTGAGTGATAAAAATGCAACTGTCCTTCCTACAATTTGGGATGCAGCTCTAGAGCTCATGGTTGCATTTGATGTAAGTTCTAGTTCTGTATTATGCAAGAGCAAGGGCATTATAAGAGAGATCCCTTTTTCATTAGCCTTTTTATGACAGTGTATGTGGATCTTTAAAGGTTATTAATTAATACTTGTGGGCCTAATTATACTTTTTCGGTAGTTGAGTTTTCTTTTCCATGCAGCTTCTCCATCTGCTTTCTTAGCACTAATGTCTGCTTAAGTGCACATCATCCTTACAGAATTCAATTATTGCAAATCTCTCAACCTTCTAAACAAGGCCAATTGGACATATTTATGCTAAAAAGAACTATGTTACATGGGAACCCTATGCACATAGTTCCTTTTAGCATAAATTCGTCCAATTTACTCAGGCCAGTCATTTCGTGGACGAATTTCAAGACCCCATTGCGCTTTGGCAGCAGGAAGTTTAAATTCAATGCATTTCTTATGGGAGAAGCCAGTTTTACATCATGCAGACTGCAGTCAAGTTTTTTTTTGTTTTTTATTTATTTCTAAGAAAAATTACAATGTAAAATACAAAAGATAAAAATGGAACGACTATAGAAGAGGAAACGATAAGAAGAAATCTTAAGAAAAAACTGAAAGTCAAAAACTCAGGTGGTGCAGTGCTGTCTGATCAGGAGACATGAGTGGCACCGAATAGTGCCTGTTGGCATCCATCGGCTTGAGCATCTGGGTCTTCTTTTTTGACATCAGAATGGTGGAGAGGTAATCACTGACTAGCTTCCAGTTCCTTCTTGACTTACAGATGGTTTTCTGAAAAGAGTTGACAGTTAGCGCCTCGCCGATTTGGGACTCTATTTCTTCGTGATTAAGTTGAAATTTTGCACACCTGAAGATCGTGTGTTGAGGGAAGTCAACCTCCCCTAGATAATAGGGGCAGGAGTCAGAGGAGGACGCATCAATACAATGTAAGAAACTATTGAAGACACGGTGACCAGTGAGGGTTTGCGTAATGAAGAAATTTGGTTTGCCGCGTTCCTTAGTTAGCCATAGTTCGGGGTCTGGGATTAATTTCTTACGCCAACAGTCACTGCAGTCATGTGAAGGCTGGTCACAAGGTGAATTTTAAAAAGATGCGCAGTGACTGACCTTTGTAGATTGGTCTTGCTTGCCAGCAGGAACCCATTGATCATGTTCTCACTCCAAAATTTTGTTTACTTTGTGAAATTTAGCAATTTAATATTGTATCTCTCTTTCATTACAGGATTGCTGGAAACATGTAAATTTCAATTCAGTAGTCGTCCCTAAATTATGGTCCGTACTTAGTAAAGGTGCTTATGGCAATGCTGCCTGCATTTTTCCAAAACTGCTGCCCTTTTTGAGTAAAGTTCCTGTCCCAGATAATGAAGACTGGTATCAGGATTTCTACATCAAGTTTTTCAGTAATTTAATTTTAGGGTAAGTAGTCTTACAGTTAGTTTCTGACACAGTGACATTACAAATTCATAAAAAAATTGTTTTAAGTTTTCATTAACCCAGCTGCCATGCAATTTTTGTCAGGCTTGATTAATTGTGTACCTCTGATTTGAAAATCAATGTTTGTTCATGGTATTTATTTAAAATCAGTATTAATTTCATCAATTTTTTTTCCATTGTAGGTTGCAGGAGCGAAGTGTTCAACAGAGCGCAGTAGAATTCAGATCTGCCATAAATGCATTGTTCGAATGTCTACAATATGTTTTTAAAATTCAAGCGGGAAACATAAACCTCTGTTTAAGTTTGTTTCGTGCCCAGGTAACGATTTTTTAATATTTGTCGAAACTTGAGGAATTTTCTTTCGGAGTTCCTTAACAGATATCCTCTTTTTTATACAAAAATTTGCTCATGATTCTTCTGAAATTTTCATATATTTAATGTTACACATTGCAACTTGTTCACTACTAGCTGAGGGAACTGTGCAGGTCATCTCCCAGTCAGTGGGCTCTGCATCTTCAGTGTTTCATTAAAGATTGTGTTTAGTCTTAAAGTTTTTTTTTCCTTCTTCTTTTCGTTCTTCTTTTTTAACAATTTTACTTAAAATTCCTGAGTTGCCATTGATAAATAAAATCAGGATGATCAAAACGTCTCCATCCCAAAATATTCCAGCAAATATGAGGTTTTTTTAGCTTTTCTCAGAAAATTTTATTTGCTCTTGTGTTAGCTCTCTGCCCTTTCTTTTATATAAAAAATGAAAATCTTTCAATTACTTTTTTTTCAATTCTTTTTTTCAATTTCTTTTTGCTAAATCAGGGCTGCTAATTCTCAACACAATAAAGTCAAAATTATGAAGGAAGTAGTGCAGCAACCTCTTGATAGAATAAAGATGTACAAATTTCTCGCACTCATTGTTGTTTGTTTCCAAAATTTACAGATCTTTGAACTTCTGGAATCTTCCTTGCTAGACGAATCAATGAAAAACAACAATGAAGTAGTCTTCTCTCAAATTAGTGCATTACTCTATCGATGGCAGACCTTGGAAAGCACTTGTTCATTGTATTCTGTCATTGTTGAGGAATGTTGGAAACATTTTACAGAAGTTTGTAAGAAGCCTTTCGTTTCTCCAATCTTGGACGAGTGGAAACTATTGAATCAATTGAAACTTCTTCAACATCTAAAGCAGTCCTTCTTCAAAGAGTGCAAGAGTACAAAAGTGAGTGCTTTTATCTGATAGTTACACAATTTTTTAAAAATGTGTATTACATCAATAAAATTAATATCGACAGGGAAACTACCAGACGACATATCTCGTTTGCAATGTTTAAAAATCTCCACTCCCATGGTATTTTTGTATGGTAGAACAAACAAAAATCATTCCTCGAAGTTTTCTCAGCTTTTTCCTCACACGGCAGTTTTGATGAATTGATGTTGAGTAGTTTTCCATCTAAAAAATAAAAATTGACAAGAAGTCTACAATGTTGCAAAACGAGTTATGGGGTCTGGTAGTTTCACCATCTACATGTAACTCAGCTATCCTATATTGGATGTTCTCTTTATTTTCTCCCCTTTTTTCATGCTGATCTTCTGCTATTACTTAGCCCGTTACTTCAAATGTCCCGTTGTATTTTATTTGCTTGTCTGTTTGTTTGTTTTTTTTTTTTTCAGGAGACTATTCATAATTATTAATTATTTGTTGCTCTACATCATTTTGCAGAAAATTAATTAATATGTAAATAAAGGCTAATGATTTTCAATCATTGTTGCCAATGGGAATTTCAGCGAAGGTACATTTTACTTTTCTTCGGTGGATTATTTCCATCAAAAATTTGCAATCAATCAAACAGTGTGGTATCTGTTAGATGCCTTTTTTTATAATCCTCCTAAGCTCAATCTATTGTCATTCTTGCTTCCAGAAGAAGTAGTTTGGGTTGGTATAAGCAGGCGTCATTTTTATTGCCCACTGCATTCATATTTCTAACAATTTTGATTGTTAATTCAACATTGCTGATTATAAAATTACAAAAGATATTTCATAAAATTACTCATCTTCTTTTTTCTTCCCTTTTTTTCCACAGGTAGATGTATCTTCAGAGGAAAAAATGGTTGAAAATCGCGAGAGCACTCCTGTAATATCAGACGAGTTTTTCAACAAACATTTGGGAGTTTTTATCGCTACTTTAATTCAGCAGTACTATTCTGAAGCTCAAAGTGTATCTAAGAACCAACTGCCTACAGTGTATCTGTGTAAAATTTTCACAGTTTTCGATTCAAAACAAGTACTTGGATATCTGCTCAAGCGTAGCAGTCCTGAAAATGATCACGACTTTATCTTGCTTTGGGAAGGCTTTGTTAAACCGTGGTTGAAAAACGACCAAATTCCTTTGGATCTCATCCTACATTTCCTGTGTGTTTTGTTGAAGCATTTAGATGAAAATAGTAAATCCCAAATTTTAACTGAATTGATAGATGAGTTTGGACTTGCAAGATTCGTTCATATTCTTCACTGGTGCTTATGTATTGATGCTCAAACTAACTCAACGGACACTATTATTGCTTGGTCAAAACAGACAAGTTTCCAATCAGCACTGATTTCAATCAGTAGAGTCATAGATGAGGATTCAGATGAAGTTGAAAAAAATTGTTTAGTTTTGTCAAAATTTTTGTCCTATAAAGAGACGGAAGGCTGTGTATTTGTCAATATTGACACTTTTGTAAAGATTTTAATGAATTTGAATGACTTTCTTCAAAGATGTCTTGAAAGTTCTAAAATTTCATCGCGGAAAGTTGGTGCCTTGAAACAAGTTATTGAGTTGCTGGTTGCAGCATTTTCAAATAAAACCATGGCTTTTGATCTTAAAGTCATTGAAGTAGTACAAGAAATAACCCTAGCCTTATTTAAGTTGTGCTGTGTTCAAAGTACAAAACTAAAACAAATTTTCAGTTCTTTGAAGTTAGGCTGGCATCGTGGATTAGACCTAGTTTTTAAATTTTATCCTGATTCTAATACATCTGAAATTTTTGATCTGTCTAAAAAACATGCAGAATGCATTGTGAGTGCCTTAATGGCATCAGACCTTGACAATGTCGTGAATCTTACTCAGTTGACAGTTGATTTCATCATTGCAAATGTTGATTTTGTCAAATCTGATGAGACAGAAGCTGCTAGCATAACGTTTTGTGCCCATCTGTGCAATTTATTCTTGGAAACTGCAATTACATTCAGTAAACAGCATCTTGAAGAGAAAATAATTACCTTGAGCCTCTACGCTGAATTGGTCAATGGCAAAGACGATGTCAGTGTGAACTACAACAAACTAGACAAAATAATTCAACAAATTAACCTTGAATCTGGCGATGGCACTGCACACACGAGTAGCAGTGTACCTCTGTCAAAAAATCAATTCAATTTGATCAGTCATTACGAAGTGAAAAATTATGCCAGCATTAATATCTACATCGTCTCCCTGATTCTTCGTTTCTTGAATATTTCACCAGTGACAGATTTTACATTTAATGAAAATTCATCGGCTGAAGATCAAGACATCAGTGAATTTTCGGTACCGTCAAATCCATTCAAAATCGTTGGACCAGTCTCATATTGTCTCTCCAGTGCAGAAGTTTGTGAATCCTTCAAATTCAATTTCTCCAATACGGTGGCTAGTTACTCTTTACCGAAAAAAGTCCTCAAGTATTTATCACTCAACCTCGAAGCAATTATCTCGAAGCTTCCTAAAGATGCCAAGCAAGAATTACTTTCTGAAATCTTTTCAGCCAGAGACAGCAACAACTCTTTATTCTACAACTCTGCTTTAAGAATGGTAACAGTTGATAAAAAATTCAAAACGCCTGATTCTTCGATAGAAAGAAGTATGTTCCAAGTTTCTAGCACTACATCTATTGACGCTAGTACAGCAAGTGTTATTGAGGGACCTTTGGATGACGTGATCACTCAAGATGAATTAGTTTTAGCTAGAATGAAAGCACTGGTCAGTATCACACCCCAAGTTTCTGAAATCACGTCTGTAGATATTGATACACTACATGCCATACGAGGACTACTAGCTGAAGCAAAAACCAATGATGAAATAATTTTAACTCAGATGAAAGTTTTGATCGCTAACAAGAAACATATTACATTTTCTTATTCAGTCAATATGTTGGATCTGAAACCTGCTTGTATCATGTTATCCCTAAATGCTTGTAAATTTTTCCAGACAGTTTTGGAGCGTTTTAAATTTGATACAGGCCGTGAAGACACTACCCCTGATTTGCTCGAAAATGCAACTGCCTCCCTTTCAGAGGCAGAAACAGACTTCATACTTATCTCCTTAACTGCATGGATTCAAAGTTTATCAAAGACGGTTGAGTGTATATCCCTGGAACCATCGTACCACTCAAGTGTCCCAATTTTTATCAATGCAATCTGTAACCTTTTTAAAACCGTCTCATCTGGAATTGCAAAACTTCCCAGCGAAGATAGTTTTGCAGCCGAGTGGAAAGATCTTTTCATGTCAGATGTTCATATGTTATGTGCCAACGCGTGGAGAACTTTGGTTCTAAACTCGACCAACCTATCCAAAAGTGTGCAAACGTATCAAATTATGAAAAAATTATCAGATGTTGTGATAAATGTAGTTGATTTCTCTCTAATAGTCAAGGATAGTGAGGATCTAAAGAAATGGTCCAAGTTTGCACTGAACAACTTGGAAAATTCTAATATCTTTGTTCAACTGACTTCGTACTTTATTCTCATTAAATTGGTCCCGATGTATGTAGAATTTGACTCTAGGATTATGTCCGAGGAAGAAACTGATGAAGAAATTGAGAAAGACCCCCGAATTGTATTCAATTGGTTCAAGAAGTCTTTGGACCACACACAGTCAATTGTTTGCGCCCTGTTGTCAGATTTCAAACTGGGAGATACGTGTTTGGTAGCTCCACTCACTGATAGCTACTCATATACATTGGCATATCTCAGCTTATGGTCTGTTATATTCAAAATGGTTGCAAAGGCAGACTCACAGCTCCGTGCACGTTATACTTTGTGGATCAGGAACGAAAACCTGATTTCAAATCTTATCCTGAACCTCATGCGGCTTCTTCCCTCGTCTGTTGTTCTTTTAAAAATGCATGATACCAATTGGAAGCAGATTCTGGAATCTTTTACAGACAAGCAAACTTTAGTAACTGATGGTATGTTATGACTTTCATTCTTAAAAATATAAGAATTAACTTCTGCTGCCCTGACTAATAGTCTCAACCCTTTCGAGATATTATTACAGGTTAAGCCGTTCTTAATTGATATTTTCTTTCAGTAACAATTGCTTTATTTATCGATCTGCAAGCTGAAAGTCTGAATTTACATTCACAATCCCTGCAGTTCAGTTCAAATTATTCGTTTTATTTTTATTTTGCGTAACTTAATTTTGTCATTTTCCCAAATTGACAGTTAATCCCTGTTCAAATGTTTCAACAAATAATATTCATCCTGGTACAATGCTTGAATTTTTATTTTTCAGGTCCCAGCCAAACTTATCAAAAAAGTACTGTATGTTGCTTTGTGATATTCTAATCTTAGCATTTAAAAATTTTAGCCCTTTGTGAAGAAGTAAATGTAGCATTGAGTACTCCGCTTGCTGAAGTGACCAATTGGCTATCTTGGTGGAAAGGGAAAGGGAGAAGATTCCCGAATTCGACAACTGATACAAAATGAAGCAGGCTTTGGGAAACTTCTATCAATCCTTACCTTTTCCATCATGAAAGTACCCTCAGATTTACCCAAATAGTTTTGGAACGCTTTTCAAAAATTATGTTTCGATTTTTTTTTTTTTTTTTTTCTGATAGATTTTCAAACTATGCAACATTTTTAACATCACTTGGGATAAATTGCACAAACAGTTTCTCAAATCAACGTTTTTCAATCCCTCTCAGAGGCGTCATAAGGAGAGTAGGCTGTATTTTCTGCATAACTTAATGAATGGAAAAAAAAATTTCCAGGAGCTTTTCTTTATAGATTTATTCTCTTTTTTTTCTCTGATTTTTTCCCCCTGTCTTTATGAATTTCAGAGCAATGGGATAGCAAAAAACTTTCGAACTTAGTGTGTTGGACCTATTATAATGCTTTGCATAGATTACCAGCACTGATACGACAGTGGTGGACAGAAATTGAATACAAAGATGCGAGAGTTGTAGAAGACATCACGACGCGCTATGCTTCAGCAATGTTGTGTGAAGAGGAACTCAAATCAATCAAAGAGGCCAATAAAACACCAACTGAAAACTTCACGGTATTTCCTTATAATTTTAATTTTTGTATTGCATATAAATGAATATTAAAAATCTCTTGGGGAATTACATCTATTGTTTGTGCACTAGAAACGAAAATAACGCAATAGCCCAAAACGTGACAAAGATCTGAGAACACAATATAAGGGTAGTTAAGGCCAAGAATTAAATTATCCTTCATACATGTGTCTGTCTCCTGGTCTACTTAGGTTTGATATATATAGAGGCCGTTCATCTACAACGCTCTAGAAATAGAGAGCGAGGGTAATCGAGGAGAGAGTTACAACATTTTGTTTTAATGTGTTAAAGGATAGAGACTTGTGTCTGTGTCTCTAAAGCGTCACAAAGAGGGAGGGAAGTTGAAATATCCAAAATTTAGGGCCACGTATTTTATGACCAGTCCTTTATGCTGATGTGGGAGGTTAAGGCACTAACATCCAATGTCCACAGCCTCTCAACAAAAAGTGTCAACACCCATTTGGAAGGAATTTTATCAACAGATCTGGTAGACAATTTTTACCCGTTTTCTTAGGTGGTGCCAACATATGCTTAAAAATCAGGTTTTGTTTTCTTGATTTGTATAACTGAGGTGAAAAATCTGTGAGTTTTTGTCTTTGGAGTCAGTTAGGGAAACAATGCAGATACTCTCATCGACTGATTACTTTTTTGGTGATTTTATTTAGAAGGTTAAACATTTTGATTTCATAGGTTGAAGCCGTATTAACTGGACAGAAATTCTTGAGATCAAGTAAAATACAAGTTTCAGATTTTCAGCACAAAAAAATTAAGTTTATTTTCTCATGTTTCTCTACTACGAGGTCTGTTAGATTAGAAACCGGATTTTGGTCATAACTAGCCCACAATGCGTCCGAATTAGGTTTTCTTGAGCTTTCCTGATAGCTGGAAATATACATAAGAACGCTACGTTCGCAGATTTTGTTTATTTTGATCAGTGTTTATTCTGTGTCATCTTGAATACGAGTAAGTCAGGTGCGTTTTGCGATTTTCATCATGCGATCACTGATAGAGCAAAGATTCAACATTAAATTTTGTCTTTAACTCGGTATACCTTGTACCGAAACTTTTGGTATATGCTAAGTAAAGTTTACCATGATCATTGTATGAGATGTTCCCACTGTCTTGAATGGGTTAAACGATTCAAAACTGGTCAGGAGTTCGTCAAAGATGAGGAGCATGGGAATCGACCCTCAACGGCAACTGACATTTGTCACGGAGAAGAAGTGCGGGCAAAAGTGCTCGAAAATGGTCGTTTCGAGCTTGTTGAACAGAGTAATATTTCTGAAGGCTCTATACATACAATTTTGATAGAATATGTAGACACGCATCGAGTTCCAGGTACACTTGCCCCTTGATTGTTGTCCGTTGAACGAAAATCCAACCAAATGTCAATTTCCCTTTAGCTGCTTGAACGTTCTAACAATGATCCTATATTTTTGGATCGGATAATTTTCGGTGACAATACGTAGTGTACGGCTACGATGTGGAGACGAAACTCCAATCGTCGTCGAGGGTTGAAAAATGTAGTGCAAGACCGAAAAAAGAGAGACAAGTTCGGTCAAACATAAAAATCGCAAAACACCCTTGAGGTTGCCTTACTTCAAGCCACATACCAACAAAGCTAATAAGGATTTTTCAAATTTGTGAACGTAGCGTTCTTAAATATATTTTCAGCTATCAGAAAAGCTCAAGAAAACGTAATTTGGACGCATTGTGGGCTAGTTATGTCCAAAATCCGGTTTCTAATCTAACAGACCTCGTATTCTTTGTGTCCCTTCACTCAGATTAAAGTACGTGAAAGTGTGCGTGAAGTCATTGCAACCTACACTCTGGAAGAAATCGCAATGGAAGTCTCAATAACATTGGCCCAAAATCACCCTCTTGGTATGGTTAGAGTTGAGAGCACGAAAGCTGCAATGTCATCACAACATTGGCATAACTGGCTCAAACAGCTCACCATTTTCTTGACCCATCAGGTAAATTGATTCATTTTGTATTATGTCTTTAAAACCAAATTACAAATGTTTTAAGTTCTTATCATGAGGTCATTGCAGATTTAAGGTGCAGTTGAAACTTTAGCTTTGTAATACTTCTATGCACAGTAAGTTTTGGCGAAATACTAATGAAATCGGCTTCTCTGTTGAATTTTAACCAAAAAAATTGAGATTATTATTTGCTATCAGCTTATGTAAATCTCTTTCAACTTCTGTCAAATTTTTTGTCTTTTTCATAATGAAGGTTGATGGATTGCTCTTTTTTAGCTTTATCTATATTTTTCATGGTAATCTAAACAATTTTTATTTGTTGGTGAAAAACAACTCCAGCTTTTGGAAAGAGAATCTCATCATTAGCTCTGTGTATATTTTTGGAGAAATGGTTTTACCGTAATTAAGTTCATATTAAGATGAGAAAATGCATTTTTCATCCCTCCCGCTCCCCTCTTTTAAAATACTGCAAAATTTTAAGTCTAAATATCCTAATTAATCTTCAAATTATCGAAGATTTATTTAATTATTTAATTTAATATTTATTTAATTATTTACGATGGTCCTTCTCTTTAGAGGAAAATTTTTCCAGGCTGTAAGAAAGATACTAATTTTCAAATCCTCTTTTCCAGAATGGCTCCATTTGGGATGGACTTATGTCATGGAAAAGCAACATTGATAAGAGGTTTGAAGGCGTCGAAGAGTGCTACATCTGTTTCTCGATTCTGCATGTCACCAGTTATGAGCTTCCACGGAAAAATTGCCGTACTTGTCATAAAAAGTTCCACTTGCAATGTCTGGTAAGTTCTAATAATGAAAAAATACTATCAGCAAAAATCTGTTCAGGCAGTTTGTAGATAGAAAGAAGAATAAATTGAGGAGCGCTTTGGTAACAGGGCCAACCAAAATTCCAAGGAAGCCAAAAAACCTCAGACTGGAGCGTCATAGATGACGTTTGCTCCGCTATTTGGATGGAGAATTTTTCACTGGTATCTAAATATCTAAATTTGGAAATCACTTTTTACCAATGAAAATATGTTTTAAGTACATACCAACAAGTAAGATTGAGCAGTACATTTAAAGGGAGCAAGAAAATATAAGCTCTGATAATTACCGTAAATATATAATCGAAAGATAAATCAAAAATTTCAGCCGTAATAAACTGCTTTTGTTCTCTAATTCCAAGTCTAACTCTTTTTTCAGCCCTAATTCTAATGTATTCTTGGTTTCTTTTTTTTTCAGTACAAATGGTTTATGACAAGCAACAAATCAACATGTCCCATTTGCAGAAATCTATTCTAAGGTTTTTACTTGTGTTTTTGAAAAGTAGTTTTACTTGGAAAAAGTCTGGTCTTGTATAAATTTGTAAACAGATAGATGAATTGTAAATAGAAGTATAAATGATAAATATACGTATTTTAGTTTCCATATTCATGGTGTCTTTTCTCATTAATCTTATTACTGAGTTTCTCATTTTGCATATTCAGGAGCTACTTTAATTTATGCCTGATAAGTTTTTGTATGTGTTGCTACCGTACCCACTTTCGGGAATCAACATACCACAATGGACAACAACGAGGGCATTACTACAGTAAGCAGAAATAAACCAAGTGATGTCAGCCATTGCTTGATTCCATCATTAATGTATTTTTTATATAGGAGAACAGTTGTACAGATTCTTTTTATAATTTCAGAGAAGGACATTCCCTGAAATTTTTAAAAGAATCCATATTATTGTTTTCCTGTAAAACAACAAATTTGATCAAATTTGACAATGGCTGATACTAATTTTTTTTTCTACATGTTGCAATCCAATTAAAGCATCACAAGACCTGTTCTCTGATCAAAACTGCGTGTAAAATGCATCAAATGTGTCGAGTATTTCTAGAATCAAAGCATAATTGGACACATTCATGCTCAAAGGAAGTATGTGCAAATAAATAGAAAAAAAAAAAAAAAAAAAAAACTACCTATGCAGAATTTAAACAATATGAACGTACTTCCATTTGATTCAATTAATTTTCACACAATTTTCTCCAGCACAAATATTCAGTTTAAATATTTATCTCGAAATTAGTATATTTAAATTTCTACTCCCCCCCCCCCCCGAAAAAAAAGAAAAAAAGAAAAGAAAATCACATAAGTTGGTCAAACTTATCATTGAAAACTTTGTTTTGCAAATAACTGGAGTCAAGTTTGGGTTTCGGAGGAGACTTCTCCTCATTTGATACACAGCAGCTACCACTTAAGTATGCGCAAACTTTCAAGAGCAATTTAGCAATTAATTCAGTGCCCTATAATCTGACATCAGTACCCAAGTGGATTTTTTTTTTTTTTTTTTTTTTTTTTTTTTTTTTTTTTTTTTTGGCGAGCAAGAAGTTCTGTCCGTGTATACAATGCAACCTGTCCACACAGGGAAACTAATGGTAGATAAGTTAATCCTACCCAGCACTGTCAGCAGTGGGACCCTTCTACAAAATGGACTGATAATGAGTTTAATAGAAATTCATCGGGTCGCATTTTGGAGAAAAATTGGTGCGGGAGCAGTTTTGACTTCGACCAATTGTAAATTTTCAGCTGTTAAAAATTCAAAGTTGACGAAAAATGTATCCTAGGTTTATTCTCATTTGCTCGACAGTATTTCTGAATTAAAAGTTTCTGCAAGAGAAGAAAGGCTGAATTCACATGCATTATTTGAAATAGCAAAATTTTGGCGGGTATCGTTTGCTTACAGTGATGCTTTCAAGTAATTCTTTTCAAATGTCCTACGACCTCGGTATTTCAAATTTTTCCTCAAGCTATTAGGGGCAATCCAGAACACTCCCGATAATTTGTTTTCACCTCTGCTTTAAATAAAAAATTTTAATTAAATTTAATAATCGCTTTGAAACCATGATTAACGATTTCGTTAAAGTTGAAATGTTCCAAACGTACCTAGGGAATGAAGGATCTTATGTAATATCAACTCTGATTTCTAATCACAAACATGACGTCATTATTATCATATTCGAAAGTTCTGTCGTAAACACAAAAAAACTGCAATAAGCAAGTTCACGAATCAGTTTTTCGTTTCATTGTGTTTTCAAGTATTTATCTGACAAGTTAGGATTTTGTCTAACTGTAATCAGTAAGTTCGATTACAATTCGTGTATTATTTTTGAACCATCTAGTGCGGATAAAATTATTCCTGTGGAATTTCCAAAATTGCTTTTCATGGTGTCGTCAGTTTTAGCATTTGCTTTGTTCAGGTACTTACCAATATCATCTATTTTTTGTGTTCAGACTTTATCTTCGAGAGTGATAATCGAATCAACAGCAGCACATTCATAGTTAATTATGTTCAAGGATCACTGTTTAATGTTCATGTTCAAAGAAACCTTAGTAAATCTTAATACCTCTTGATTTCTAGACTCAGTCAATCTTGGCAGAGATAGCCCAATAGCGTGACACATGAGAACATGCTACAACTGCTAAAACAAAATTCTCCTCAAAGATGCTCCGTACTAATTTCAATTAGTGTCATTTAATGTAGCTTCTTGTGCCATATTAACCTGAACATAGTGTAGCCCAATTCGAGCATCAGTTGTTGCTGTTCTTTCAAGGAGCAGTCAACGAAAAGTTCTTGCATCCATCATTCATCTAGACACTCTAAATTCGAAAACACTACTCTCATGAATAACGCTTTTGATGCTTATGATCTTGATGAGCATAGATTAATTTCTGATGTTTTACCACAAGACGAATTTTCTCTAAAACCTCACTGTAGTGAGTTACCTACCTGCTAGTTGACTCCGAAGAACTTTTTATTCTCTAAGGAACCAAGAGTAAAAAGCACACTGAATGATCATTGCAGTATATTTTGATTGGCTTGCACAAGTTTCCTAAAGATGCTGTCGGAATTTACTCCAAGCACAGTACGTTTTGGCATTGTAGAGGTCTTAAATGAAACCATTTCATGAATATGGAAAGACATTGAAATTCCAACGCCATGAGCCTTCACAAAGTATGTGTCTTTTTGTACCTACCCTCTTCATAACTTACGTCCCTCCAATTTTATTCTGTAGCATTAAAGGATCAGGGTAACCTCATTGACTTGTTGACAACTTCAACAGAATGAAATCAAAGAGAATGATGTCAATCTGATTTCAGTATGGTAAGTATTAGTCTGATGTCATTCCAGCCAGTAGCAAGTCAAGGAGCTCTTTGGATACTAGCCTAATGTTTTCAATCTTACTTACTGGTCTGTCAACTTTTACTGCAAAGAGATGAATTTTCAATTCTATAAAGGAAGTTCCTCAAAACCATCCAACCTGTCTGATGCTCCTAAAATATGTAAAATGAATGATTGCCTTTAACTATTATAAGTTAATATTAGGGCTCACATCAATATGCCAGGAGGGAAAATAAGATCTTGTGTGACAGCATCCTTGATTTCTAATCACGAACATGACGTTGAATGTAGGTAGGACAAGGAAATAACAAGATCAATCTACGCAGTCAGTCATTGCGTATCTTTCTCAGATCTACTCCCCTGCCTGGTCGTAACTTGGCCACACTCAATGCTACGTCATATTGGCTGCTCCCTAAAAAATACATTGCAGGCACTCAGTACTACATCACTGCGCAGTAGAGTTCCAAAGCTCGTCCTCGGGAATGATTGACCTGTGTAGATTGGTCTTGAGAAAATAAGTACATATGGTAAGGAAACATTGCCACAGTGATCAAACTATTATTCACGCATTTTTTTATTTTTAGCTACAGGCAACAAAACGGTGGATGGAATGCAGCCTAGGGATGGCAAAGTGCCCTTTTTTGTCTTTCCAAGTTCCCTGACATTTTACCTGGAGGATCGTACCTCACACAAGCAAATCCTGACACTGTACAATCCCTATGAGTTTCCTATCAGATTTAAAGGTAGGTTTTCATCAAATTACTCCTGAACTTATCAAAACTTTTTGTCCTCTTTGGGCCCGAAGAAAGTTTTTATTCACAACTTTCTGAATTTTTTCTCTAGGTTTTTGCATATAATATAAATAAAATACTTGAGTATATTAGCTTAAGCACATATCGACGGTGAAACTACCAGACCACGTATCTCGTTTGCGGTGTTTAAAAATCTCCACTCACATTTTATTTTTTTGAAGGAGATCAAATCAATATCATTCCTTACAATTTTCACAGATTTTTCTCCGCACAAAGAGGAAAAATCACGGAAGTTTTCACGAATTGACGTTGAGTAGTTTTCTATTTAAAAAATAAAGTATGATAGGAAGTCTGCGACGTCGCAAACCGAGATACGTGGTTTGGTAGTTTCACCGTCGATATTCTCTCTTTATGTAGGGATCAACCAATAAGACAGAGTGGATAATAGAAGTGTCACAACCCATGTACATTGTAGGAAATCATCAAATAAAATATAAATGAAGGTTCCTAAAATATAACAATAAAATAAATTTAACTTTCTACAAAGTTTGATTTGATTTGGTTGTTGGAATCAAATAAGTTAATAGCCACCAATAACAATTCATCATGACCATTATGTGGATGAATGTTGTCATATTTTAATTTTGAATGACATCATCATTAGATTCCCATCAATTTTCAGCTAAGTTGGTACTCTTCTGTTGAAAATAAATTCTATTTTAACTTTAAGTGCAAATTTTCATCTGAATGCCGAAAATTATTTTATGAAGTATAACCAGGAATCCTATCATAGAGAATCAAAATTTCTGTGCCAAAGGGAATGAGCAAAAGTATTTACAGGAGCCGAATCCAGGTCCAATTACCAGTAAGATCTTTAATTTTCTTCAGTAATCAGTCAAGGTTAATCAGGGAACATTTGTCCCTTTCCTCGCTCTTGCCTCAAATCAATTGGAGGCAGTTAACATGAACCTCTTTTTTGCAGCTTGTGCTTTACTCCTCATGAAGTTCACTCAGCATTTTCATTTTGTCAAATTAAATCCTACTGAATGAAAAACAAAACGCCTGTCTTTTTCAGTACTATGCACAAGATCCAAAAACTACTCGGTCGTCGACTCAGAAGGCTTGATCAAATCGCTCAACCGAATAGACATAGTTGTTCGACACAATGCTCCAACCATTGCCAATTGTGGAGTCATCGACAAATTTCGTATTCAGATGATAGATGCCACTACTCGTCAGGTAAAAAAATCAGTCAATTTGCTCAGTGTTTTGCAGTCTGACTCTGCTGTTAAATTCTATTTTAATGAACTCACATCTTAATGACAGCTTCTGTCATGAAAATTACAAATATTCATTTGTATTTGCTAACTTTTAAATGCAATGATTTGCCACAATTTATCAAGAGCAAATCACCACAAAAATTAAAATTTGTTCATGTTTAGCCAGCATGAAAGGTAATCAACAATCTACCTCTTTTCCATAAGTATCATGACAATCATAGATATAATCTATCCAATTTTGGTGATGATTCTTACATCTTAACTATCTTAATTGTTTTTCAGTGGGTATTATCTCATAGAGTACCTAATTATTTTCTTTTATATTTGTATTATGAAAACGCTATGCAACTGTATATCTCAGTGCAATAACTGTAGAATCGGTCCTCTTTTACTAGGTATTATTTGATTAAAAAAAATTTGACGACACATGCACAAGTCAAATTCAATCAATAGCTGATGTGTCGAAAAAACACTTTTGGTTTTTCAGTTGAATGATAGATCTAACTCTGATGGATTTTTACCCTATAATGTTAAAATTGACTTCAAAGAAGCTTTCAAAGACTCAAAAGCAGTTCATAGATTTTTCCAAATTTATGAAAGTGTCAAAAGTGAGGAACATGCAGAATTTATTTTCGTATTATTGCTTTTAAAAGCAACAAAGATGAAATAATGGAATTGAATTAAGTTCTCGAAATTTTGACTTCTAATTTTACATGTAAGGCAATCATGGAAAATTATAGAATTTTCAGAGAATTTTTTTCATGTGTTCTGATAAGAACCATGTTAACTATGTTGTCTCTTTCTTAATTTTTCTCCATTTTTTTTCCAGGTGATCGGTAAAAAAGATGTGATTGCAACATTGATTTCTGAAAAACAAAGTAACCAAATCAATAATGGAGAGATTTTCAAAAATATCCCTCTACACAATGTATCTCACAGGGACTCTTTCAGCTATCGAAGTATGCCAGGTAATTAGAATATGTGCACTTTTTAATAGTGGCAGGAAAGGAAAATTCAGTGGCAAGAGAGACCTGTTGTTTCTTTGAGTGATTGTAATTTTTATTGTTTCTTTCAAGGAAGATGAAAAATTCTTGAAATACTCCAAAAGCTTTCCCATTTCAAACACAGTTTGAACAAAAAAAGGATCAATTTTGTCGCCTTATGCCTCGCAAGGACAAATGTTACATCTAAAAAAAATGCGATAACAGGATAAAATTTAATTGTTAGGCAGATGTATTGCCTAACAAGATCTTACTTAATAGTTGATCTTTTCAAGCACTCATCGTAGCTTAAATTTTCGGACGTAGATTTTAAATAAAAATATAAAAGTCAACCAAACCAAAATGTAGTGTAATGTTGATTGAAACTGTAACTTCCTCAGTACCTAAAAAAAACCGGTCAACACAGCCAAATCAAAATTTTTGCTCTGAACTGTGCTCTTGAAATGAAATGATGCACATATTTTGCTCCAAGAATCCTAGTGGTTGTCGGTTTGAACTGTCAGGTTCTTTGTGTAAAACATTTAATTTTTTGAGATTTTCTTATTTTAATTTTTTTCCTTTTAGCCTTTCAAATCTCAGCATCAAATACTTTTACACATTACGTGTCCATGACCCATTGATTCATTATAGTTTTTTCTATTGTTTCCAGAACAGTCTCAGGCCTTACAATACTCCTCTTCAACGCCTAACATTGAAGTTATACTTATCGCCATTGCTTGCATCATCATATTACTTCTCCCTACCGAAGGACTTAGCTTCTTCCCCCAACTTCAGATCTCTGTTAATTTTAAATTAATTTGTTCTTATGTTCTCGGTAAGTGTCATTGAGATACACTCCATTTAGCTTTTTTTGCTTTCTAATCGATTGTCCTCTGCTTTCTAAGGTCTTCTGGGTAATAACGTTTCATCCAAAGTCGTATAAAGGTTGTAAAGTAATTATGCTGTTGTTGAAATAACTCCGTGCAAGAACCAAAATTGACGATTTCGGAGATGACTTTTTGCAAGAAACGGTCTTCTAATTCCAACACTCGGGCTGCAATTTTTTAAAGTATATTTACTTGTTTCAGGGCTTTTGCCACATCCTGCAAAATAAATTTCTGCTTTTTCTTCTTTCATATTGATCAGCAGTAAGCAATAAATTTAACAATTTGAATAATATACAAGAGTGGCGGACTTAGACTGTGGCTGAGGATGATGTTATGCTCACAGTACAAACAAAACCCTCTCTCTGCACATTTTATATTCCTACATATCTAGAAAATTACATAACTGTTATGAGCCCTAGACTCAAATCCTCTCTGACAGGCGTCTAAAAAATAAATCCAGCCGCATGCCTCACAGAGGATGTTCATGAGCAACGAACAAAATGAAATTTCCCGCAACTTTTGCACATCATTATTTTTTCCCTCTTAAATATTGCAGTACTCTATATCTCTAAAACAAATTGGCAAGAGACAGAACCATTTTTCGTCTCAGAAAACTTTTCATTGAGAGAACTTTGTTTCATGACAAGTGGCGCTCAATGAACAAAGTAAGACCCAGTATAGTAATTTCCGTCATAACGGGTGTCGTTTTGGAGATGGGATATTGCAAAGGAAATTCCAATTATTATGTAGGTTAACAGTACATTGCATACTGGCGTCAACAGCTAACACAGATCAACAATGGGTCTGTTGCATGTAAAAGGTGCAGTCAAGTGAATAGATTTGCTACATGTAAGATCTGAGGAAAATCACGATGGGTACATCAGAAAAGTTTGAAATCCCCTCCTCAGCACACAATTCACGTAATTTGTAACACTTTTTTTAAATTTTCCACATCCATAGGCAGTTTTTCTTAATGGCTGACAATCTGACTTGCCCAAAGACAGACGCAAGATAATTAAATCTATATTAACAAACAATTTTGTAAAATGTCACAACTCTTCTTTTGCATGATTTCACTCGATTAAAGCTTTAGTTTTTGTGAAACCGAGAATGAGAAGAGAACGAACGATTGAAATTATAAACAAGAAGAAGTTTGCAAGATTCTTTGTTCATCTAGCTAGGTTTTCTAATGTCTCTCTCTGAGTTTGCCAGCATCTATGATAAACTGCCCACGGAGGAGGACAATTTTGAGAAGCATGTTACAAAGCACGCAAATTGCACGCTTCAAAGTGAGTTTCGGACTATTTTGAAGTTCCTATTGAGTTTTTCAAGTGATTTATCTGGACACAGGTCTTTTCACTCAACTGTATCCTTGGCAAGCATCCTATACATTATCGTGAAATTTTAGGACTTGCCCAATTTATATGATGCAAAGTACAGGTCGCTAGCCTAGAATGAAAAGTACTTGATTTTGATATTCACCTCATTCTTTTTCATTTTCCAATATCCTGTGCTCTATTGGCAATTGTGACATCTCATTATTATCTCTCATTTTTATCTTTTAGGGTTGTTGACAATGGTTGTGCTTAGACCTCACTGAACCTCTTCAGGGCGGTGACAGTTAATGCTTTGTCGGAAAAGAACTTGGTGCTGACAAATCATAGAGGGTTCTCAACCTGGAGGTGCAAATATAAACATTACCATTGATTTAATCCATCTTCCCAGCAATCCCATCCTTCGAAATAGTGTGTAATTCAAGGCCTGTGTAAAGCTGGTCGTCTTCTATGTACTCAATAGAAAACGAAAGTCAATTCATCGATAGTTTAGTTTTGAAGCCTCTCAATGTGAGGTGATTTGTACATTTTTGGATATTGATCCTCTCATTGCCACTTGCCAAACACAAACTTCAGCCTTGTTAGAGGTATCAATCTGTTGACATCTGGGAAAGTAGATTCCCTTGAATTTGTTTTTATGATTCTAGTAATTAGACGATAGGAAAAAAGGGAAAACGTAAGATGAAAGATCGCTGTATAAACCTTTTTAAGCGTGACCATTGTCTCACATCGATTTTTCAGGCTCAATTTTCTCACTCTTTTTTCAGAGTGGTTGTTATTTTCTTCTTCTTATTATTTTATTTTCTTCTTTCTCTCTTTAAAATGAAAAGATAAATGCTTCTGAAGGATTCTTGCTCCTACTTATATTTTTTATCCATTTCATCCCTTCATTTTTATCGATAAAAGCTAATCTTGTTTGTGACGTACAAACTGACTCTGCAGTTGATGAAAGGACTGGTTATCTTTCATGAAAAATGTAGATTATTACATTTTGCCTCTTGGATGGGAAACATGGACTACTTCTGTTTTTAACTTTTTTTTGTAACGAGACATCCCTCATCCCTCCTATTCCACTTCCAGTTCTGCTCATAAGTTCACTTTTCTTCCTTACTGTTGCCTCAAAGAAATGTTTCTCAAATAAAATTTGTACGATTCACAGTTTTCCCTGGTCTTAAAAATACATGTTGTAACGCAAAGTCCCTCTCTTCGCCTTCGTTCCTTACAACAGAGTAATATTTAATTTGGCAGTACATGATAGTGGAGTTGAGAACAATAGGCCATTAGATAAGTTATAATCTAAGCATCTTGTACTTGTCTCCTCTTTAAACTTCAATGTAGAAAGCAAGTAATGCGACGAAATTAAATTATCTCTGAAACAAAGTATCAACACATATACTCAACATTAATCAAATAGAACACTAATGGGTCAGTTGCGCCAGCCGCAGAATTAAAATAACAATGAGATCAGGCTCAACATCTAGTCTCCGAGTCAAATATTAATGGAAATATTGTTCTTTGAAAACACTGTGTGCTACGTCATCTGCTGCACTAGAATATTTACCATGGTTTCTTCCACCTTGAATTCATCAATTAAGGATTCTCAAATTTACATTGGTTGTTGGAATGAAAACAGGGATGCAATCAAGGTGGAAGCAACCATGGTACGTACCATGGATGGCACCATACATCAAGTTTTTTAAACCAAGCGACTCATCATACAAATGACATCATTTGTATTTTTAACATTTAACTAATGTACATAATTTTTAAATCCTTTTATCTTCTCAAGGAATGAAGAGCTGCGGTGTGGAAGTAGACTGTTTGAATTACCCGATTCAAAACGGTCGGCGTTGTTGGACTCCGTCAAAATTACCCGATGGCTTGTTCGATTACATATGAAAGCCTATCGTTTCTACCAAACGCTCAACAATCTCAGGAGGTCAATGGGACTGTTGGGTTGCGTTTGGAAACGGAAGAACCAAACCGAATCGGACAAGTTTACTTCGACATAGCACCCGATTTTCAAACTTGCCATGTGAATCATATTTTGCCAAAAATGTTTAAGAGGAAACATGACAAAGGGTCTTAGTTCATAGCTTGTCCAGTGCTTCATTTTCAATTGTTCTGGTATTTTTTTACCCGTGATTACTTCAATTCTCAAAACTGAAGTTGAATTTTTCAATATTCTCATTTGTAATGTAAGTTTAATCTGTTGCTCTGTGGGATGTTCTCTTTTTGTATGCTCCCTTATAAAACTGAACTTACTAACTTGTGACTATTTTTTTTTAGTTCTATGTATACACATACATACCTACATTGTTCTTTTTTATTTTTTTACTACAGAGTTTTTCATTTTTTGTTCTTTTTTTACAGCAAAAATGTAAATCGGAGTACTTCTATGTGGTTTTAATTTTTTGTTTTTATTTTTATTCAGTTTTTGATGGCTGTAAATATTTGTTTGTTCTTAGTAGATTGTTTATGATGCCCTAAGGTCTTGATGAGTTTTCTTCTTTCTGTTTTTTGACTACTTTGTTGTCGGAACAGATTATCATTACTCTACCGCATTCAAACAGGATCAAAGAGAAATAAAAGGCTACCAAGTGTTAATGAAAATCACTTTATTTGCATAAAATTCTGTCTTTAATTTTTGTTGCAATTCGTTCCTGCAAATTACAAATTTGCTTTATTTTATCAAAATTAAAAATATGCATTTCTCGATCATATTACTTGCACCTTTTAAAATATTTGCTTGTGCAAATATCATTTAAATTATACAGTAACAAGAAAATTAAAGACCTATGGTACAATCAGTGATAGGGCTGTTCTCTCTATATGTATATAACAGCTTTAAAAATGAGCAGTAGAGGTTTGGCAGGTCAATTATCAACCGACAATCAATGTATGCAAAATAACAAGACAAAATGCTCTGAATCAATATTTAAAACGGATCTGACATCACTTTCAACTTTCTTCCAGAAAAAAAGTAATAGCACATAAAACTAGGTTCAATGCCTGCAATGAAAGTTGAAGACTCGAAGAAATTATTCTACGCCCACAAAGCAGGAGGGGTGGCTAGCAGCAATTGAAATGAGATGGCTTTTGTGGTGTTTGATGATCAGAAATTCTGAGTGAGCTTAGATAGTACGCTGTTTGCCAATTAAAGAATCTTCGTTAATTTAAGTGGACAGACTTTAAGAGAAAAATTTCGTGAATTTGCCAAGCTTTTTCTGACCAAAATGTTGAAAAAGCCTCCAACTTATGTAATGAATGAATCATTTATCATCGTGGTGACATGCCTAAAACAAAGGGTGTGTCTACTGTGTGATTTACAAAGGTCACCTTAATTCTCAATTCTCTTTTTTGAAGCAATCATTTTTCAAACAATTATTTTTGACACTTGCAAAAATTCTGAATACAGAGAAAAGTAAAAAATGAAGAAATTCATATTTTTTTCATGAAGTTCCTTGACATTTTAGGGAAGATTTATCAATTATTTCAGTTTTTTAAACCAGATTTTGCTATCTACTATACTATAGTCTTCAGAAAATTAAAGTAACTTTGAAAACTGACAGTTAACAAACTCTTCTTAGTGGCTAAACTTTCTGCAACTCTGCTTAAACTGGTGTAGTTGAAGGCAATACTGAAATAAAATTTCAGCAAAATCATTTAAATTCACTCAATAAGCTAAAACACTTCCCCCGAAACTGACTTCACCCAGTTTATTTGAATTATTTTTATCTGATAAAAGAGTTGAAAATCAATTCATGTCCTTATAGTTATGAAAATTTGATATTGAGTCATGGCCAAAATTAGCTACTTTATTGATGCAATCTGATGACAATGGGTAACATGATGAAAGAGTACCTGGCACCTTGCAGTTTTTAAAATCAGTGAGAGCAAAAAGTCTAAAATCATCAGAACCGAAAGCAACAAACTAAATAATGAACCGAATAATTTGGGTATAACTGCCTGAGGAAACAGTTCGACAACAATGAACAAACAGCCAGTTCTAACTACAGTGTGTTAACATTCCTTTGGAAATGAATCAATTTCATGCTACCCCAATATCAACTAATCAATCCTTTAAAAATATACTGATAAAAAGTAAATACATTCATCATTGGTAAAAACAGTTATCACAAATTTCCTTTTTTAAAACAAAAAGCTCTGTTAAAAAAACCTTGGATGGCAAAAAAATCAAAATCAAATGACCAAAAAATAAATTTGATTAAAAAATTAATGTAAAACATGGAGGTTAAGTCACTGATTGATTTTCTTCGTTACACACTGCCTCAAATGAACTCAAAGAGAAGAGTGTCATTTTATTCTTGATACTGGTAGGATGTCAGCATTCCGGAAACTGAAATTATCTCTGAAACAGAACAGAGGGAAACAGAAATTTATGGATGTTTTCGAGGTTGATTTTATTATATTGCACACCCTTTTTAGGTGATTCTTGTAGACCTACATTTTTAGAAAATTATTACATTTTACCATTTATTGATACCTACTGTTTATAGACTAATGAAACGAACATGAATGAACATCTAAGTACCAAAAAAATTTGCTGCTTTCCTTTCTTCTCTTGTGATTTGTTACAACAGATGAGACACAATGTACAATACTTGATATTAATACTGTGTTACACTAATACAGTCAGCAAGAGGAACATTGAAGATGAGGTGAAATTTTTACCTCATAATGATAAAATTGACTTTAAAGGAGCTTGAAAATGCTGGAAAGCAGTTCATAGAATTTTCTCAATTCATAATTTTAAGACCAGAAAATAAATTAGACAACTTGTCACAAAACCACATTTATTTAAACTGCTTTAAAAATAAAATACTCTGAAATGAGGAAATGAAGACTAAAATGGAATTTAAAACAAAAAGTTTTTTTTTTCCTTAAAACAGACTCAAAAAGAGATAATTAAGGAAAAGAAGGGAGGGAGAAAATACCTCAGTATTATTCCTGTCCAAATTTTGAATTAGCTCGTAATCTCGCATATAATATAACAGCTAGAAATTACTATGATGAAAAGCCCTTTTCATTTTGCCTAAATCTAATGAATTATTGATAAGACTTAGCAAATAAGGTGAGAAGAAGAGCACAATCATGCAAAAGCTTTACACATATGTATTCAAAATCACTTAGATTGATAGATAATAATGCAAATAATTGAGTTAGAGAAGCTGGAGTAAAAGCGGAGAAAAGAAGTGGTGTCGGAATGAATTTGGTGTGAATAACTGAGTGCTTGTTTAAAATGCTCCTTAGACCAATTCCCCTTTTTTTCTAACCGCAGATTAGTGGGTAAATTATTCATGTTGTTTCTTCCCCTCCCTCCCTTTTTACCACATTTTTTAATTTTGATTGTGATCTGAGTCCACATAATAGAACCACTAGATAAGATGCGAAATCAAGCATTCTGATTCATGATCCCATATCAAAATTTTATGCAGAACACGATTCACGTGACAAAAAAAACTGAAATGTAATCCTAACGAAAATACTTGACAGTTTTTGAAGAATAAATTCAAACCTCCAGCTCAGGAAAAAACAAAAGTCTGCGGGAGTCGAATCGAGCACTAAACGTTACTGAAACAATCTCTGCAGTATAAAAATATGGCAGCCTCAACCTCAGCGCTTTAGCTCAGCTGTTGCACGATTTTAAAACTCTGGACAACACAAGGCGGGAAGGAACACTGATTGATTACGAAGCCTGCCAAGACCATTGTAGCGCACAATTTTATTCGAGTAGACTTTTTTTTTTCTTCCTAGTGGGGAATTGAAAATTCCTGTAACGAATGTAAACTAAAGGTGTTAATATCTCATTTTCAGTTAGGAGTTGATTTCAGTGATTTTCATTGCGCAAATCTGATTTTATGTGAAATCTTAGTTGGGAAACATGTATCAGGATGCTTCAATTCGTACCTTGTCTAATGGTCCATTCAGTCAAATTTCATGATTCAAGTCTACTATATTCAGTTAAATTTCGATCATATTTTGCAAAATACAGGATCAAGAAATTATGTCTTTGCAATCTCAAAAATATCTAGGAAGAATGCAAATAAAAGAGGTTACAAGCAAAGCACTCACTCCCTTGGTTGCAACTGTCTTAATGAATATGGAACTGATGTGAGATCCTGAATCTGATCCTGATTTTAAAAAAAAACTTGTAGATTGAACCGGTTCTATGATGACAGAAAGCGGAGTAGAAACATAGAGGAGAGAAGTTCGAGGGGAAGGAAGTAAAGTAAGATGTAACGAATCAATGAAAAATATGCCTCTACAAAAGCAATAAAAAAACAGTACTTGTTTGATATTATGTTCTGATTCTGTCTGTCCGATTGTTCCGCTCCTCTACAAATATGGCTACGGGTCCATGAGCGATCGTGGCGGTCCGTCTACTGATATTGAGCCTCTAGATGAAATCCGGTTATTGGGTGGAACGAACATGATTCTCGATGGTAAACGAGGATTCATTGTTTTCAAACTTTCGAGTGGTTTACGCGTTGAATTTTGAGTTGTGTGTTTTAATCTTCAAAAGTCAAAACAATTGAGTCAGATTAATTGCAAAAAAAAAAAAAAAACCTGCAAGTGATGATAGCTGAGTGAAATGAATAAAAATGCAATGGTGCCCAAACAGAAAACTTCCCTGAAAAGTAAGTTCTACTACGATTTTTAAATATATACTTATCCTTCAAAAATTTCTTGGATCCCAAAATTTACCATTACATGAAAAGTGGGGATGAAGGAAGATGTTAAAGGAAAATTAAACTATCCAAAAAATTGAACATATAAAAATTTAAACAAATACGTTTCAATTTTGAAAAAAGGAAAGGAGCCAAGAAATTGTTGAGGGCACTGTGACTCATGCTGAAAATATCTTTCATTTGAGAAGGAGTAGCTGATGTCGATGCCTTGAGAACTTAGGAAAAATGATGAATCACATATGTAGAAGCAAAAATAAAACTGGCTGAGGAGCAAAAATCAAAAATATCTGAGTCTTCTCAGCATTCTTTGATTTGACATTGAAGCTGCCATGTTATCAAAATCGAGGGTGCCAAAATTATTTAACCGACAGCCATTAACCTGCCATTTTCCCCCCAAATAAATTATTCTAAATGGGAGCTATCACCTTTTACCTAAATGTTTTTGTTACTTTTATTTTTTGTTGGACCTGTTGCCCTACTTACTGTAGGTCATTGAGTGGCGTAACCGTTCTCAGAATCATTTAATTTCTTTGATTTATGCCTTGATTCAATAGAAATGTGGCTTGAAACCCATTTTGAATACTCTTGAAAAATTAGATCTGAGAGAAAAATACGATTTTCCGAGGAGTAAACATGTCATCATATTTTGAATTCAAAGTACCTAAAATTAGGAATGGAGATATTGGTAGCCCTCTTACACTTATTTCTGAGCCCGGTCTCTCTTCGTAGAGGAGAGGTATGTTCAGAACTGTTCGATTAAGCTTCTTATTTTTTTTAGCTTTTCAATGATACTTTGACCTATTCTCAGTGGTCATCAGAAATGACAACTGTGGGTAGTAAAGACTACTATGACCGACGCTGCTGAGCATCTTGAGTAGAGTACAGTCATGCCCCCACCAAGTTGGGGTCTATTGTTTCAACCTCCCACTTATAGGTTGCGCTGGCAGTTGCGCACACGACAAGAGATTCTTAATTTAACCTCAACATGGCTCAACAGAAGGGACATACTACTTCCAGGATAAAATTACAAAAGACAAAAATCTCTGCTCAATGACTCACTCAGTGAGATCACTCCTCCTGCACTTTTGTTTGTATTTTACGGTACTTTCTCTTCAAAATCTGATGATACACTACTCTAAAAAGAGAAATGTACTTCATCTGGGTTTAATTATTTTAAGTAAAATTTTAACGTTGGATAAAAATGTAAAAAAAAATGAATATATCTTGAGCCCAGATAGTTGAAACACTCCTTGAAATTAACACTTGTATAGTATACAATAGCGTAATGTAACAAATGTACATGAAACAATTTTTAAACACCAGAGGGAAGCTAATGGAGCCAGTTCAAAATAATATAAGTACTCCCCTATCCATCAGATAAAGCATACTGAAGCAGCAACAGATAAAACACCCCATTAGCGCTTCCATGCACCCATTGAAGGCACATTCTGAGATCAGAGTACATACATAGACATCCCAACATGATAAATAAAATGAGTGCAAAAAATAATTAAAGAAGTTTTCATAATTTCTGAGCACTGACATTCAAGAAAAAAAAAATGTCCTTAATTTTTTTGGTATTCTAACTTTTCAACCATAGAAACACCCTTATTTCATATGAGAAAAGCTGTCGAAACTGAGACTGTAAGAAAATTCTTTAAATATTAGATACAATTTTTTATATAATTTTAAAATAAAGATACCTTTTACAGGCAAGGGATCGTGTTGAGAGACGCCTCAACTCTTCAGTTGAAAGCAACATTCATGAGTGTGGGGAAAAACATTTGATCCATTCAAAAGCAATCATTTACACTGAATGGCACTAATATTTGTCCCACCACACCTATAAAAGACTTGAGTCTAGACTAATCTTATTCTAACTTTCCAGGGTGCATTTCTGAATCAAGGTTTTTAAATCATAGTGCCTTAAATTCTTAACATGCTCATTCTCTGGTACTTCCGTGATTTTTAAGGTCTTGGACACCATGTTTTGAATGGTTGTGATTTTTGCTTTTTCTCCTAATGCCTTTGAGTTTAATTTCGAATGATTGTGGCTACATCCTTGAGATGGAAGTTACTAATTCATTTTCTAAAACTGCAATTTTTAGCGATTAACATTTGTCAATTCATTAGTTTAATGATTTGCAAATACTGCCAAATAATTTCTTCATTTTTTCAGAGAGATGATAATTAAGTTAATAGCAGTAAAGAAATAAATTAAGGTACATGATCAATGTTTCTATCTTTTTTTTAGTTCATCACAGGATGGGTTTCTTTAATGTGGACATGAATTTACCAATTGTACCTGAAAGGAGAAAAAGTGATATACATTTGTGAGGAATTGAAATATAAAATGATTACTCACTTGAGGCTATCATTATGAGTTTTGTACTCGAGTATTGTGTTAGGTGGCAGGTTTAAGACTCTCCTTAAGGTATCGCGTATTCTATTAGTTGTTGCCTGATCAGAGGCAGATTTATTCCATACTGAGATTATGTCTTCCTGAGATAAATACATAAAGAATAGTTGATGAGCAACATAGTGTATTAGCTGTAATAAACAAGTCCTAGACATTCACATCAGAGTTGGGTGAAAATAATTCGGCAATTACTGAAATTGGTGCAGCAACTCTGACTAGACATTCGGTCCTTCGAATTCTCTACCTGATAAGATAGATCAATTGTCAAATTATTCGTCCAATCAACGATTAATTGGATGTTGCTACTTACTTGACCTCGAGTTGATTTCCAAACAATTTTTTCCCAACTCGGATCCACATATAAGCTATTAGAGGTCAATTTTGAAACTTGTAGTTCAACAGTTCGCTGTTTTCAACATTTCATTTTCGACTATTTTCGGATATGTGATGGTCATTTTTTGAGTTTGATGCAAACACAAAATTTTTCGCCCCCCTCTCCTCTGGATTTCCCTCAACTTCATTCATAATTTCTTACACTTGAGCCCTTCTTTTCCAAAATGTTCAGAATGCCATGTCAAATTTAAATTTACCTGATAAATAGTCTGAAGTTGCCTACTTTTAAGATTCTTGCAGAGAAAATCCTATGTTACATTATAAAAAATAATTCCTGTAGGTTTTCAGTTCGATTGGACCATTGATAGTTTTCTGGCAAATTTATTTTTTGCTGCTTTCAAAAATATCACTGATAAAGTGAACATCCTAATGGAAGCACTTGGGGAAAGCACATGCAACTGGGAAAAACTTGTTAGTGGACGTTCTAAACAAGATTACATGGAGTTGAAATTCTGCAGGAATTTTTGTTTAGACTGATAGGAGACTGCAGAGCTGAACTTTTTTAACTCTTTTTTTTTTACATGCAAATAAGCCATACCCAAAGCAATATGGGTAATCAGGGTACTTTACAGCGAATGAAAGATATAAAATTTGCATACCTGAAACCGTATTGACACAACTGCTCCACATATTTCTTCACCGACCATAAATTGTTCCCCTAGCATTGCAAGTACTAAATTTTCCCAGCACCTTGATGCTAAGCCTTTCCGTAATCTTACTATCCACTTTCCGCCTCTTTCATTGGCTTCATCCTGGCAAATACAAAAATACTAAATTAGGCAAAGATGTTAAAGTTCCATACATTATATGGTAAAAATAATTCTCTTTTTAGTATACAGTTATCTGACATATAAATTGTATGAGATGTTGTAAATTTTCACACTTAAAGTATTTAGAAGTCACTTGGACAAGTGTGTACATGAATTAGTTTGGGAGGAATCAAAATTTAGAAACTTCTATCACGCAGTTTTTAATTTCAATTGCACAGAATGTTTAACTGTTTAACAGACTTATGAACACAAAATGTAAAATAGCACAGGGATACTTTTAAAAATTAAGACAAGATTATAGCGAGCAATATCTTAAATTTTGAGATATACCAATTTATACTCTGTCAAAATTTAGTACATATGCTAGTTTCCTTAAAGATAACAAAGTATCTGCAAAAGTTGAAAAGGTTTAAGGAGGGCCGGAAAGTGATGCACATTTCTGCACGATTTTCATGAGAATGATTTTAATCTCAATTGTCTTAAAAAATACTAACCTCCCACATAGGTTTAATGCCAACTTTGAAGAGATGGAAATCACTTAGACACTGAAGCTCGGAAGGTCGCACTAAATGACTGTATATGGCCCAAAACTGCTCCACTGAACCAAATCTTCCTATCAATTTTAAATTTTGGTCATAACTTTGCACCTGAGGAGTTCTACCAGGATTTCTTCGGCTGAACCATAGCCAATACTGATACTGTAGTTTATGGTCGCCGGGTGGTATTTTGAAAGGTATCTGAAAAAATGGATACATAAAATAAGGCTTTGTCAACAGCTATTTAATTGACAATTTATAACATTTGCGATGGCTATTTTCATTGACTGTTCTGGTGCTGAGTTGAATCTTCTCGTACAGAATATAGCATCATAGAACCTGTTGATATTATTTAAATTGTTGATATCCTTTTTGAATTTGTGAAAACAACTGAAGACTCACGTCTACATTTTGAAAATAGGTTACTAATCCTACAGAATCTACATTCCTACCCACAGCGACCTTCAGGTCAGTACAAAACAAAAACTAAACAAAAAGAATAGTCCCTAGCACACATTTTGCAGTTATGATCATTTTAGAGAAGTTGATAGATCTTTGAAACCTTTAGGATCAGCAATTATTTAAAATTTAACGTCAGTGCAACTGATGAAGGGCTGCCAGTTTGAAATGCATCTGCTACACTCTTTTTTAAACAATTAGGAGAGACGGATAGTCCATTCTCTTCGGTGCGAGTACCCTTGCTTGTTATGTTAGCTTGGTAACAACAAATTACAGTCCTTTAATTACCAAACTCTTTACCCTTAGAATCTTCTATGATAGAATTATTAAGTAATTATAAAGCACAATCTGAGGAAAAAAGTAAAATTTCTCTCAATGCAAGGGCCAAGGTCTCCACACCTTAAAAATACAAAAAGGATACCGGTTTTGCTTCATGTGCGTTCTAAAATAGGCAGCTGTGATGACAAATTTTCAATGTCATCTCATGAAAAATAGAGACATGATTTTCAACGACACTTTTAGCACCTTCTCCAAAAAGATTAAAAATAAAAAAAAGACATTTAAAAAGACGTTTCCTATTTTCTCCAATAAATACTCACCAGCAACACCTTATCAGCACTTAACAAATCTGTGCAAGTCAGGTCATCATTTGAATCATCGTTATTCTTTGAGCTGAAAAGTAAAGAAAAATACAGTGTTCCTTGAGAAATTGAAATCTTAATGCGAGGGAAAAATTTTGCTTGGGGTTAACTTTGTAACACAATTGAATTTGTCTTGAGATCACAAAAACGTTACGGAACTACTTGGCATTATTGGAGTAAACTAGCATGGTATCCATTGCAATGATTTTGCTCGTTAGTCTTAGATTGTAATGAAAATTTGTAGCTATGAGAGATCAGGGTGGTAAACTCATGGACATTGCATGCACAACTGATCTGTAGTAACTAAAAGTAAACTACTTAAGTACTTACGTAATTATAACTATTGAGCTCTAAATAAAATTGCGCTCGACTAGGATGCTAACCAAACACTGAACATTTTTTTGAACCACAGCCAGTTTTTGCTTTTATCCTAAATTGAGCTCCTTATAATTTTTACAATGATTCTGCTCCCTCAGCCAGTCGGACAATGGCGTAAGTAATGAAGTTCTGAATTGTGGCATACAAGAAGGAATAATTGAGGAGGAAAATTTGAACTTCAGATAAAAGATACAAGTCTCCAAATGTCAAAATGGCACAGTTAATAATGTGAGATACTCCAATGATTAGTTAAAAAGGATGAATTAGAGGATTTGGCCCATTGATCCGATTCAGAGACCTGCTTGCCAACAAGCAATGAAAAGGTAGAGTAGACAGAAATCTTTCGCTCGAGAATTCATTACACAATTTTACCAGCATGAAACAAGTTAATCTTCCATTATCGGTGAAATATTAAAAACTTGATAACAAATAAAGACAGGAAAATGAGAAAATTCAACAGCGATGAACCTGGAGAATGAGATAGGAACCAGAGGTGTTAGGATACTTACTTTTCGAATTTGTTGGACATAATGAGCAAAATTAATTTCTACGACCTAGCGAAAAGAAATGAAAGGCAAAACGAACGTAAGTTAAAGTCTCAATTAACACAATCAACAAAATTAATTAAAACTCATGGACAAACGCAGATGGATCTATTTTCATTTCATCCTTTTATTTACATCGACAAAGGAAGCTTTTGTTCTTCTACCTCCAAGTTGCACCTGCCAACATTGTTTAGGTTTTGAGATTGAGAGTAAACCGTTGAATTGTTGTGCTGAAAGTTTAGGTTATGTTTGAGCTTGAGCAGCGACCGTTCAGTTTCAGTCAGACATAACTTGTCTCTGGACATAACTTGTGTCTAATTTTTTCTTTTCTCATCAAAGAATTGTTTAATGAAACATGTTAAATATTTTGCAGTATGGAAGTGACAGTGACGAGGAGTCGACCGAAAAGGTCGAGGAAAAAGCAAAAACTATTTTTGAGGAGGCCACTCTTCATCTCAAAGAACCAGTATCAACATCGATGCAGCTATGTGCAGCTCCTGAAGTTGTACCCACGGTTAGTTACAGTATTTTTACCTGTAAATTTAAATTCTCTCATCTATTACGCACAACATTCATTTCACAATTTGCTCTTCGTGGACTTCATTTTGGTACAGCGTTACCTACCGAAGGCTCTATCGAACACAGTTCTTCAAGACATTGAATCACGAAGACCGTGCGTCCGGCTGGGTTTAGTACAGACGGAGCGAGACAAGGCTCTCAGAGCCCCATGTTGAGCGGGTGGGGAAGGGGAGAGAGCGTATGTCCCAAGCACTCTAAGAGACTGCAGAAAGGCAATGGAGAATTCATTCCCGCGCTCGGTTTTTCTTGAATATCTTGTTTAGAGTCCATTTTCAGACAAAATTCAATGAAGAAAAGTGCTAGAATTTATATTATTATAACCGAACAGCAATGTTTCATTTTTCTGAACTAATTATCAATGAAGAAAAAAAGCCTCACAATCCGACAAAAATTCACTGGAGCCGCCACTGCGCTTGAGCAGATGTGCGCAGCTGGGACACGCGAACTCAACGATGCGGGTCAGTGCCACCACTCATCGGCATGCGAATCTTTAAATGTTGTTTAGCCCTCTGTAACACAGGATGTACGGTCTACGTGATTCAATGTCATTGGTTATTTTGTTCTCTGAACACAACTCTTCAGTCCAAACAACCTCCAAAGATTATGAAGCATCGTTTACTTACAAATGTGAAACCTCCCCTCCATTATCTGCAAGTGTGCTACACGTAGTCTGATACGCGACAGCCAACTGTTTGCTGCCTGTGTTCCGCCTTGGGCGGTTGGCTCTAAGAATCAAACGTCCAGGGCAGCCACATTTTACTGTCACTTTCTTCCGCAAAACTGAATGTTTCGTCATTTTTTGCTCCGTAACTTTTGATGCCATCACTGGCCCTGTCTGAAATTTTGAAACAGCTTCCTTAAGGTACAGTGGATTTTCTGTAATATTTATTAGTTTAAAACAGATTCCATTTTGAGTTATGTATTGACCTTTAATTATTCCTTTGGGTTTCTTTTAAAGTCAGTGTGTATTCTCATAATGATAATATGACATAGGTAATGTCTTGATCATTCCAATCTTCTTTTTCAGAAAGCAATTGAGCCTTATAGATACATTGATCCCACTACTAAAGAGATGACTTATAACTTAAAGTATGAAGAGTTATTTGCGCCTGAAGTTGGGCCGGAAAACCCATTCCTGACCCAGCAACAAAGAGCCCCCAAGAACATGCTGTCAGGTTATGTTGAACAAGCTCATATCAGTGATTTTCAGTTTGAAAATCAAAGAAGGACTTTTACAAGTTATGGTAAGTTAAAATGCACAATTTTTTTACTTTATAACCAGAGAGAAAAGTAGATTTCCTAATCTCCTATTTTGAGAAATAGTCTCTAGCTGCAATTTGTAATCATCTCTCAAAGAAGTGTTCAAATTCAATGATCTTTTTACCAGAGGGGCTTCACAAGTGACACAAATTTTGTAAAATAGACTTGATAATTTAGAAAAAAGACAAGAAGGATGTCCACAAATTTTTACTGTATTCACGACCTTCCATGGTAACTTGATTTTGTACTTCTTACAGGCCTGACAAACTAGTGTTTGTTGAAAAATATTTTAATAATAAGTTTTTTTGGTCTTGTTTTGCCCAAGAATAAAATTAATGTAGGCATATTTTTCAGGTTTTCTTCGGTTTTCTTTCCTTGACCAATTATCTCATATTCTTAGGGATAATTATGACTAAAGACTGTTTTTCTTATTCCTTTTTTTTTCTTTCCTCCAGGATTTGCATTGAATCCCACAGTTGATGCTGGAGACAACGATGATGGGAAACAAATGGTACAAAATACAGCAATCCTGACAGAGCCGAAGACTGTGTTTGAAAAGACTAAAAAGAGACCATTAGACAAAAGGAAAAAAGAGAAGAATGATGATCCGTCAGACATTGATGGATTTTTAGGCCCTTGGGCGTGCTTTAAAGATGAAAAGCGAGTTATGAAGCCCAACGAGGTATGCCTAAGTTTTAATTATTCATTCTTGATTCATTTTGAGATGTCAGTGGTAAAATTGGAAAGAATGTGTCGCGGGAAAGCAATAATTTTTCTTTCTAGTTAGGGATTTGTATACCAAATTAGAGCTTGTTATCATGTCTTTTTCACAGAATGGTTATGTATGATCATTATCTACTTGAGGAGCCATATCAGGGCTGTGGTCTAAGTCTAAAAGAAAGAAGAAGTAATGTAAGGAACCAGAATTTTTGTTGCAAAAACTAAAAAAACTTATTTATTAAACTCGGTTGCAAAGGTAACTTCACATGTGCTCAGCATGAAATTTCGTATTTGCTACACTTATTCCACTGACTAAACCCAATTTTTTCTCTCATATTTTTGTCAAGCAATCTCAATTTTACCTAAGTTTGATGTAGTATATTAAGATTTATCATTAACAGCAATTTATCATCAATATTAAAACAAAGGGATATTGTATCCCCTTTGCGGTGGTGTAAAATGTCTGATTTTAACTGACTCAATCAATGGAGGAAAAAATAAGAAAGAAATCTCCTGTATTGGGCCTGTTACAACCTTTTGTTACAGCAAAAATTAGAGTTTTTACTTGTAGAAAGTGTCTCAAAAATCATGATGAGCGCATTGGCAAAGTCTGAAATGCATCTTTGGGAAAAAGCATTCTAGTTACAGAGACAAAAAAAATTTGCAAAATTTAAGAATTCGTGAGTAGCCAGTTGGTTTTTTTTTCTTATTTTATCATGAAACCTGACAAAAAGTTTACAGCATCGCAAACTGAGGTACAAGACCCTTTTTAACATTTAATGAGACTCGCAATTACTATTTTGAAGATTTCAAAGACTCGTGTTTTGATTGAATCTTCACTCTTCTTATTTAANGGGGGGGGGGGGGGGAATGAATGTACCAGTGCAAGAGAAATTTTTACAATCAACATTGGAGCAAGGCTATACTCTTATTCTTAATTTAGAGTCTATTTTAAGTCTTATTATCTCCTAATTTTTTAATTGCAGGAGGAAGCAGAAGAGCTAGAAGAATACTTGGCTAAAAAACAGAAAAGAGGGAAACAAACGGATGACAAACCCATTGAAGAAAAAACTATTTTGCACAGTAAGGTTTTTCTTTTAAAAGTAGAATTTTCCAGTTAAAATTTTGATTTTAACTCTAACTGTGGAGTAAACAGTATCATAAGTGGTATTGTTAAAAACTTAAATAAAACGGAATGAAGATTCTTCAAAAAGGAAGTCTGAGATTTATGCCTTTAATGCTAGATTTATATGGAGAAGTATTCTTATGTGCCTAGATCAGTGCCTGAGATTCATTCCCATGTACCTAGATTTGTGACTCAGACTGGTTTTCACACATCTTATGCACTAAAAGGGTTACGCTAAGGGGGCTGAAGATGCTTTTTGAGCCCCTACTCAAGGCAACTTTCCTATGTTGGGTCAGCCGTAGTTGGAACTAAAAAACTGGCGCTGATCACTTCATTGTGAGCCATCACAAAAACGGATTTTTCCTCGTCTCAGATGCTCACAATTAAAAAGTCCTCATAGAAAAATTTACTTACAATTCCCCACTTCTTGAAAAACATTTGGGAATGATCTCAGAAACTTAGTTTGGAATTCCAGGTTACACCACTCAACTCCAGCAGGTAACTGTTATTCCCCCATAGATGTGATCTTGGGAAAATATCTTGAAAAGAAGCTAAGACCAATTCCTGGAAAGCTAAGATACAACATTTTCACACTACTCATCAGAGGAGCTCAAATCACTCCAAGACTAAGTTTCAAGTTGAATTCTATCTTTAATTTGTATCTCTATATTTCAAAATTGTAACGTTGCCTGTGTATTTTTTCAGTCAAAGATTCAACGGATTATCAAGGAAGGTCATTTCTGCACCCACCGCAAGATGTCGGTGTTAACCTTAGATCAGATGCTCCGCCTGACAGATGCTTTCTGCCGAAGGCTCACATTCACACGTGGCAGGGTCATACTAAAGGAATTTCTGCGATTCGATGGTTTCCTAAATCTGCGCACTTACTGCTCTCTTGTAGCATGGATTGTAGAGTCAAGGTAACTCTGAATTCTATCAAAAAGTATTTAGGCAGTAGAACATGAGAATTAAGATAATAAATCCTTCCATTTTCGATAACTTTGAAAAATCAATTAGTACACCTAGTTGATTTTAGAAATCACTTATGCCGAGGAAAGAGTAGCCTGATATAGTTGTTTCTCATTATTTTGCCATGAGGAAACAAAGCGCTTGTTCAGATCTCTTAATTATGAGTTGCCATAGAGGAATTCTGTTTGCTTCACTGGGGGAACATCAGAAAGGCATTTTAACAAAATCAATAGATCCACCTGCATGACTGGCATGCCTGTAAGCAGGATGACAGAGTGACTGCCTTCATACTACTACCTCTTCATCATTTGGACAGCTGTCATCACATTGTAAATTAAGTTAGCACTGTGCCCTTGTGATCCTATGAATTGTGCCTAAGTCTTGCACAAAAGTAACGTACAAACGATAGAAAAAGCTCTTTGAATAAAAAATATTATCAAATACCAAGGTAAGTCTATGGATTAATTGAGCTCATGCTGAGCTATAGGTACCTTTCCTCAAATCTTATATCAATCAACAATGCTCAGCTGTCCATTATTCTGATACAAATTTTGTTGCCAAACTATATTCATCTCGGAATGACCTGCAGATTTTGAGATGTATCTAATTCAACTTGAATTTTCTGTTTCCATGCACAGAATTAACCGCACTTGAATTTGTTGCACTTCTGAATGAGTTATTCTCCAAAGCGCAATCGCTGAAAAGAAAATACTATCAGCTTATTCCACCCACTCCTTTCAAATGATGCTGGAAAAGAATTAGTTTAACTGACCAATTTATGTCCATGACTGGCATCTAATCTTGTACTTTTTCTTTGGTTTTAGTTATGGGAGGTATACAATGAACGTCGCTGTGTGCGAACATACTATGGGCATCGGCAAGCAGTTCGAGATATATGTTTCAACAATCCAGGAACACAATTTTTATCTGCAGGTAAGTCCATATCCTTCATGGCACATTCAGGAAAGATCAACACAAAGGAATGGATTTGAATTATGAAGATTATTTGTTATGAAAGTTTCAGGTTTCAGGAACGGCTCAAATATTTGTGAACATGCCTTTAATAATGGCCACAATATTAATGTTGCAAACCATTGAGAAAATTTAATTTTATTTGCTAAGGAATTTTGTAAAACATCTAATATTTTCAGGAAATTGAAAAAGTAAATATTACAGACAAATTACAAAAAAGTGGGGGAAAAGTACCTAATCAAACTATAGTGTAGGCTTACTCAAGAAGTAGTGTATGATGGGTGATAGAGATGATCTGATAATCTATCTGATCATCTATATCTACTGTTTATTATTGTTCATTTATTATTTGTTATTAAATTGTTTTCAATAGGTACTTAGGAAACTCCCTTAAAACTCTGCAGAGAACTGAATTAAAAATATGTAGGTGTGAATCAATCATTACTCAAGAATGGAGTTTTTTTGATAGGGTTTCCTGGTGGTCGAGGGCCTCCCAGGTCTAGGTCTCCAGCCCATTGCAGACTCTGCAAGTGTGCCCGTTACGCCCACTGGTGAAATGTCAGGTAGTTTTGCGGACAGAAAATTGTTCTTTGTATGTTCCTTCTAGTATGTTCATTCTGTTCCACTGATAATTTTGTTTGTACTGAATGTGCTTGTATCTTTTTCTTGGCCGCTACCTCTTTGTAATGAATGTACTCTCTCACTGTAGAAAAATTTGCTCTAATTTCAGGATATGATAGGTACATAAAACTATGGGACACTGAAACTGGAGAGTGTATATCCAGATTCACAAGTAGAAAGATTGCTTACTGTGTGAAGTTCAACCCAGATGATGATAAGCAAGATCTTTTTGTGGCAGGAACATCAGATAAAAAGATTATTTGTGTAAGTCAGATTTATTTTGTTTTTTTAAATTTATTTTTGTTATTAATTTTTTTCAATTTTTCATCATTTATTTATTCAGTGATATAAAAAGGAAAAACTTCCAAAAAACATATACTGCAAAATTATAGTTTAAAAATTACAAAATGGGCCTGTTGCAAACTTTTGCTAGAGCAAAAATAAGAGTTGTTTCTTATAGATAATGCCTCAAAAATCACGATGAGCGCATCGGCAAAGTCTGAAATGCACTCATAACTTCACAGTCTGCGTAAGAAATTTGCGGTTTTTTGAGCTTCCCGCTTCAAAAACGATACTACGGCACAGGTGAACATTTTGTAAGAGGAGTCGTTCCATCGTCGGCAATAATCATCATGGCCGACGCCAATCCGCCAAAACACGTTTGATGGGACGAGATAACACCTGAACTGGATTAGACCAGATAACAATCGGTGTGTTAACGTTCATATTTTCCATGCCCGAATTGATTGACCTTGAACTCTCCTCGAATTATGCGCGGAACTGCGCGCAAGCGTCGGCCATGATGAATATCGCCGACGATGGAGCGACTCCTCTAACAAAATGTTCACCTGTGCCGTAGTATCGTTTTTGAAGCGGGAAGCTTAAAAAAACGCAAATTTCTTACGCAGATTGTGAAGTTATGAGTGCATCTCAGACTTTGCCGATGCGCTCATCGTGATTTTTGAGGCATTATCTACAAGAAACAACTCTTATTTTTGCTCTAGCAAAAGTTTGCAACAGGCCCATTAATCACAAGAATAAATCCGACATATTACCAGCAATTACCAACTTAAACAATTGGTGAAAAAATTCCAATGAAGTATCAACTGAGTTGAAATTTTTTCACCACCCATTTGCTTTTTTAGTCATTTTAAATTATTTGTTTTACTATTCGTAGTTGTGAATAATTGACTTTAATTCTTCGCTATTATTCACTATCTGCTTCGTTTGACAAATTTACCATTCGCACAGCCCTACCATCTATAAATATTTTTAGTGGTCAACTTGTTAAGTACATATTATACTTGAGCAGATTGTTATTTCATGTCAATTTTTTTACTGTAATTTTCTGTTCCCTTTTAATTTGTAAAATGTGTTTCAATCCTATTCAGTGGGACACTCGTAGTGGTGAAATTGTCCAAGAATACGACCGGCACCTTGGAGCTGTAAATTCCATCACTTTTGTTGACGAAAATCGCAGATTTGTAACAACTTCCGATGACAAGAGTTTGCGAGTTTGGGAATGGTAATGATTTATTTTCTCTCATCACAACCTTTCTTGAATAGAATGTTTTATCCTTTAATGCAAAAGTCAATCAACTTAATTTACTATCTAATACACACTTGTCAAATTGTTCAATGTTTGATGAAGGTTAATGACGAACTAAGTAAACTTCCCTGTTGTATTCAGATTTTTCGCAACTTACTCCACTTCAGTATTACCTTTCTGAACTTTTACCTTAAAATATAAACTCAATTTTTCCCAAGTCAATATTAGATAGCAACTTTAAATTGTGTAGATTTGATGCCAAAACCGCTCATTTTTACTTTTCAGTCAGCCAGTAAAAGAGAAAGCCTGTTTTATTTTTTTATTTCGGCACCCTTAAGAAATTATTATTTCTTTTTGCACACAAAATGTTTAAAGATTAAGGGTTTAACCATTGAAGGGAATTGAAGGCTTTAACCATTCATTTTAAATAGCTACATCCTCATGTTGTGCATTGAAGCTTTGATATTTGATTGAAATATTATGCTATGCAGTTAATAATAAGAAAAACAAATGGCTGAGACCTCCATCCAAAATGTGGATTGAACTTAGCATGCCCCTCAAGACACCTCTAATGTATCCAATCTGTAAAAGAGCAACCCCCCCCCCCCCCCCCCCATTTTATTAGTTTCTGTAATTTAACAACATTGTCATTAGCTTCCTGCGTTTCTGCCTTACCAACCGTATAAACTTTTATTTGATTTCAGGGACATTCCTGTTGATATGAAATACATTGCTGATCCCAGTATGCACTCTATGCCAGCTGTGACTTTATCTCCAAATCAAAAATGGTTAGCGTGTCAAAGTATGGACAACAAAATAGTCATTTTCTCTGCTCTGAATCGCTTCAAGCTGAATCGGAAAAAAACATTCACCGGGCATATGGTTGCTGGATATGCTTGTAACCTTGACTTTTCACCAGATATGAGGTTTGTTTTCTTTCATCGTGACCATAGAATTTTCTTGAAACAGTTTTCAAAGGGTACAGTTGGAAAATGAACCCATTAATTTGATCAGAAATGGCTCAGCTCTTTTTCCCCCTTTTTTCTAACCTGTGAAGGAAAAAAAACAGACTTTTACTTGCTTCTATGCTCAGACAGGCACTGAAAAAGAGCATTAAGTAAAAGGATTTATAGTTAAAACATACATTTATGTAAAGGCTGCTATTCAAAAAAAAAAAAAAAAAAAAAAAAAAAAGTTTTGTAGAAATGTTAACACAAGACTGAGATAATCAATTTTAAAATCATAGGACTTTGTAAGTCCAATGAAAGCTCAATCATCGGAATTATAAGGGAACCAGCCCTGTTCAGTTCAACAAAAATTCAACAAATCGTGCAACATGCCAGCAGCATGTGCCTTGCCAAGGCCTGCTGAGCGAAAAATTAAATTCATTCAGTATTGAAAATTCCTTTTAATCTAAGTTTATGTTGTTATTGTTGCAGTTACATTGTATCTGGAGATGCTGATGGAAAGTGCTATGTTTGGGACTGGAAAACAACAAAACTATTCAAAAAATGGAAAGCTCATGATGCGGTCTGTATTGCCGCTCTATGGCATCCACACGAGCCAAGCAAAGTGGTGACGGCTGGCTGGGATGGTCTTCTCAAATACTGGGACTAATCTGTCGTATTGTTAAATTATTTTATTCTTGTTTTCTTCATTTTAACTGTAAGAGAACGTAAGACTCAAGGAAAAGTCAAAGTGAGACTCAAAAACAACGTAAAGTTTTTTTAAACAAATTACATAAGTTTTCTTTAAATTTAGGTTTATTCAGCTGATGAACTTTAGCTTTACAAAATGTGTTTTGGAGGACTGTAAAATTGTTTCTTCGTTACTTTGCAGGGTCCTACGAAGAGCCTAAAAAATTAGATTACAGCTTTTTCTCTCTTGTCTGTGAATGCAGCGATTGTATCTCAACTTGATGCCTTTTAACCTCTCGCCACCCTCTGACTACAAAAAAAAAAACAAGAAATTAATGTTTTCTTCAAATCTAATTTCCCAGGCACATCCTAGGGATAAATGATGGAAAAATTATTTCTTCCTCCCTAATAACGTTCTATCAACATTGTAAAATATAGGGAAAAAGAAAGAGTAGAGCTTGATGCTGCTTGATATTCATCTTGCTTAAACTTTCAGTAATTATTTTCTCATCACCAATATCAAAGTCGAAAACTCTTTCAGAAGTGCAAATTGTCCTCTACCCTTCATCAAAACTAGCAATTTGGATCTCAAGCCTTCATTTGTATTTTACTTGTCATTTTATATCAGAATACTTATTTTCTTGTAAATGTGTATAAAAGTGTACATAAACAAGAATTACCTTTTTATTTCATGTTTTTGATTGTTCATGTTTTTACTGAGACAGTAGTAAAGTTCTGGTCCCTCCTAAGTTTTTATTGATAGTTTAGACTAACATAAAGTCAAAGACTACTCTGAGACAAAGTATAATAATTATTTATCCTATGAGAAACTCATCAGTACTTTAACTCCAAATGGGTATTTAGACTCTTTGTTGCCATTTTGAAGAAGCCCAAGTGTTTTATAACTGTATTTAATAATAGATTCGTTTTCTCACGCCAAAATCCCATCGTATACCCAATTTGATGCAATGCCTCTGATAAACATCCAAAATGCCTATTTTTCTTCATTGTGAAAGCAGCTATTTTGAGAAAAAGTGGCTGTTTTGAAAAAAAATTTCCAGATTCATTTTTCTCACCCCAAGAAACACTGGAACCTCCAGAAACCTTGGAACTTACGAGTTTCAAGTAAATCCATTGGGAAATAGACTACGGCATGTCAATTTCCCGCCGTTTTTTGACTGCCATTTTAAAAAAATGAAGATGGCAACTTCCCCGAAAAATGTTCTGTTTTCATCTGCTTTCAAGTGAGAGAGGGGAGTTGCCATTTAAGAAAAAAAAGTTTGGGTGCCCCCCTCCCTTAAGGGGTGTAGTCCCCCAAAAAGTATGAATACGTCAAAATTTGTCTTTTTTGACCTAGAAACATTTTCCAAGTTTCGTTTCACAAGCTGAATTAGGAAGTATTTTAAAGGGAAGGGGGGGGGGTACGGTCTTTTGCGACACTCTGTATTTGATTATTTCTTACAATTTCATCAAAGGCTATCAGGCACCCCTTAAAAATAAGTTAAATGAGTACACGTACATTTTAGAAGTTCTAGGTAATATGGAAATATATTATAGCTTTTTTTTTTTAATTAATGTTATACATTAAAATTTTTATTTGTAAAGGACCTCTACATTTTTTAATGATTTTATAAATAATAAATAAACATAGGTAAAATTATAGGAATTAAATAAGAAAATAAACATAAAAAATAAATAGATAAATAATAAATACGGAAAAATGAAAACCGATCAGAAGAAAAAGAAAAAATTAAAAATTAAATAAAATTCACCTATTTTTAATATCTATTTTTGAACTAAATTGAGTTCACTGGAAGGAACATGTATAAACTCATTATTTTTCTCAAAAAAAAATAAAGAAATAAAAAATAAAATAAAATTTGATGTCTTGCTTGGAATTACC